CACAGGCAAATTAATGCCCCAGTGTATTTTGTTAGACACAGGCAAATTAATGCCCCAGTGTATTTGTTAAACACAGGCAAATTAATGCCCCAGTGTATTTTCTTAGACACAGGCAAATTAATGCCCCAGTGTATTTATTAGACACAGGCAAATTAATGCCTCAGTGTATTTGTTAAACATAGGCAAATTACGGTATTTGTTAAACACAGGTAAATTAATGCCCCGGTGTATTTGTTAGACCCAGGCAAATAAGGATCAATTTTTCGCTTGAAAAATCACTCAGCATGCCTATATATCTAATGCTCAGATTTACAGATATTTCCTGAGGAAAGATCCAGATTTTTTGTAGGCCGGCTTATATTCACATGTATCGGGTTTATAACACACAAAGCTTAACATTTCTACGAGTAAAATTATTGTCCTGTTCGAAGCCCCTCGGCTTTATTGATAGTAACGCCATAATGTTTAACAGTTTCATTAGCGACTGAGCTGGTCCTCATAACCACTTCTGAGCTTCAGCGAACATTAAGATCAAGATCGATTAGCATCCTTGTAGCGCCACGTCTTCGACATAACAGTCCGCTCGCATTTAAAGCTGAAACGTTTTCTCTGTGTGAAGATTTGTAATTACTCACCTTGCGGCCGTGATAGTAATTATTTACCTGTTTCAGTGAAGATCACAAGATAGCCAGCAAGTGCACAAGCGAAAATTAAACGAGAAAAAATTCGCCTTGAGCGCCATTGCATTTGAGCGCGCAGTAAAGCGAGATTACTTTATTTTTACCGCTAATATTTCCGAATATGGTATTGCTGTAATAAATTAACCCCAATAAGTAACGCAGCATCTTGCTAGTGTTCTTTGTTCTGTTGCTTTTTATAAAGTCACCATCAACAGATCCAAATGTTCCCTGATTCTGTTTTAACTGTTCCAAACGGAGAAATATTTTTAGAGAGAATGTTTTTAAAATTGGAAATAGCAGACGCAACATCAAATTGCTTGTGACCGGATATGTAATCAACTATCTTACCGCAGATTGCCATATGCCTAACCGCAAGGAAGGTAAATGACTGCGGGATTTTAACGCATTGGGCAAATGCCTACTGTGAATTCCTGAACTGGCCTAAGCCTCTCATGTAAACTAAGCAATGAGTGATAATTTTCTTGTTTGTATATCCAGATTTTTTCAATTTTCCTATGAAGAAAGATGGACCTCCACAGATTGGGTTTGTCTGTCAACCCTTTGCTGCTGAAAAGTGTGGCCTCTTGTGGCAAAAAGAGTACTGCGAGTTTCACAAGAAAGCTCTTAAGAATCCTAAGAACTCAAAGTACCTCAGTTTTAACTGTCACAGCTCGGGACATGGGGGCCTTGGCAACCGTATCCAAGGAATTGTTTCTCTCTTCTTCTTGGCATTGCTAACTGACAGGGTCTTTCTAATCAACTGGATCGGGCCAGGTAAAATAGCGGACTACCTGGAGCCAAATCAGATTAACTGGGATTTGCCACTGAGTAGATTTGGGACATTCCACAAGAGCTATTGGGGCGTGATACCGGAGCCTGGTGGATACGACCACAGCGTTGTTAAATCAGAGGATGCGTTTTCAAAATGGTCTTTAGAAACTGATTTTGAGTCTGAGGTATTACAAACACGTTTTGAGGCCGTTGGCACCATATTTTACTTTTTACAGGAGTTATATAAAAACCCTTATTTGAGGAAACAAGCTGCCATGAAGGAGCTTCCCTCTTCGCCTTCACAAATGTTCGGCTGCGGATTTCAGTTTCTCTTCAGGAAGAGCTTAGCCATGGTTCGTGCTTTAAGACAAGCCAGGCTTTCACTGGGCAGAAAACCTCCACTTCTTGGTATACATGTTCGAACCAGTGATCATCATTGGGGCAGTACAAATCCGTTTTCATACCGTTCACATAACTCAACTCTATTTTTCCTGTGCGCACATGAACAAAGTAACTTTATCCGGCAAAGGTTTGGCTCAAGTTTCAATGACCTAAAATGGTTCTTAGCGGCCGATGATAAGGCAGTCAAGACCGCAGCGAAAAAACAATTTCCCGATGAAATAATCTCGTTGAATCTAAACCCAAAACATCTAGCTTTTGGTTGGCAAGACAGTAACACTATTAGAGATGTACTCCTCGATATTTTCCTTCTGGCTGAGAGTGACTTCCTCCTTTTAACTTTTGGCAGCACTTTTAGCCGGCTTGTAACTGCTGTTGGACTACATGATGAAAATAGTGTAGCTGACGGTGAACGATGTTTGGTCAACCAAACGGCTTTAATGACAGTTATGTCTAGGCTTCATCTTTCCTTAGAAAACTAGGAGGCTTATTTATGTCCAGGCGTTTATTAAAAACAAACGTTCAAGAAGCACACCCTGGAATTTCCTATTGCTAAACTAGAGAATTCAGGACCAATTTAATTTCCATATTATTGAACGTGTATTTAACAGTTATTGAAAGAGGCTGAGTATGATGTGAAGAATTCTGCAGATCGAGGAGAATGCTATCTTGGCCGATGTGGATAACATCCTCCGAGATCAGCATAATTCTGCGAATCATACGAAAGGCGAATTCAATAATTGTTTTATTATTCATTCAAAATATTTCTCAACAAATTTTACCTCCTCGGAGACTATTTGATTGATTTCTCGGCACGGTTTCAGGATATAAACCGGTGTTTTTTTGTTTTTCTCTCAGATGCTCCTCAAAACGTAGATAACATCCATCGAACAATATGTTTTGGGTATTCTTTCCTTTCTTCCGTTCAGTTTTTATAAGAAATTCAGCTATTTTGTCTTTGGATAGCCTGAACGCCACTTTTCTCAGTTCATTATTGCCCAAGCAGCTTCCTCTCCAGGTTAATATACCTTCTATCAAATTCGTTCCAATCAGATATACTATCAAGCCGATGCTATATAATAATTGCTCTCATCTTCCAAATATGATAAGCGCCAGTTGCTTGAAGAGTTAACCTGGAGGTTTGCGCCACCCAGAAAGGGCGGAATATTTTGAATGAATGCGATACAAACTTGTTCTTGAAAGCCTTCCGACAAAGCTAAACTTAAGTGACCTTTTATTCTGTAACCTCATTTGCCTGTTCTTTGGCAGTTTCAGAATGCAGACAAGTGGTTTTTCTTGCAGATATTCCGAGCCTATCAACACTTAGCGTCTATATGTCATTAAAATCGTTCGCGCCAAACTCTCCACCAATCAAAGAAGAGCAGGATTTCAAGAAATGGTGGATACGACCAGGAAGACGTCACTGAATTGACCCCAGTCCTCTCTTTATCATTTGTACGCGGTCGCGGGAGACTAGCGCAGCATCTTGGCAAATGGGACGACTGCAAGAAGAGAGGATAAAAAAGAGTCGCCTCCAGTTTTCCCTCCTTCCCATCTCACGCCCCCCACCCTCTCCTCCTCCCACCCACGCGCGTCTCCTCTGCACTTCCCTCGTGAAAGAGAGAAACATAGACAACTGGGTACGAGTCAGAAAGCGCCAAGAGATAAGAGTTTAACGGAGTGAAGAACATTTGAAGTGATGAGCAAGCAGGCTCTATCTAGAAGATCAACTGAACGTGCAGGACATTTACGAACACAGCAAATTACAAGACGAAGAAGTTTCAAATTTGTCCGAAATTCTAACAAGCTGTGGCGACTGTTAGAAGCCAATGAAAGCTCTGAGGACGCTGAGGGGCAATAGGCTTCTGTAGATAATTAATGAAAATGGAAACTGTGTACTGACTTTTTCTTATTATCGATTCCATTCATGTCTTTCCTTCAGTGCCGCCTAAGCAACCAACACTGGCCTGCGTAGCAAGCGTTTACGTTTGGTTTCGGAGCAAAGAAAGACCGAGGAAGGGGATTTTCGGTTTTGACCGCGCGAGAAATGAAACTAGAGCCAAAAAATGAAAGAGGGGGAGGGAGAGGGGAGGGGAGGAAGGGAACCCACCCCCTCCCCGCTCTTTTACTTCCTCCATTTTTCGCGCGGTCTTTGACTCTCGTTCCTCGTTCTTTGCTCATAGACCGCACAGAAACGCTTGCTACGCAGGCTAAACCAAGACTCGTTCTAAGTCTCCTCTGAGACAAATTTGATCGAGCGCACTTCGCAAGAAGCCTGGTTTCTATAGAATATGTAAGGACGAATTTGTAAGCGACCATTGGACGTAAACGTTTGAGATCACTAGCTTTTCTTTGAAAACCACTTGCCTTCATCGGCTGCAATTTTTCTCTGTTAAAACTGTTAGTTATGATGTACATTTGTTATAATAAACTCATAACACCCAGTCCTGTATCTTAAATTTTCAGACCACTGATGCATATTTAGAATAATACTAAATATTACGACAATTATTTCGCAGAGATTTCCCACATCCTCTCTTTCTTGCCATTATTTTCCGTCCTGTTTAAAATGTGCAGAAATTAAGTTCCTCGATATTTAAGTCCGTGAACAAAGATCGAAACATCATTTTCTGTCCCGACTGTAAAACTGAGACCAACAATCAGCTTCGAAGTGTTGCCAACCAGTCCTTGTTTCCTTGTTTGAAAACTAACATAAATATTAATGTTTTTAAGTATTTTTGACAAATGAGGACAGAATTGTGGATTGCAGACCACTAGAAAAAAAGCAGTTTTAGTTTTTCTCTTTTGAACAGAGCCCGTCTGTGAGAAAATGGAGTCGCACAAAAGAGCGAAAAAATGAATGATGTCTGAATGAAGGAGAAGATAAAAAACAAATCAAAATTGAACGATTTTAACTTCACGTTCAGTGGAAATTCGCGGGGCATAGAGGAGATACCCGCTAACTGACACGGGTGACTTATTGTCAATGATGTAACGATCGTTTAATTGGCTGCTATTGGCTGAACGGCGACAAGCGTGTTGTTAATATACAATGATTGCCACCTGTCAAGTCAGTGTTTACACACTGACGTAGTCAAGCTTACCGCGCGTTCCGAACCAGCGATTAACGTACTCTTTTAGGAATTAGGTAATTTTTAATTCATAAACGCTTCAGAGATCGTAGTTTGACTAGGGTGATCTTTCGTCTAAAATCTTTAGGGATTGAAGGTAAATATTCTGTTTTACGAACCTCATGTTTTGCACTTGCCTGAAGCCAAGGTAACTGTTCCCGCCAATTTTTTGTACTACTCGTTACACGTGTGAGGTATTGGTACTGCATTTTCTTTGACCGTGTCTTTTTGCTTGTCAACAAAGCTTCAAGATCGAAGCCTGAAGAACTACCACTTTTATGGAGATAAGTATCGTAGATAATCAGAATTGAATGCATAACAGTTTTTTTCTCTTCTCTTTAAAGACGTAAAAGCGAGCCCTGAAGGAAAATCAATATCTTGACGAAGGTGGGTACCTTGTGTTAAATTCTCTGTGATATTACGGTGACTTCACTCATAAACAAAAAAATATCGCCCACCCGTCTGTCATCGCTCACGGGTGTAGTGGGCGATACCACGATCTGAAGAAAACGCGCTATGGAGGTCAAACAGTACTTCTTTAGCCTTGCTTCAACCGTTAAATTTTAAAGATTAAGTTATATTAGTTTTATTTTTTTGATAAACCCGGGGTGAAGTCACCGTTTCCGTGATGGGTCAATTTTCCTGTCAGATCTTTTAATTAACGCCCCTTTTTTATACAAATGTGCTGGAGGAAATTTTTCTAGAAGGGATAAGAAAAACGTGTTATCACATTTATAACTTTTATTTGAGGAGGCCGTCTGAAGTTACTACACGGAAGATCTGTTCCTCAATTTCTATTCATTGTAACAAATTTCGCAGTTTCGTGGGTCATTGAAAAAATGGTATTGTGGGGAGAATCCGGTAATTCCCGGGGAGAATTCAAATGGAACGATTCATACTGGTGGAATTAATGTTTGGGAAAAAAAGGTAATACTCCGGCTTTCCGAGGTATTACCTTTTTCTCGCTTTTGACCGAAACGACCGAAATTTTCTGTACCATTTATTTGGATTGTCAGGGAAAGGCTTCCTTTCTAGAGAAATCGGAAAATTTACCGGTATTTTGTAAATGGTCACAACACGATCCCATTCCTGATTTCGGTGCGAAAAAAATACTAGTACCATTTGACGGAAGATTTTTAATCGAAATTTCCGCACAAACGGTAAGCGCTCTTTTTCTCATAGAATATGGTAGTTATAGGCATCTAGCTTTATTAATGGAGCGTTCATTAGGCTGATTAGCAAAGACGACAGTTCAAAGATAGCCGACAAAGTTGCCCACAGATCTAAAAAAAATAGCTTGACCTACAGATGACAGAGCAAATTGAGCACCGAAAGTTGCGTTCTGTCCTTCACGCGCCCTTTAACTTTCTCATTGGACCTTGCGTTGTATTTGACAGCACATAGAGAACGTTTATTTCACTAACTAAAAAATACGAAGTAAACGGTAAGTGGCTGATATTAATCTGGTAAAGAATACAAAAATTGACATTTTTAATGTTTTAGTCTCAGCACTTAGAAATTTCCATCCTTTCGATTGGTCCAGTCTGGTGTTCCCACCGGGAGTTTTTTTTTTTTTTGCGTTTCGTAGCCAAAATGTTTTCTATAGATGATACAAACGTTTCTATAGTCTAGCGATCCTCAACGTGACTTGTATTCAAATCTTCCATGGCCATTTATGCTAACATCTTTCTCTAAATTCACATAGCGGACCGCTGATCAAGATGACACGAGTTACACTGTTCATGTGCCTTACGATACTTGCCCTGACACACGGTAGGCAGACGTTCATTTTTCTGTTAAACGTTATCCAGTTATCAACCAATTCCTTTCTCTCTTTGGAGAGTCACAATATAACCAGGTGCTTTTGAATTCAATATTTCAGCGGCACCAAACCCCAGCAAACGCGGACCTGAACAACAAGACCAACAGGAGACTGAGCCCGAGCAACCTGAACAGCCTGTAGCAAACTTCCTAGGAGGACCAGAAGGGCCACAAATGGATCAAAAGTTCGCTCCACAGGGACCAGAAGGGCCGCAAATGGATCAACAGTTTGCTCCACAGGGAGACCAACAACCATTTGCCGCGCCAATGGACCAACAAATGGTTCCACCTATGGACCAACAGCAAATGGACTGCTGTCAACCAGCACCAACATGTTTTAACCCTTGCCCTCCAGCCGCAGCTCCTATTTCCTTCAGTGCTCCTCCCCCTCCTCCTCCACCACCACCACCACCCCCTCCGGCAGCACCATGTTGCCCGCCTGGTCCTACCTGTACAAACCCTTGTGCCATGCCCCCACCCATGCCCGATATGGGAATGGGAATGGGAATGGCTGGCTGCTGTGATCCATCTGTAATGCCAACGTGCCAAAACCCCTGTCAGCCACAACCCCCACATCCTCCCAGAGCGGCATACGCACCCTATCCTGGTAAGTACGAGATTCTTTTATTCGCCACTTGAGCATTTCCCATAATATACCTTCTTTTCCCCCGCCTCCAGGAATTTTACATAAGCATTGTCTTTAGTTTCTCTTGGGACGTCTGTGATACAAGCTGCAAAAAGCTTTATGAGGAATGCGCAAATGGCGAATTTTGTAGGCTCTATTTTTTGTTATTTTCTACGTCTGATAACATTTTGCATTGTATGACCCTGGCCTACATTTTCGTTAGTGCATACCATTATATTGAAAGCGTTCTATGTTTTACAGCAATGGAAACTTATGTTTTTCCTTTGAAAACATGTAAAATAAACTGTTAAGATTATTATTAGCCGCAATGGAATTAAATTGACAGCGATTAGACCTATTCATTATGTTTACATTGACTTCAATACAAAATAGAACATTACTTTTTCAAAATTTTTAGGGGAAAACAAGGTGAATTATTGGTAATGTAAAAATGGTGAATAAAACCCAAAACACTATTTACTAACCGTAATTGACTTCATCCCACTGAGACCCTCCCTTACAGACTGAGCAATTAGATGGTTGACTAGCTAAACAAACCGACTGGATAGTCCAACCAGCATAGGTAGAAGGCTGGCTACCAGTAAAGGAATTGATTAAGAAAGATATTGGAAGTTTAGTTTGAATATATTCTATACCCGTCCAACAGGTGAAATTACAATGAAACTCAAGCAGTCATGGAAATCTGAGCTCGCAGACCATGCATCACCTGCCTACCAGATCCTTGCCGGTAACCTTGCTACTGCGGTAAGTAAAGCCCCCTTTTTCGCACCTTTTCCCTTACCACGCCTCATCCACCTTCTCTTAGAGCACAGTCCATCATAGGCCATACAATGGACCACAATCTTCCAGGTTAACTATGAAGTAAGCATCATTATGTAAACGTTCGTAGTATGGTGGCTTTAGGGTTAACACAGGTTCACAGTCCTAAAACGTAACAATATGTAATTCGTATCATGGTGGCTGGTTGACACGGGTTCACAGTCCTAAAACGTGACAATATGTCATTAAAAACCACGCCTTCGCTTTTGGCAGCCTCCGAGCAAGCTCCTTATTTCAAGTGTCGAGCAGAGCAATCAACGAGAAGATGAAGAGATTGCTCGCAGGCTACAGTTTTTATGAAAACCGAGTCCCAGGGAGTAGAATAGGTGCAGATTTAAATTGCGCTGATAAGTTTCTCAATGGCAATTTCCAATTTCAAAACTTAGAACAGAGAAAATGCTTGTATTTGCTTCCCAGACGTTTTCAGTCTTCACCTCGAAGAGTAGTTAACCACGGTCTTGATCACAACTGTCACAACTGACAACAAGCAGCCGTCCTTTTTTACTACCACTTCCTTTAAAGCTCCTTGCGAACTCCCCGATCTGCACTAGCGACCTCCAGCTGCCAGTCTTCAGCTTCGTTCCTTATGGTTGGTTCTGGCAATAACGAAAGCGTTGCTTGCGAGAAACTTAAAACAGAGTACACAGGAGAGGGGAAAGAATTTTTCCACGTCAAAATATAGGGAAATTGTGGCATACTTATGCCCCTCTATCTTTGATGTTCTTCAATTAACACGCATATATAACTTTCATTTCTGCTTAGGTGAAAACAGCTTTACGAAGAGATGCCTATATCAGCAATATTTATTTCAGGTAAAATGGAGCTTCTTGAATTTGGGCTCTTTGTTCCTTCTTCTCCGGCTTTTTCAAATCTGCCCGGCTTTAATTTATTCCACAATAACCACGTCTCCTTCTTTTACCTTATAAGGGAAGGATATGTACCAGGAAACCCCTCAACTCAACCAATCACAGTGGCTCATTTTATGGTTGATGGCGGATCAGATGATGCATCGCTTCTACAACAACAAGTTACACCCGACGAGTCTCTAGGAGATGGACTTAAAGTTTACAGGGATTCATTCAACGCTTATTAGAAATAAAGTGTACTCTTATTACAAGGTATGGTGTCGTTTGCATTTGCCACTTCAATAAACGAGGAGACTGGGCCGAGTTAACTTTCGCAAAGACTTCTGGGACTGTTACTAGGGAGAGGGACAAAATTGGCCAATAGCTGACCGGCGCGTCCCCAGTAACTATCCCAGAAACACTTGGGAGACACATTTCGGCACCAGTTTCCTTCTCCTTCGTAATTCTCCGAATGGATGACGAATAACGGTTGAATTGTTGAATTTTAAAGTAGTGAGTAGAGGGTAAGTTTTTCACAGTAAGTCATTTTACCAAGTCAGGCCGTATTTGTAGTCGCCAATCTTGAAACTTAGGGAGCATGGGCACAAGATTTTGGTGCAACGATTTATGGGATTGCTTGCGTAACAGGCGCTCGATATGATTGGTTGGTTGATGGAACCCTAAAGCAACCATCAACCAGTCATTCTTTACTTTCCCAAACGCTCCCAGAATCCTTGACAAATGTTGCTCGGTTACCCTAAAATTTTTAATTAAGGAACTGCAACTTGCTTGGAGACGAGTTTCTGTCTGAAATTTCTTGTTTTCTACATTTGACAGAAAATGACTTGCAGGACAAATGGCAGACGAACATCAGACCAGTGATGAAAGCGCCGAGATGGACATTTTAATGCCTTGTAAATAGAGTCCAAATCGACAGACACCGTTTCTACAGGTGTTAAAAATTTTGTTTGGTATCGAAAACAGATGCAGTTGTAACATAATGTTCTTGGCGTTGAATTGGCACGCCAAGGGAGATATTTTAGCGCTCCCAACTTGACGACACATTGAAATTCGCTTTAGGAGACACGCCATAATCGTAGCTTTTTAAATTCTTGACATGTATTTCGTTACAGGGGGATCTTTAATATGTTGTACAAAAGCTACTTCGTTGACTCTTATAGTATCCTAGATTATCTACGTCCTAGAAAAGATAGAAATCCAGTTTGGGTAAAGTAAATGTCAAAATAAAGATTATTCATATAAATTAAAGACACAATTCTTAATTAAAAGTTGTGTATGTTTAGTTTACTAAGGAAAGGAGCCTTCTTAAAGATACCTTCTGAAATTTAGTTGAAATCATACCAGCAAAGCATGTACTGTTTAAATCCATCCAAGCTAATGCTTTCATGGTAACCACACTATTGAGACCATTAAACCGCGTGTTCAGTTAAGAACAACTGTTGACACAATCTTAAGAGGATGTCACTGTACGAAAGGTATTGAAATTTGTTGCTGAAAATCTATGTCTATGGTTTAACTTACGAACGATGAATCCCAGAACGTTTTCCCATCGAAAGTCCTTGCTCAAGCTAGAGGTGTTAAGGCGGCCAGGAGCCCATGGGGCGCAGACTCGTACCCAGTCGCTATTTATGTGTTTTTGGGGGGAGACAAGATTGGGATTAAGTTGAGGCGCGCGGGGATTCATGGAAAGGGATGAAGGAGAGCTATCTTTCCTTGCCTGGGGACGAAAATAAGTGGCCCTCCATGAAACGTCAAAATTCGTCGACAAAGATTTGGCTGAATAAGCGGCTCAATTTACTGCTCACAGTACGTTATTTTTGTTTCCACCATGTCTCTACAGCGAGTTTCTTACTCAGTAAAACCTGTCCTTCTGTAGTTTCTACAGTTATACATATCTAGTGGTTATTATGTTAATTCTGAGACCGATTTTACTTGACCGTGAAACAGTTGACAACTGGTGCAAAATAGCTATAAATAAACAAAAGAAGACAATAGAATTATTGCATAATAGTGCGTAGTATTCTACTGTCTATTTCACGGGTTTAGTAAAATCACTCTAACTTTCAAGGTACTCAAGGAGGGCCGAAAGTTACGAAAATTCTCAAACGCATCCAAAATTTGAAACGATGCAATAGACCACTCTTGAGTTGCATTATGCCTCGTATTCAAGGGAGTAAAGTACCAAGTCTTTGATATAAGGTTAAGTTTCTTATCACGCAGATTAAATTCATTTTGAGGATAGAGTTTCCGTGCCACTTCTAACATTTAAAAACCACTGAAAATGTTAAAAAAAGTTTCCGTTTCACCGCTGAGCTATGCTACTTAGTAACACAAAAGCACACAAACCACGAATGCGGACTTAGTCGATTGATACTCCTACCAGCAAAGTAACGTTGTAGACTACACTCGGTTTCCTTTCTTCAGTATGATTGTGACGAAGAACGATCGTAGTTATATACGTTACAATAATTATGTAAGTAGGTAAGAAATACTACAGGGCAAATTTATTTGTTTGTTCATTCATTATTTGTTATTGACCTAAAAGGAACTGTGAGCATTGAATTATCACAATTATTTCTATAAAAGCGTTAAATTTGTCGAAATGGTCAGTCCTTCCGCCCACTACGGGGAGGGGGTGGGGAGGTTATAAAGAAGTTCTTTAGAATCTACTTCGTAGACTAATGAGAACTTTCACTTTAATTATCGATTAATCGATGCCAGCGTGTATGTGCTGTTTCTATTCTAACCTATGTTTTCATTATTCTCGGTAGCTTAATTCCACACAGGAACCCTTGTGGGTTTACTCTCTTCAGAGACAAGCTCTTCTCACTTCGGGTTGGGCTGCAGCTTTGGACGGTGACACACAGCTTCACTGGTATTCAATCAATTCGCCACGTAAGAAACGGCAAGGAGACTGGGCCGAGTTAACTTTCGCAAAGACCTCTGGGATTGTTATCAAGGACAGGGAAAAACTGGCCAATAGCTGACCGGCGTGTCCCCAGTAACGATCCCAGATACAATTGCGGGACGCATTTCGGCTTCAGTCCCCTTCTCGTTTCTAAATGGACGAATGGACGAAGGCCATTGTAAACAAGCCATTATTGCATTAACCAACGTCAATGAAACAATTCATCTTCCCTCACTTCTCTGCAGCACGGTTTCCACCGGGGAGAAACAAGACACGCTGTTCTTTTTACTGTTGACATTCTTGGGGCGTTAATCGTCGTATTTAGTGACCACACAGTCACCATGCATGAGGCAACAATAGTGGTATCTCCTGACCGACCGGTAAACATCTCGCAGTGTCACGCTACCATATCAATCCCTCCTTCCGTTTTAATCACTCCTCCACCATTAGCTGGGGCCTTGAGAGAGTTGTTTACTTCTCGTCTGAATATGGACAAGTTCTGTGTAAACCTGTTTTAGGTAGAAAATTTCCAGGACTAAATGGGGAAAACAACTCAAACAACAACGGTTTTCATAGTGCAAGAAACGGAGAAACCAACATCGAATTCCCGAAGGAAATTATTTTAATGGTCCCACGGACCTGATGGACGTATTGCGAAGTTAGAAACCTGTTGAGCGTAGCGAACAATTAATACTGCGGGAAAATGATGCCACTGGGATTTAGATTATATTTTTTTAAATATAGCCAGCTTGTATCAAAACTTAAAAAGCTTTTCCTCTTTTCTTTGAACCTTTTCAAAGAACTGTTTGTCTTTAATTTAGGTGCCTCAAATGTCATGTTACCGTCGCTGGTTGTCGCACATAAAATCTCGAATGTTAACGGCTAGTTTTTTGGGGGCACGGCTCTTAACGAGAAGTCGATGCCAAACAGGCAAGCTGCACTTAGGAACTTGATCCTCAATCTAAAAGCAGCTTATAACCTCTTTTAATTTCTTTCGAGGTGGAAATTAAGGTTTTTGTTGATAACACACTCAAAGATGGAAATAAAAGATAAAATACCTGTCTCTGTTTTTGGTGATAAGTGATGGTTCAACTCCCTCCATGAGATTCCTAAAGCACAGAGCCATGTCTTCTTGTTTTTCAACTGGCTGCATTGCGATTACATTTCGCTGTAGCTCTTGAAAATACTAAAATAACAAAAGTAATTGTGCTCGCACGAGGTAACTAAGTTGTTCGAATTTCAGTTTGTTTCTTAACAGTTGAAAAACTGGTTAGAGTGAAGAAAATTGATACGAATCTCGCCTATTTCTCTTCATAATTTCTCATGCGCCACCATTTAATAATTTTGCGACGTCAACTCAGTTGATGTCTCAAAATTTAAAACGTTGGTGCGAGGGAAATTAACAGCAATTTCAACTGTTGCTGCTGTTGATTCTTCACAATGCGGCAAATAAGTGACGTCATAACTATTGAAATGTTTAAGATTCCTCCCTCAAATTGGTGGCACGGGGGAAACTTAACAACGAAAATAGGTCTTGGATGGCCTATATACACTTTTGTTTCACTCAAGTTAACAGAGAAGGAATTCACTTCTGACAAGTAATCGTTGATTTGACGGTGCGGGTTTCCTTTACACGCTAAATTTCTCACCTTTTCATTGAGAAGAATGAGGCCGAGCAGGGGTCTGGACATTGACCACTGAAATGGGAAAAATTCAACAGAAGTCAAACTTGAATAAAGCTCAATCTTAAACTCAACCTCAAACTTGAAATAAACCAAAGTTAAACCCAAACTCGCACTTGAACTGAAATTCAAACCCGACCTCATACTCAAATTTTACATCAAACACGAACTCAAACTCCAAAGCGAACTCAAACTCCAACCTCTAGACCGAACTTAAACTCGAACTCCGACTCAAACCGGCTCAAACTCAAAGATAACCTCAACTCGAATGAAACTAACTCAAACTGGAGCCTGAAGTCAAACTTGAACTTGATTCTAGATTCGTAATGATAGTAAAAGAATACTGAAAACACCCCGTGATTTGACGTAGTATATTTACACGGTACAAAACTATTAGTGATTCGAAGTGATATTCTGTTCAGTTTGTATCCTACCTGGTTTTTACAATCTTCAAACATGACGATGTTCAAAACTGTGGACAGCATCTAAAATTGGGACAGGGGAGAGGGACATCACTGAACTAAGTCTGGTAATTACTGATATTCACCATGCACCTGAGAAAGACAACCTGCAGCCGAAACGCGTCCCGCATTTGTTTTTCTGAGATCGTTACTGGGGACGCATCAATAAGCTATTCGCTATTTTTTCCCGTCCCTTGTAACAGTCCCAGAATTCTTTGCGAATGTTAACGCGGCCCAGTTCCTTCTCGTTTCAAAAGTGGCGAATGGCCGAAAAGTTAAAGGCAATGACTACTTTAACTACAACAAATTCACGTTAAATTGATATTAATCCATATTAAATTACAATACTTTTTGAAGTGGAACTGAAAAAAATTTGAATATGCCAGAAATTGGACAAGAAGGCTGTCGGAAATTCTCGCTTTCAAATTTCCCAGTGCATCCACTTTAGGTTGTTTTGAGGTCACATGGTCACGCTATTGGCTGCTGCCAAGAATCAAATTGGCCAGTTTAAAAACGATAAGGGGACTGGACCGAGTAAGCTTTTTGCAAAGACTTCTGGGATCGTTCCCGGGGACGCGCTATTCAGCTATTGGCCAGTTTGCTTGCCATCTCCCCAGTAACAGTCCAGGAAGTCCTTGCGAAAGTCAACTCGGCACAGTTTCCTTGTTTCTAAAGGCACAATTCCAATCTTGTTTTTACTGGCTATTGAGAAAAAGAATAGGCTTTTTCCAAGAATGTGACGTCTTTTTGTTATAACAGTGGACATTTCAGAATCTTGTCATGACGTGTGAAATACCATTGCGACCTTTCCTCCATTCCAAAGAGAAGTAGTAACGCTATGGTTCAGTTTTAGTCTTGGTTTAGAGAGTTTTAGATTTCTTTTGGGCTTTGAGGGCCTTGTGGCTTCCGCTCTTCTCTCTACTGTCCTCGCGGCTTGAACTGAATTAACGTACCTGTTGAATCATTTCTGGATGAGATTCTAAAATTCTTAAACATGGTGGCTGGTTCTCCATCCCCGCAGAGTTTTTCTTTCTTCTCTTAGACAGAGTTTTGAACAAATGTGTCACTATAAAGTCTAATGTGCCGCAGCATCCCGTACAAACCATTATATCTAAAAAACAAACAAGTGAAACGTTCAGCTCACATCAACGATGAGTCCTCGGCTGCCACAATCTTGGAAAAAATGTTAAGACAAATGGACGTTGCCTTGTCTAGTTTTGAGATAAAGTTCTTGAAAGCATTGGCAACTTCAACTACTCCCCAAAAATACAATTTTGAAGGCCGGCTGGATCATTTCTGACCTCGACTAAACAAGTTTGATCAGGGTGGAGAGAGGGGAGGGGCCATAGTGGTACCAAATCCGCCGGAAAGGCGATCTGTGTGTAAGAAAGTGTAAAATTCTCAACACTTTTTATCCAAGATTGAAGCCTTCTACGCAAACACTATTTTTGTTGTTGAAGCACTCTTCTCCCCAACAGAGGACGTTCGTTGGGAAGGAACATTGCTTGAAGTCCACGTAAAAGGCTAATTGACCAATCTAGCAGTCATTTCAGCGAGTCAGAAGAAAATTGAACGCATGTACCAGAGCTCCCAACGCATGGAAGGTTTGAAACTGGCTAAATATTTCCGCTAAAAGCAGCAACTGCTGCTCCCAAAAGTGTGTTTTCTTACCCCCTTAAAAACATATAGTTAAACATAATCTCCCCTGTTTCTTATTTGACCAGCAATTAATTTATTAGCAACAGCGCTTAGCACTGAAAGTATAAGCGCTATATAAATATTTTATTATTATTATTATCATTATTATTATTATTATTATTATTATTATTATTATTAACAGAGCCAGGTTGTTGAGTTCAAGCTCTTGTTACATTTGTAGCGGCGCAAAAGGCTCTGACCTTTACGAGACTTGGATGACAACGCAGAATGGTAAATCTATTTCAAGAAAACATTGCCATTAATTTATTTTTTACTTCTGCAACAATCGCAGACTCAAAACAGCTTTGTAGACCATCAGTTATGTCTCTCTCTTTCAAATAAATAGACTTGTTTTTAAGCCAGGTATGGCTTTTGTGGACTTTTGTTGCATTTAAAGTAAATTCGTAAGAAAAGAATTTCCTTGCACCTGCAGCGTCATAAAACAAGATCAATGCCTGGAGTTCTTACCTAAAGCTGTGAGGCCCTCCAATATGGAAGATAATATATACATAAATACCTGACAAGAAAAAGACAAAGCAAACAGAGTGATTTTACTTAACCCGTGATTTAGGTAGCAGAATACTAAACAATTATTGGATGGGGCTTTTATGATATCCGGAATAATAACGATCTCGGAAAGCGTTATCAGCCAAGCCGAAGGCCGAGGCTGATAATGCTTTCCGAGACCTTGATTATTCCGGATATCACAAAAACCGAATCTAATAATTTTTTTTATTATACATTGTTTTGAAATAAATAACGACAAATACACCATCGCACGGAACCGATCTGACATTGCTCTTGGAAATCATGCATTGCACGCGCAACCTACAGATTAGTTAGTTATCTGCTAGCAGATAACTAACTAATCTGTAGGTTGCGCTGATTTCCAAAATTAGCTGTAGGATCTCAGCCAATGAGAAGATAGACAGGGTGTTAAGAAAGCTTTTCATTTATGTTAGCTGTAGCTAGCATGTACTAGCCCAAGCGTCATTTTAACCAGCCCGAAAAAAAGTCTTGATGAGCCGGATTGATTAAAGTAATTTGAAACCTGCAATTTGAATTCCTCAAAAGACTTCACTTGCCTGTGAAGCGAGGTACGAAAGGAATTAACGAGTCTGATAGCAAAAACCACTAGCCCCGGGCTATTGGACGCGCCTCTCTTTGCACGCTGGGTGACGGAGTATCGCTATTTGCAATTTCGAGGTTGCGTGACAGACTTACTCCACACTAAACACCCAACATAATCCCATTATAACGCGCAACCTGGCACATAAACCCTACTTACTTGAGCTTCAAGACTACTTAGAAAGTTCATGTGATCCTGCGCTAAGATTTCCAACAACGCGTAATAAGCCTGACTTAGTTTAGGATATTCCTGTAAAAGAACAAATACATTTTCTGAGAAGTCAAACAGACAAGGGAAGAGCCAACAACAAAATGAACTGTGAGGGGTGTGAGAGAGGACTGGACAGAAGCTGGGTGACCAGAAGCTTTAGTGCAAAACAGAGCTTCATGCTGGGGGCGTGGAGATTTCCGCTTTATATGATTGTTCAATATATTCTCCCACTATGATAAATCTCTGCTGTTAGCGTTCTGCTATGCTGTTTGTGTCCGACTACACTCGAAAGCGTTACATGAGCACGGCACGATAACCTCGCAACAAAATTGACCAATCACGTATGTCTTACGATACATTTCACTATGAAGATTTGCGCTAAGGTTTTCGAAACTTCACTAATACAGCAATAAAAATAAAGCCTATATTTTTTCCAGGATAGCTTTGATATATAATGTTGGGATTTTGGTCTTGCCGTGCGTGCGAGCGCACAAGTAAAGCGCACCGTCAGCATAGACCTTCAAGCGTCTCTCTCCAGTCTCACTAACTCGGGGTGCTTACCATTTACATAACCCACCCGGGTGGAAATCTTGTGCATAAACGTTCAACTATTACATTTGAGGTGGTGGTAGAACGACCCCCTACAAAGTATATCCAAATCAACTGAGCAGAATAAAAAGAGAAGAAAAATAGCACCGCCTCAAATTACAGCCCATATTTTCTGACGCACAATAATTTTCAAGGAGTTATAAGAACTCCTCCAGTGGGGCTAATTTAACTCCTTACAGTAGAGTTATTTTTTGGGGAGTTATTTTAACTCCAAAAAGGATTTTAAAGAACTCTTTTTCAGGAGTAAAAGTGACCCCAGATATTGAGGAGTTAAAAAACCCCAAAAAAGGAGTTGTTCTGTACTTGAAATGTTTACTCCACTTTCAGAGTTAAATTAACTCCAAAAAGAGTAAAAACAACCCATGTAAGGAGTAAAAATAACCCCATTTCGGAGTTCTTTTAACTCCAGACTGGAACTAAAAAGAACTCTTTTTTCAGGAGTAAAAATGACCCCAAATTCGAAGTTAAATTAGGAGTTAAAGTAACCCCCAAAAAGGGGTTATTCTGTACCTAAAATGTTTACTCTATTTTTCGGAGTCATAATACCTCCCTTAATTTTACGGTGCGCTTCCCCAAATGAATAGCGTGAGCCATTTGATTTTCCAACCGGAATTTTTGGTTTTCCCATGTAAGTGGTATACCCTATACCAGATGCTTCTTTGATCGATCCAAAGCCCCAAAACAGATATGAGTAGTCTACGTACCAACAAGTTGCTGTGAGGAATTGAAGACAAAAGTTCCACAAACGTTTTCAGTGCCTTCTCTAAAGCATCATCGCCGTACAAACTAAAAACACCAAAGTTGACATAACCACCGCACAACGCGGCTTTCAACATGGAAAAACAGATGGAGATGCCTTTGAGCCTGATGGCAGTAGATTAAGGCAATACAACGGAAAAGATCGACACATGTCTATTCACACTCCGAAATAAAACCTGAGAAGTGTTTTCTTTCCCTGTGAGGGCTTGCTTTCCTTGCATTAATCAGAGCATTTACCCATTTAGAATATTCTTGGTTCGTCAGTGTCCTGTTCAATTTAAGCTTTGAATTGTTGATAAATCCTGCTCTTCTAATCATACCGCAGTCAGTAATGGAGCCGTTATTTGGGTTTCAATCACGCATTGATCGCACACAAAGAGAGACCGAGGAACGGCACTTTCGGTTTTCGTTCTTTGCTCCTAAACCGCACAGAAATGCTTGCTACGCAGGCTAATGACCCGTGCGGCCCTGCGCGCAATTTCGTTAGAAAACCATATGAAAAAAAGTTCCGTATTAAATGAGGGCCACGGGCGTCAAGTGACAGGGCCTGAAAACACGTACGGCCCTGCTAGAAAAGCGTACTGATCGATGCAAGTTCGCTCCGTCCGAAAAATTCAAAAACACATCGGTCATATGATAAAATGCTTATTGACTGAGTTAGGTCGGGCCGGACGGGAAAATATATGGATTACGGTCAGGACGCCAAATATTTTCCCGTCCAGCCCAACCTCGTCAATAAGTACGTAGTACTTACCGAGCGTCGGCCGAGTTTCTAAAACGTATCGACTGATATTCGACTGTTATATCTGTCGATAGCACTTATAGTGCGCATATCAAACAGTTAAAGGATACTTGAGTTTGTACACCTGGTCTTCAGATGTGTCGGTTAACGTTAAGATCCGTGAGCCTAAAAATAATCAAATACTGAGTCAATATTAGTTTTTTCATTGGAATTTCAATTAACTACGGTAAACTGTCGCTTATAGGCCCTGGGCTTATAAATCTTCGTAAGGGGTTTTACCAGGGCTTATAAACGGAAGAGCTTACATCCGAGGAGACTTAAAACTGGAGTAGAAAAAGCGCTTCAAAAAAAGTTATAGCAGTGCTGATCAAAATACATTTTGCTTTTACTGGTTTTTAATTTCAGTACAAGCTAGAGGGAGGAGGGCTTATATCAGGGGGGCTTGTAACCGGATGTATTTTTTTTTGTTTACAGGCAGATCGGCCTTTAACTGGGGGGCTTATAAGTGGGGGACTTTTATCCAGGGGGGGGCTTGTAACCGGTTGTATGTTTTTTGTTTACCGGTAGATGGGCCTATAACTGGTGGGGAAGGGTTATAAGTGGGGGCGTTTATATCCGGGGGCTTGTAATCGGATGTATTTTTTGCTTACAAGTAGATGGGCCTATAACTGGGGGGCTTGTAAGTGGCGGGGGAGAGGGGGCTTATATCCGAGAGGCTTGTAATCAGATGTATTTTTTTGTTTACAGGTAGATGGGCCAATAAGTGGGGGGTGGGGGTGGGGAGGAGTGCTTATAAACGGCCGTTTACGGTAGTCCCTGTTATCTACTCATCGTTAGTAGCAAGTTTTCCTGTTCGCCATACCGTAAGCGACGATCATCTGGCTTGTGACTCTGAACAGAAGAATCCCATTCGGTGACGACACATCAAAGTGTAACCGCTGTGATCGGTTCTGAACTAGTTCAGCCATAAGTTTTAACACTGGTGTGGACACGTTAGGATCGTGATACCACCACTCTATTGCTCGAAGCAGTACCGAGGTGTATGTGGGATAACTTGAACGAGTTAAGGAAAAGCCTATACACAAGCTACAGAGCAAGCTATATAAACCACCAGGCGCCTTTTTTTCTGGCAGTGCCACCCATAACAGCTAAATAGCTTTAAAGATTATATTACTTTCTTTTGTCGAAATCAGGCACGCAAATTTCGTTATCGCTCTTAACTGTATTAACTTAGTTGTTAGTTTTCTCAGTTTGGCAGCTTTGGCTACCATTTCAATGGCTTTTTCATACAATTTAGATTGTATTAGTACAGTACGGGTAATATCTTATAACACCTTTCAAGAATTCAAACAGGTAAAGCAGGGCGTGTCAGTCATTTGTAGATCTCTATGGCTGATTGTACAAAGGATACATCCAGTCGAACAGTAACATGTAACTAGATTTGCTGAAAGCAAAAGCCAGACCCCGGATGTCTCGACACAGACCCACCAGGGTACGCTACAACACAAACAACATAACGAAATAAACACCACAAAAATTGGCATTCTGTGAAACCTTGTTTCAACATGAACAAAAGAAATAAGGGCAATTTTTATTGCTAGTTAAGTCTTGTGTTAAGTCGGTGTTATAGCACAATGTTTCCTTTGCCATTTTCTCCCAACGATTCGCTGCAGATTGGTGACCCTGTGCACCGTAACATCTTTCCTGCCATATGCATGGTAACGTAATGTGACAACAGCCAATCAAATTGCTGCTCATTCGCCATGTGACGTTGCCTTCTTCACCATCCTCCTTGGTTTACCTGAGTTCTTAATGGGCAAATAGGAAGAATTCTCCCCCAGGGAAATTACGACGAAATAACGAAATTACGGCAGTGATGGCAACGGAAACTCAAGAAAGCAAAAGGTTAAATAAGCAAAACAAAAACTCTGCGCGAGCATCACGCTTTTCTGTACATCTCCTTGCCGTCCCTTCCAACTACGACGTGAAATGACCAAATTTTAAGTTTACTTGAGAACGGGAACGGCAAGATGATAAATTTTACTGCATCTCTGTCTGAACTCGCACGCGGTCCCCTCTCTTCAGCTCCAACCTAATTTCCCTTCTTTTAAGTAACTGGGCGACGTGGAATAATCGCGACAACGTTTGAAGGGTGGTCTATTGGCCACTTTAGTAACCAGAAAAGAACTGGAGCCGAAATGCGTCCCGCAATTGTATCTGGGATCGTTACCGGGTACGTGCCAGTCAGCTATTGGCCAATGTTCCCCCCTGTCCTTTGGACCCGTCCCAGAAGTCTTTGCGAAAGTTAACTTGGCCCAGTCTCCTCGTTTCTGAAGTGGCGAATATTTCAGCGGTGGCGTCGCCTTTGTGGGATCATAAGCTCCCTACTTTTTAGACAGCTGGGCCACCACGAGACAAACTTGGTAACACAGTGCGCATCTAGAACCTTCAAAGTTTCCACCATGAAATTCACGTAAAATCAATTAACAATACCTTGGTTTCTTCTTGTTGAAAAGCATTATTGCCAACAGCCACTAATCGACTTGCTACAGAGTCCATGGCGCCTGCAAGTAAAACCAACAAAATAATTTAAGGGTACTGTAAATATCGAAGTAAAAGGGCCATTTGATACTGACCATTAAAACTGAGATCAAAGCACTCATCACGTTATACAGGGGGAAAATAAAGACTTACTCGTAATTGGTGCCATGAATGACTCGAATTTGTCCTCATCTTCACCCAGGTCTACCATTAGCAATCTGCCAAGGGCAATGTAAAATGTGGTCCTATTGCGCATGTCTTTGTAAGGCCGTGATGCGTGCGTTCCGAGAAATGGAAAGTGTTCACTCTAAAAACCAACAAAACAAAATCGTTTCCGACAGATTAATAAATGTCATGTTTTTCAGTTTTTCACTGTTATAAAAAATTCCAACTTCAATGGTGGACGGATGAACTCTCAGCATCCTGGATTTACATACCGTGTGATTATTGAGTACAAACTGTACTGCCTCCAGCTTGACCAGTTTACGAGCACTGCTGTAGTTACGCAGAGTTAAGAAACAGTTCGGATGAATTTAAAACATTAAATGTATTTGACCCTTTAATCTTTCTTGAGTTACGTCATGATTTATGCAGGAGGCAGCGAGGCCGAGCGGTTAGAGCACTGGAATTGCAATCCGAAGGACCCGAGTTCAATTTCTCGAGCAAGCTTCTAAAACAGCCAACTGGTTCGTGTTATGTAAGTTCCAGTTATTTGTTTCTGTACTTATTTGTGGGCCACAGTAAAAACTGGGTTATCAGTAATTGTGCTTCCCCTATAAAATCAATGTTTTTTATCATCAGAAGGAAGTCAAACCGTAAGTACAACAGGACTCGAAAGTGTTTCCCCCATTATTCTGAATGCCACCGAGAGACGACGGGTTCGTAAATTCGAATTGCTCTCCACTCATGAAAAGCAGTTGAACGTCGAAATGCTGACAGATATGCATGTTGCAAGTACGCATGCTTACATATTTCCGCTGACCTGTATAAAAGGAGGCTCTAAACCACGATGAAGCCAAAATTTACGCTACAGTAGTGTCTTATTTAAGTCAAAGGGTAAGACATTAAACATCCGGCCTACATACAGGTTAAAGCCTTACAGGGAGTGATAATCAATCATAGATTTCAGACCTTGGCGTGGGAAAACTGAAAACTCCGCAAAACACCAATAAATTGCCGTGCAATCCTCCAATGCGCTGGCATCCCCACCGAAAAGCAGTATTCTACAAGTGATCTTTATTAAACGATAAGAAACCAAAATAAAAGAAAAGGATATCCAACAGACAGATCACTCAAAAGCTGTAAGGTTTTAGCGATAATGGCTTCGCTACTTCCCCAGAACTTCATGTTTGTGATTCTGTCAAAAAAAGGAGAGATCTCAATCATTATTACATTAAAGTCACAGAATTCTGGTTATAAGACACCAGTGATGGTAAACACCCTAGAAATACAGCCTCTTCTAAAACAGTTTCGAGTGTTCGCACGAGTTGACAAAAATCAGTGATAGGACCAGCAAATGGTGTGGTATAAGTGAACTTACGCAACAGGACGGGATAGAAAGAAGAGGGCAGACCTTGTGTGGCAAACGTGACAATAATTTTGTTCGAAAAAACTTTCCACCAAAACTTCACCTTCCTTTAAACAAATCTTTCCGTAAAATATCAGAAAACATTAATGTTAAGTGAAGATCACGCCAAAACACGCAAGTAATAGCCCTGTCACGTTTGTCACACACAAACGTTTTGCCGTTATCTTCTTCTTGGGGTCCTATTGCGTAAACTCACTATTATGGGAAACAGAAGAACGGCGAGAAAAGCGACGAACCGTCAACTATCAGGGTTCCGCTGTACTTTGCGTCTTAATTTACATAGTAAGGGATACCTCTGAGTAAGACAGACAGACAGTAAAAGACTGCTAAAAATCACATGTCAGTTAAATCCAAATCCAAACGTTTTCAGAAGATGCCCTTGCAAAAATTAATTTACGTTTGGCACAAACAAATGAAATTCATCAAGGATCATGCAACCGTTCAAAACTGTCCCTAAGGCACACTACCATAAAATACTTACATGTTTGAATAAGAGAACTGGTTTCAACGTTCCTCGAAAAAGAAAACAAAACAACAACAAAAACAACAATCGGAGTAAGTGTTAGGTCACTCAGTTTGTACCTACATTTTTCCCATGAAGACACTCAAAACATTAGATTCGTCATGTAGTCCGAGCCGCTCAGAAAGTCGTCTGTAAACCTATTTATAAAGAAATACGAATCTAATCAAAGCTATCGAGAAATCAAGTTCCTTCAGCTCTGTTTTTTTCCGGCACATAATAATGTTATTTTAACCACCTCTCGGAGACTACGTAAAGAATCATGTTTAAGTATCAGAGTTCAATTTTGCGGATTAAATAAGGTGGCAGGTTGCTTGGTGAGACTCACAATATTATGTGACTGTGGAGGAATATGTCATAAGAAGAATTAAGCAAGACTAGCTACCGAAGAATTATTTCAGATGTCTTAACTTTCGAGAACAATGCATTATTCATTCGCACAGAAACAAGTCGCTGCTATCAATCAAGCAATGCAAATAATCTGTCTACCCGTGACCAATTCCAACTGTGTGGAGATAAGTTTATGTTTTTCTCACCTTTGACGTTTTCTGCGCTTGGTCTCCAACGTACATCTTTCGGAACTGTTCAAAGAAACTTAAAATGGCAAGCTCTAATTTTTCACTTCCTCGCTGGGAAAGCTGAGAGTCTGTTAAATTCATCAGCTGCAATACCCTGTACGGAAGAAGAAATAAACTCATTAGCTAGAAATTTGAACCTGTATTGGCCACTTTAGAAAGGAGTAGGAGATTGTACCGAGTTGACTTTCGCAAAGACTTCTGCGACTGTTAATGGGACATGGAAAACAAACTGGCCAATAGCTGACTGGCACGTCCCCAGTAACGATCCCAGAAGTCTTTGCGAGAGCTTAATCGGCCCAGTCTCCGTCTCAGCTATGTAAGTTTTGTATACAAGGGAGTTTTCACGCCTGACATATTTTCGCGTTACGATAAAGATTAATATTAATTATTACGTAGAGGTAAAGCAACATCAAAGGTCGACTGCTTAAGTGAAAACTACAGGTTAGGTGGAAGAGCGTTCGTGGCCTAAGCCGTTTAGTATTAAAGCAGTGGCACAACTGGGTGGTCCAGATCTATCTTGATGCACCCATAACACCAGAAACGGCTATAAAATTTAAGAAATGAACAGCGCACGATTGAAATGAATTCGATTTATTATGACATTTTGAAGCTTGATTATACACCAGTAATAACAAAATGAATTTTGATCAGCACTATGGAAGTTTGTTTCAAGGCACCTTTTCTATTCCGGTTATATGCCCCCCTCCGGATATAAGTCCCCCGTTTGTAAGCCCTTCAAAAATTCGTTATGCAGAAGTATAAACCCGGGGCTTATAAGCGGTAGTTTAAGGTATTGCACAAAGCCTAGCCAAGGGCAATATGAAGAATTCCGAGTTCCATTCTACAATACTGATAGCAAGTTAATTGGCCGGTAAATAACGAGTAGGAAGTCTCTAACACTTAAATAGAACAGGACCACACCCACCTACAAACGAGTTCGCCATCCAATGCGTCATACTCATCAATTGTAGAATAAGACACTCGACCCCCAATGACTGCACCAATGATGTACACGAGCCATGTTAAACGACCTATACCAATACAGACAAAAAAACCCGCGAGTAAGAACCTGTTCGGCTAAAATTTGCCAGTTGAGCCCCCTCTATATAAGAACCCCAAAACTTTTGAAACGCGCATCAAGGCCATATCTGGGTTGTGTTTGTTGCTGGTTTTGTTTTGTCTGATCCAATAACTTTTTCTCCGGATTTCTGTTTCAACATTTCTAATTCCAATTCGGTCTGGAAAGTGTCCCCAATTGGACAATTAGACGGCTACAGGTTTATCATAGTTCTTGAAACTGTCAAATGCCACCGTCTCTAAGGGTACCTTCCTGGATTGCAACATCTGTTGCAGAAGCTGATGCATTTCGAGCCAGTTCTTGATAGCTCTGAGCTGCTTGGTCAAACAATGAGATTAACAGTTGGCAAGTCTTTTCATATTCACATCGTCCAAATGTCGACAGCTGGGAAGGAACAAAATGGAAAACAAAATGTTATTGGATCAATGCGAGAGTGGTGCTAGTGAGCCTTTAACATGCTATCTCATTTAAAATCACCCGCTCCATTCCGCGTAAATAAAAATTTCAATCGCTGCTTACATTTACTATTAATATACTATTTATACTGTTAATACTATTTATACTATTAATATAGTATATTGAATAAAACGACGCGCGTTCAGTGTAACGGCATCTTCCACTGATGAAGGGACAGTAGTCCCGAAACGTCTGGATTTTCAAACATTTTAGCGCTAAGAACACAAAGACAAATTTTAATTGTAATCTACTATTTAGTGTGCCTGCTCTGTCAGTTTACCTGGTCAAGCTGTTGTTGAACTGTTCCAGTATCATCAAGTGGATCTTCCGCACTTTCCCTAACAACACAGGGAAATTATACCCCAGTCAGATCAGATGTGCCTGTCATTTCAAGTCACAAAATATCCCTGAAACCCATTTCTCCATTCCATTTCCCATTTTCCACTTTCACTAACCTTACGACTACTTCAACCGATGCTAGCCGTGACGTCACATACGCTTTGGTAACCTACAGTAAGATAGGAGAGAAAAAACATAAAAAACGTGTAGCGATATTGCAGTAGCCTGCATAACAGGCGTTTCATAGGCCGTGTTCGCCTCGCTTGGCTCATAAAGCGAGAACATCTCAGTACTGCAAAAGCAAGCAAACAAACAAAAGCAAAAGCAGATTCCTTGAATTAGCGGTAACCGGTCGTTCCCATACAAAGTCGTTCCAATACAAGTCGTCTCGGTACAAATGGCAGTCGGTTCGATACATACCTTAAGACAGTTCGATTCACTCAAAGGTTGTTTCTATACAACCAGCAAACAACTTGCCACCCTTGAAAGATTTGGTCAATATTTACCAGCCCCAAATTACTGAACGTCTCTTTTCAGTCTTGAAGAACAAATAGAATTTCTTTCTCTCCAAAGACTCTCCGATTTAATATGCGATTTACGAAATTTACGGTCGTTTCGTCGTTTGGCTGAAGTCCCGATCGCTTAACGCCTTAACTCATTTCGCTAACGCGTTGCAGATCAAGAATATCAATTTCTACAGTTCTTAGTAACTTGTTTTATATGTTGAAGCATTTGAAGCATTATTGAACTACAGTTATCTTGTTCATTGCCCATAATCGTCCACGTAGTACGTGAACAAAAGTTAAATCCCAAACAGGACGAGGCACATAAAAACGCACATTATCGACTGCTTAATTTTATGCCGACAATTTTGCACCTGACACAAAAGCAGAACAAGCAGTCGGGGTAGGAGTGTTATATCGCAAATTGCCTGACGGATTAGGAGAATTGTTAACATTTGGAAAGGCAATCTAGATTTAAATTTCTAAATCAGGATTTCGCATTTTACAATAAAACGCGAAATCTAAAAACGGATTTCAACTTCCAGAAATGCGCCCTTGAGGTGGATTTCAACTGAGACATCCGATCCAAATCCGGATTTAAAGGATTTCCTTCTTTACCGCTTTATCGGAAAATTCCAAAAAAAGGATTTGCATGTGCGCGCGTGCGAGACCGCTGTTCCTGCAGAGAACAGTTTTTAAAATCCTTTTTCGGCTTTCCCAAAAAAAGCGAAAAGAAAGCAAATCCAAGGACAAATTTCAGAGCAGATTTCAGACAGAGCGTCATTCGGATTTCGCGTTTTACTGCAAATAAGATATCCCGATTTTAACATCTAAATCCAGATTTTCCAATCGGACGCACTCTACATTTACAACTCAAGTCTTGGGCTAGCTCTTTGGAGATCTTAGTCAGTAAGCTCTTCAAGCAAAATCCTGCCCTTCAAGCAAGCTAATTTTCTCATTTTGGTCTCACCCTGGTTAGATTATCAGGATTACCTCAGGGGCATAAGTTTCCAGTAGGTGCGGTTCTGTGTTCTTTACGTACGGCATTGAAGCAACCATCCTTTGCCATAGACTAAGCAGGTAATGTAAACTATTTGGAGCAAACTGCCACATCTGAAAAATAACTCACTCGTCAATCAGATAAGTCACAAAGAAGAAGAGGGCACAACATGTTTCTTCTAATTTATAAAAATCTGGGAATTGCTATCTTTTAAGCATTTAGCAAAAGAAACATCAACATCAGTGATTCTTTTTGAAGTTCGAGAAACCTCACTACCGTTCTTTATATTTGTGACCTTGCACGCGAAAATGTACACCAACGGCTTTCCGTTTACAAGCCGTTAGTCAGGCGTTCGAACGTCTTGGTCGCCCGTTCGCTGGAAACATCAGCCCGTTCGAACGGCTTCGTCACCCTTTCGTTGGAAACATCAACCCGTTCAAACGACTTGGTCACCCGTTCGTTAGAAACAATTTTGATTTGAAAATATGACTTTTGCGGTAGTGGCATTCTGATGGTGAGAAGTTAACAGAAAATAACCCTTTGAAGACCCAAGAGTGACTAACATCAATTCTCCAACCAAAAAAAAACATAACCAAGTAAAAAGGTTATGAGAATTGAGAAATTAATCGCCAAAGGGGAAATTAATACTTTGATCTTTTATCATTGACAAATTCTCTTAACTAATTCTGTAAGGAAATGTATGGAGATTAGTTTGGAGAATTAGTGTGTGGATATATCGAGGCTTAAAAGGGGACCAGCCGTTTTTTAAGCAATTTAGAAGGAGTCTTTTGCAACTCACTGTTCACTGTGTTTTGAAGGATTTTCTCATCCTCCTTCTGTGTTCCCACACTCATTTATCCATCTACAGCTAGAGGGCATAAAAAGTGTTTCTGTGCGACTATGTGGCAGAAGTTGGAACATACTTGCTACACAGGATAACCACTGGCCGACTTATCTATGAAACCATGCAGGACAATTCTTTAGATAGAATAAAAGGAACGGTTGCAGAAATTTGCACTTGATCCCTTACCCCCCCTGATCTAAAATTTCACTTGGTGACCTATTGTAGCTACATGTAGTGCTCTCACCTGAAGACTTGTAACAGTGAATTTTGCTATAAGTGCGATAAATTCACTGTACCCCTCCACCTTGACTATCTCTCCCAGTTGATAATTAGACTTCAGTCTTGCTAGAAGTCGACAAAACTCGTGATAATTATTAGGGTCAGCAAGAGACTGAGAAGAAAGAAAAGAAAACAAGCTAATATTTCATCTTTCACATAGTACATGTACACACAAATTTCACAGTTGTGTACATGGTTCGTACAACTTCAGACAAACAAATGTTAAGGACTTTTCGAGGATTTTTCAAGAACCAATTACAGTTTTGAAGGACTAAGATTTATACCATAAATTGACGTTCTTTAACCCTCTTTTGAACACCTCACTGGCTAAAACACTTCACGAGGTCTTTTACGATTTTAACTTCTTCAGCCATGATGGTTGATCACATTGTAATTGCAAAACTACTTTCGGCAACAACACTTTGCAAAATGACTGGGTATCACTTGCAATTGCATCTGAGGTAAAGAAATCACATTTGAAATAAAGACACAGAAATAAAATATTGTTCTTGAAAGCACAAAAATGTTTTTACGTTAACCATGTCGAGTTTTATAGGTTCTTACACCGAGGATGAGCCAGATTTTCCTCGGCGAAATAATCTAATTTTACAGAAAACGGGTGTCTGGCACAGACGATTAAGGTAGTGAATTTCAAGGACTTGTGCATTAAGGCAAGCTCTATTTTTAGTGGCAGTTACGTATTTGGGAAAGTATTAATTAAGAGTTAAGTGTGCACATTACTTAAATTTGTGCCCATTATAGTCACCTGTGGAGATTCTAGAATTCCTTTGACACCTTGAACAAGCTGTTCCAGGAACTTGGCTCGTTCAGTGTTGTTAAACAATGATCTCCTAATAGAAGCAAGTTGTACCAAACAAGAAAGAGCCTACAAAGTGAAAGCAAAAATACTTGAGTGTAGTATATTGACTTGTACATTGTGAAATGTGCCACATTTCCAAAAATAGTGGGATAGTTCTATGTGTTCTAACCATTGGCCACAAGAAGATGACTGGGGTGATTCATTCTTTAATACTGTAGCTTCTGGTATTGTTAAATAAATAAATAAATAACAAATAATAAATGTTATTTAGCTAGGGTGACCTCTTCAGCATAAAATGCTGATATCAATGAGGGCTCTAAGGTGGTAAATTTACTGAACAGATGAATAGCAGAAATGATTTACAAACAATGATGTAGGCTGCTGGCAACTACTTCAAACTAGAAATTTCCAATCGCCAAAACAGCAATCTTACCATGGGTGAAAGTGAAGCTGGTAGAGCTCTGTACAAATTGAAAAACAGCTGAAGAGTGGCAAAATTCAGAAAGGCTGTAAACAGTAAAACAGAGTTGAATAAATCAAGACAGTGATGTGTATTTCTTGGAAGTAAAAATGCCATGAAATAAGGCATGATTTCTTTATATAAGGCAGAATCAGCAAGTGAGCAAGATGAAACAAATCTTGCATTCTGATTAGCTACCCGAGTGCACAAGATGGGCCCATCTTGCCCCCTTGGGATTTTCAGTGTTGGTCCTGCAGGAAAAAGGTCTCTTTTTGGCCATTTATAATAAAATTAATCCTCTGTTAACCAAGTTTGTCCTGTCATGACGGTTGGATATTGGCCACATTCTTTTTTCCATTTTTTTCTTACCACAACTTCATCTCAGTCCATTAAAGCACAAAAAACAACTTGGCCAATATCCAGCCATCTTAAGACCTCTTAATCTCACCCTTGGTCAATAACACATGTATATCATTGTACAAAGTCATTATTTGTACCTCCTCTCCAGCTGGTGGGGATCTGGACCGTACCAAGATCATCAGAAGACTCATCCATAGATGTACCAATGAAATCAAATGACAGGCAGTTACAGGTAAGCTGAAGGAGATGGCTCATTAAAGTATGCTATAGGAAACAATGAACAATGTGAGTATGTAAATTGTATAAAGCTATTCAAAACATTGTCTGAAAGCCTAGTTGGCTAGTTTTGGATGAGCCTTTGGTGATATCCAGAATAATCAAGGACAAGGAAAATAGAGACCTTAACATGCACTGTTTTTGTGTATGGGTAAGGGTACAGGTACATGTACACATAAATTACCAGTTACACATAGCTGTAAATTGCCTCCTACACCAGAAAACATGTAGGCCATCGGGTAGAACGGAAATGCTATCATCAGATCTGGGAAATCATGGTCGCCTTTTAAATTACTGGGTGACAAACATGTTGGCCTACCTGTAAAGGTAAACCTTTTTGATTTTTAACACCATTCTACAGCACTGACAACAATGAATTAGTTTTTCTTGTAGAAAATTGCACCACGACATAACATAAATTGTGATAATTTCTGTTTTGTGTTTTTACAAGTGCAAACTAGAATGAGAACAAACAATGCTGCCGTAGGAACAGATTACATTTACCTGACTTCCATCCTGCAAGTTCAGCTGTTTGTTATATGCCTATAATGAAGTATGGAAGAGAGGAGAAAACTGAGTGAATCAATAATTAAAAGAATTCTGTCAGATTTTTTCACCACCTACAATCAAGGACAAAGGCCTTCGGACAGTAATGCAGTATTCATAATTTTCTGTAATTTCTGGGTTCCTTCATAATACAGAGCAACCTTTATAAAATTTTCTTGCAGATCTCCCTCCCCCCACCCTATACAAAGTCAAGACTTGGAAAAAAATCTGGATGTACACATGTCCAACGGTGTTAATGAGGTGAGGGGAGGGGATGGGCATGTGTAAATTGGAAAATGCCCCAGAAATGCAAAAGTGTATACCCCAAGACTTTTGCCCACGATTGTAGGTACATTACTCACACCTATCTTTCTCTGACAGCCAAGGCAAACAGGTAAATAATTACTTTTTTGGCCAGAGTCTCAAAAAAAAAAAAGAAAAACATAAAGCAATAAGATGATTGCAGCAGAGCAAATTACCTCCTGTAACAGGGTGATAGACAGATTGAAGATGTTGAAAAGTGATAAATCTCTGAATGAAGAAGCAATCTGAAAAAATTAAGAGTAAATCAAAATTACAGTGTAATGGAACGTCCTTATCAAAAAGCACTACAGAATACACTTGCATAATGCAATGTACGACTACATTGGGTTGAACTGCCTGATAATAGCACTGTTATGATCAAGGCAAAATAAGCATAATTATGGAAATTTTTTTGTTTCCTGAAACAAAAAAAAGGACAGAAAAATAATGGAAACTTTATTGGTGTTTTTGAATGTACAACTGTAAATCTCGCTAAGTATAGGCAATTTACAAATGCTGCTTGAGATTGGATTATTAAAAAGAAAAAACAAAAACAAAAACAAAACAAAACAAAAGCAAAAAAAAAAAAGAAATCAAAATTGCACAAAGTCTGGGCTATCCCAGTTCCTATTTCTACAACAAAAGATGTAATTTATGTTGCTCTAATGGCTATATTTATCATTTTCTTGCATTCCTCATGTCTAAGAACGTGGAGCATTCATCGGAGAAAACGCCAAGGGAACTCATGGAGAGATTTACAAATCTCACACATCTGTAATTTCTACTCATTTCGTTGATCAAGTTCAGATATTTTTCTTTCTTACACACTGCAAGGTTAGACTCGAAACCAACTGTTAATTCTAGAACATATAGGCACTTGGACTGGATTAGGAAAAGAAGATCTGGACGATAATAATAATAACAATAATAATAATAATAATAATAATAATAATAATAATAATAAAATACCTGATAGTATGCAATGCGGTAAATTATCTCTTCAGATCTTAAGGTTCAAAATGAGCTTGTAACTGCCTTTAATTTTCCTACTATAAATTAGATTTACAGCTGTAAACAGGGTAATAGTGGAGATCTTGGGCATGCAAAGCACGCAACAGCAGAGCACCATGGGTAAGTAAATCTACCCATCCCAGATAATTTGGTAATCACGTGACTGTACTCCAAAGAAATGTGCAAAAAAGTGTGCTGCACATGCAAAGTTGTTTTTTTGCTAATTAAACCCATTGTTGTTTTTTTAGCGTTCTCCAGCATTGCCTTTACCACTTGGCATTACACGATTTTATATTTTGTTTGAAAAAAACTATGGCTAACTCTATATATTATCTTCAAGAAAAGTCAAGTGTAACAACTACTGAAATATTAAATTTAAAAAAAACATTGCAAAAAGTTTTAATGGACCTGCAAACTAACCTTTCTATGTTTAGTAAGGGATCTTGTTGAATCCGCCTGAGAAAAAATATTCATTAATATTGATTTTTTTTGTAGTAAATATAGCCATATTGTACAAATGTAGCAACTCATATATAAAAAAAGTTACAATTACTCTGCACATTAAAGTAAGATACCATGAAATACCTGATTCATCTCGCACACCAGCTGTGAAAGTATATGTACACCAATAATACAATGATCTACAGAGCCCTGAAATATAAATGCAAGACTTAAGACAAATTCTACAGTGAAAAATCTATTGTATTATAACCAGTTCATTAGCTTCGTAAATTATTCCCTTTTGTTTTTCAGACAATAATATGTTCAATGCAGTTCAAATCAGTAAAGAAATTAATTATTAAAGAGATCAGATCATCACCTGAAGAAATTTTCCAACATCATCTACGATAGTCCTGAACACCAACTCAGTCTTTTGCACATCAAACCAGCTTAGTTTTGTCAGCCTTGCAAGAAACTAAACATTCAAGAAGAAAAAAGCAACAAAACAGTTTCAAAATTAAAAATAAACTATTAGCTCATATGAATAAACACCTGCTATTCCAGAAGTCAATAAATTCAGGCAGTAATCAAGATTTTTTATTGGGCTTAACAATTCATAAAAAAATTGATAATAATTAAATATTAACTTAAATAATAATAAAAACAAAGAACTCGTCCAATCTTTTTGTCTCCTTTTCAAACTAAAGAACGCAGACGCGATGTTTTGCATACGTTATTTCTCAAAAAGTTAGGGGGAAATGGCGAAAAAAATTACAGGGCAATGTTTGTCTACTGAATCAAAGGTTGCATACAAAAATTCAGGCAATTCTGGGTAGAATAGAAAAATCGACATAAGTCCCGACATAAGACATTCATGCCTACTCTTTATTAATAATTGATGATAAAAATAAATTTTTAAGTTACTGATAACTTCATAGTGATAAATACTTAACCTATGAAAGGACAAATTCCCGTGAGAATATTATATGGTCAGAATAAAATCGGAAAACAAAACATAAAAGCCAAAAAGTTATTTTAAAAAACATCAAAAGAAAAAAAATGGAATCTATGCAGTGTACCTGAATCAGAGATTGTGAAACATAAGTAGCAAGATTCAGTCTTGTTCCAAGGTAGGTCAGGACATAGTTACCTACAACACAGCAACAATGATAATTATTTCTCAAACAATGAATTTCATTAGTCTGCCACATGATAATGTGACAGTGCGCTTTATAGTCTACTATACTACAGGGTGAAAAGAAAGTCACTTTTTACAGCTTGCCGTTTCGGCAAGCTGTAGCTAGCATGTACTAGCCCGAGAGTCATTTTAACGAACCCCTGGTGGGCTCTGGCAACTTACACATGTACTTATGCAGCTATTTGGCAAAACTTAATTATCAGCAGGGTTCTCTGGATTTCAAAAGTTTAGAGCTTGAAGGTTCCCCATAGTATTGTTAGAGTACAGCCTTGCTACAATACAGGGTATAATGTTTTAAACTCATCACCAATAGATGAGCTTAGGTGCTGGTGCCTACAAAGTTGGTGGAGCCAGGCAATGCTCTAGCATGAGGAGGTATCCATGGCAACCCCGTGAGCAGCCCCCACCAGGTACTGTTACACTGAACAATTCAGCGGAATACTTACCAACCAATACTTACCTAGCCCAGTCCTACAGAGGGAGGGAGGGATAGGAAAAACCAAAGCACAAAATGGCATGCAAACAGCAAGCTACTGCAACAACACTTTGCAAAGAACTGCAAGCAAGCAACTGAGTATACGAGTCATGAGGTGTCCCTGCTAGAGGCATTGGGCCACCCTCAGTATAGCTGGAAAAACTGCTGACCAGCAGTGCTTTGAGGTTAACTTTGCCTAAATTACTTTTAGCCACGTTTGATTAAACCCACATTTAACAAGTACCACATTTAACATGTCAAATACTCACGCATATCCAGCCTCTGTTCAACAGGAAGAGTTGTATTTTTACTTATGAGTCGTGTCAGAGAGGATGCTGCTAAAAGTTGTGAATAGGAAGACTACAAAACAATAAAAAATAAAAAAATATTGTATACTTCTCAGTTGGTCCATTGACATTGAGAAGGGAGAGGATATTAGAGAGATTAAGCAGTCCGTTTACAGCAAATGGCAAGCATGAATTTGTACCACATGACCAAGTCTTCCATTCACTTGTGGTTTACTATTCATTATAACTACAAGAAAATTGGTACATTCACGTCAATTCTGTCCATAAGAATTGTTTTAAGCTGTTTTTATCTGCTCATTTCTCATTTTGAAAATTTCTCAACTTGAATCTCACGTTTGCCGTTTGCCATAAACGCAATGCCTAATCTCTCTATTAACTCTCTTAAAATATATAAGAATTTTTAATAAAATCCACGCTAAAGATGGGCCACGGATACAGATTTCTGAAGGTAAGGTTTATTTTTCCATCACGTTCAGGTACAGGTTAACTACATGTAAGTGATAAAATAAAATTCCAAACTCAACCCATGTGTGACTGTATATTGGAATGTTTGATCATCTGTGAAGTAATGAAATCACACGTGCACGTCAAGTGTTAACGCGTACAAGAGCAAATTATAACTCGTGTTTGTACACAAAAAGTAGCAGGCAATCTTAAAAATCAACTTCACGAAAATTACTTTTAGCAAAGTGTCGATCACTATACGTTCATATGGAATCTGAATGAACTCGAGCGGAAACCATTGTAGCTTAAAAAGTGAAAACGAAAGGTCATGAAAGGTCTAATAAGTTTTTCGTGGCCATAACGGCGCGATAACAAATTAAAGAAAAGCTCGACGAAAACTTGACTAAAAATGACCCGTAAAAATGTTGAAACTTACATTTCCTCGTTCCAAGAGGTATTGACACTTTCTGAGACAATCTGGGGAGTTGGTAAAGTTAGCTAGGGCCCGTTCCGCAGCGTTTCGCGTTGCAGCGTCCGTTGCTTCGTACAACTGCTTGCACAGGAGGTCCAGTTGAGCGATCTCCTGCAAAGCACATTTGAGTGTTAAGGTTTGTAAAACATGGTAAATGACTGCGAAAGGAGCTAACTGATGCTCAATTAACGAGTTTTTCCCGTTTACCTGTTCCTCCATTTTTGTTTTGGAGCAAGACGTGGACTGGAGCACGCTGCATGCGCGCGGCAACAGGACCGCTGAATCGAGTGGAACAACGCGGGCTCCAACGATCACTTTAGGCGGGAATGAAGGGGACCAATCAGGCAAGAAATGTGAGATTCACATACCATTTATTTTTTGCGGGGATGGGAGGGGTGGACGCGGAGGCAGCAGCAACAACAACAAGAAGGAGAAGAAATATATGTGCGCTACACACTGATAATACGCGCAGTGTGGAGCATCGCTTGCATAAGACTTGTTCTTGGAGCAGCGTAGTTTAATCAGCCACAAACAGCTAGCGGTGATAAACATATGTGTTTATGTTCGGAATTTGCATTTATGGCCGCAGTTTGATCCTCTAGGGATTTTACGTCACATCTCGGTATTTAAGCCTTGTCGTCTCTCGCGTTAGTCACTCGACACAGCCAGTTTTACCGCTCGCACCTTGCCGAGCTTAATTTTTTCTAGTATGCTGTTTACGTTTAGTCTCGTAGTTTACTGTGATGTAATTCGTTTTTCTCCGCCACTACTTTATTTCTTGTACGTTAGCTTTTTCTCGTCCCCAATAAACACAACTGGTCGTGTCCTTCCTATTTCAACGTGTTGTTGCCTTTCTGCTGATTAGAACTTAAACGTTTTCTCTGCGGCGGAACGCAGTGACTTAGCAGAGAATGCCAGGAGCCTACGGGCTCCTGAAATTGTAAGCTTTCGCATTTTTATATAAACTTGACGTTTCGTATGCTAGTCAACATACATTTTCAAAAGTGATCTAAAGTAACCGGCAGATTACGACAAGACTATTTTTACAAAATGTACAAAATTAATTTTTCGCTTGCACGGTTTACATCTCGATCTCCAGACTTTGAGATAAGAACAGCTTTGAAAAGCTTTATCTCGGCCCTGGCTCTTGGCGCTGCTAAAAACTGAACACAGCCGCCTCACCTTGCTCCGGGATCGATGAGAGGGCGGCTGTATTAGTCTAAAAGTCAGATCTTATTAAACGCGGCCTTTCCCTCCCCTTTAATTTCTATTTGACTTTATTTGATTATTTTTTAATTTAATTTAATTTATTTTATTTTGATTTAATTTAATTCATTAATTTATTTGTACACGAAAAAAAAAATTCAATACTTAGGGTGCGTTTCTTTACTAAAATCTGAGATCGGATCAAAAATCCGGATCATTAAGATTTTTCGTTAAGAAGCAAACGATGTGTTGTCAGACAGCTGCCGTATGTACTAAAATTGTTCCGAGTGATACGCGCTTGTGGCTGTATTCACTCTTTTCGGATCCGTAGCAAAGAAACGCTTCGGATCATGTATCTTAAGTATCCGGTTTTGGATATGATCCAAAGAAGCCACCTCCGTTGTGGATCATTTGGATCAATGATCCTCTTTTGGATTTTAGGAAAGAAATGAAATATCCATTTTCGGATTAAAGATCCTGATTTGGATTTTACTAAGAAGTTCGCACCCATATAGACCGATTTTTTTTATGACCTTGAAAAATGGTTTCGGTAAGTGTTCTTTATTTCTTTTATCAGCCAATGAATGAAAAGATCAAAACATGGCCTCTTCGTTATTCCGCAAAAGAAAACCCCAATATGAAAAAGGCATTGTTCGATTGGCCAACTGTGTTGCAGTATGACGTAAAAGCGAAGTATCGGTTGATTCGTTGTCCCAGATATGATAGTTCTCTAGCAACCAACCAGAAGCCACGCGCGTTTGTATGCGTTCGATGAACCAATCAAATCGCTCTCTCGAATTCTGTTTTGTTCGCGCGTTTTCATTTCAAGGTCCTGCGAAAATCGCTCTATCTAACAATTCGTTCCGCGAGCGAGCAGGATAGTCACCACTTGCACACTCGGGATTTCTCGATTTGTTCCGCTGGAAAACATTTCTCTGTTTTGGCCAAATAATATAAAGTATAATATTAACCAAGGCTGTTTAGTCAAGAAGGCTGGATGCTAGCTGCATTATTGGGCGGCATCTCTTAGTCTCGGTCCATGCATAAATACTCAAAAAACGAACTGGGCCAATATCAACCCATCTTGACCTCACACGTATAAACTTTGAGATCCCATAGTTAATGCATGGCGCAAAAGCTACGTGCAAACGAACACAACAACTCCCAATATTGTTCGCCCGACAATATTGGGAGTTGTTGTGACAGTGTTGGAGAGTGGTGTGCAAACAACTCCAGACACTGTTGGGACCTGCAGTGCATCGTGGGAAGGATACTACCCATAAGACTTTGGAGACCATGTGTAATGCGCGTGCGTGGCTCCAACAATGTTGGAAGAGCTGTGCAAACCGATCCAACATTGTTGCGCTTCGCTTCGGCGATCACAGAACAAAAGAAATCTTGGGAGTTGTTGGCTCAAAATTTTGAACCGTTTCAAACTTTGCGGAACAACACGCAACAACATGCTGGCAACATGGCGTGCAAACGGACGCAACATGTAACATCCAGCAATGTTGCATCTGTTTGCGCGAGGCATGATACATGAAAAACCTCCATGCATTTTTCCTTGTGTCAATGACCTGTTTTCGATTAGCCAAACATGAAGAGCCTGTTCGCAGGTTATTTTTCGATACCCTGCTGAAACAGTTTTGACACGACAATTCTTATGTGATCAATCAGTTATAGCTTGTTTGGTATCTCTTCCAAGCAGACTTACAGACTGTTCTTAATTATATCGAACAAAACTTGTTTTCGTTTGGAAGCTTCGCTTTTAGGTTTGCATAAATCAATATTTCATCTTAAAATTAAATATAATATATAGATTTAGCCAGGGCTAAAAGCGAAGCTCCCCTTAATAAATTTGCAGCTTACATCAAGAAAGAATTTTGGGACTTGTAACCACTGCAAAGAAATCGATCTTGAATAAAAGAGATTTCCAGACCTCAAGAAACGGCTCGTTGAGGATTTCCACTTTGAAAATCATGGAACTTGAGCTTACGATCAATTGAAAACTAGCGACCGATCAGCGGTAAACTTAAAAAGCCACGTGGTCTCTCAAGACACCTGAGCCCGCGACACAGCATGTCGTACTGGTCAGTGGATATTCTGTTTTGACAGCTGTCGATAGGCCATAACATGGATGTGCAATGTAGGAGAATGTATATAGTTGAATTTCCTCGAACTGGATTCTTTGGGACTGCCACCAAGTTTAGAGAGAGAAATTTGTAGTCTTGAGTTTACGTCCTCCATAAAACTTCGCTTGAGGGAATTTTACCTCACAGTCGTGCAGTGACGCCAAAGAAATGTACAACAAAGTGTGCTGCATGTGTAAAGTTGTTGTTTTTCTCATAAAATCTTTTGCTTTTTAGCCGTTCTCGTTGCCTTCGCCGTCGTCGTGCTATCCAAAGCTCCGTATTATCTACAGGCTCCCACATTAATAGAAAGTGTGAATTTTCACATTGGTTTCTCTGTGGTGCGGACGGAGTGACTGCCAAATTTTCTTAGCTATATGGGGCACGGGCTCGCTCGTGGAGCTCCGCTATAAGGTATCATTCATTTCATCAACATATCTCGATGGAAACAAATGCGAGGATACAGTTCTCATTTTTCTTAAAAGATGTTTCGAAAATTCATAACTATTATTCGCTAATATGCAAACTCTAATTTAGCCCTATGATATCGGCCCTTTAAAGTGAAGAGTTAGCAGTCTTAAACCTGTGTACTGCCCAGCCTAATGTCTAAAACAAACTCAGAAGCTAAAATTTTTATCTTAATTCTCAGAGACCGTGACTGAGGTCTGTCAAGACCAGACTTTCGTATTTCCTTTCACCTTTGCCAAAAGCACGTTTCATCAATTAATTCGGGAAAACTGACACGGGATGTGAAATGATGCCAAAAAATTGTACTGAGATGATCACGTCGCCAAAAAATGGGTAATGTGTTGTCTTTTCCGGTTTAGTGTTCTGTTACGTCAGGCTTGCGGAAAAAGGAAAATGGGGAATGGGAGCAAATCGTGGAGAGTATAAGTGTTGAGTAGTAGTATTGAGTAGATTTTCTGTGCAGCTCATAAAGGTCAACTGTCAAGACTTCCAGCCAGTTTTCCTTTTCAAAAAACCGCTTTCTTGCCAGGCATTAGAGATAACTATTTAAGTTTAAATCAATAGTTTGTTCGTGAGCAGCTCTTCTAAAATAAGCGCAAATAATAAATTAAAGAGCTGAAACAGAGCCAAACAAAATTCAGTTTTCTCTAATGTGACTCATTTTGGCAGTCGCCAATCTCAATGACTTGTTAAGCCGGCGTATTTCCGACCCAAAATATAATTCACTTAAACAGTTTATTGTGGCCAGTCATCTGCACGACAGTTGCGGCCGACAAGTAGTCTTCGAGACGGCCGACAGTTTTGAAAGTTCTCAATTACTGCAAATAATGACGTCACAATAATGATTAGAAGCCAGTAGCGCTTGCGCGGCTACCTACAACAAATGTTTCATCTGTCGGAGTAAGTAAACGAGTGATGCAAAACTAGACAATTGATTGTAAGAATGAGCTCTGGATCAAAAAGAAACAGAAAAACTAACAGAAGCAGGGACAAATGTAAGTAAACTTGATTCAGTGTTAGCTGTTTTTCCTGTAACCTTGTACTTTCACCCTTCTTCGTTTCAAGATACAATGATTGCCCCACAAATCACAAGCTCAATTCTGGAGCTACTTCACTTAGACAATTTTTGGATACGGGGCTGTGTAAGGGCCTCCCTTAACTTTCATTTCGTATCTTAAATGAGGCGTTCAGTTCGTCAAAGTTGGGTTACTCTTCAGACAATCACTGGTGAAAGAAATCGAAAAGCAAAAGAACATGACGTGGATAATTGTCTTACTATTTTGCAAGTGAAGGCCCCCTCTTACATTCGACTTTCCTAGTTAGTTAAACATATGCTTGCTTTTACCAGGTATTCATTTTTTCTATCCACTTCTCCTAATTCCAGCTGATTCTTATTAGGTTCCCCTATCTCCTTTATTGACTTATCAATTGTCCATGCCTTTAGCTTCAGAATCTCGTGGTCGTCGTCGTTTGCAGTTTACCTCCGCTCCGCTTGAAGGCAAGACATTTTTCCTTCACGTGCAGTCAGCGAGTAAAGCCAGGGAGCTGGAGAGAAAACTCAAAGAGTTAGGAGGGGTGAGTACAGAGATTTAATGTTACTTCAGTGGGGAGGGGTGCAGTTAACGGATGGTGACAGACACCCGAGAGAACGTTTCAGTGATATCAAAGGTCATAAAACATTGCCTCGCTGAGGACCAATCTCAAATGATAACAATTTAATGCAATCTGCACGCACTGACATTCAACACAATCTAAAGAGCAGTTATCCGCCGTTGCAACAGAAACTTGGTGCGGGTGCCCCAAAATGTCAGCATGATAATGTCCGTTATAATGAGTTTGTTTTATGATTTCAATGTTTACGTATATGATTACGCTACACTGCTTATCTCATGTTATCTCGGATTGGAACGTATACAGCACATGAGGAGTAAAACAGGACCTGTTCAAAACACAGTTGAATGACGAAGACTACACAAGACTGACTGATGGTTCAAATTAACTAAGCTTCTTAAAAACTTAATGCCATTTCGGGAGCCATTTCAAACTATGTGTTTATATACTAGCTTTTTCAAAGTTCGGACTTATTGTTTCTTATTTTATTGAATGTTTTCTCCTCTTTCTCTGTATTTAATTTGTAAAGCACATCACTATAATGTTATTACAAACTTTATTCCAGGATTAGTCCATTGTATATGCTTTCTTTCTACAGTTTTATTGATACATTGTTAGTTGCATGTCTTTGTTTCAAGACTGTACTCTTCAAAAAGCACATGCATAAATAAAACTCTAAAAGGTCAGAAGAGAGAACGTAGTAAATCAGGGTATCAGACCATTTATATTTTTGTTGGTTTTTGTGATCTCTCCAGGTAGTAGAAAAGTTTCTTAGTAAGGAATTGTCATGTGTGATCACAGACCAAAAGAAACCAGGAACTACAAACCTCACTTTATCGGGCAATCGAGGGGTAAGTATTCTCATCACTACGGTTTGTGCGCGCAAGTGTGCGCTTTTATTGTTTGTTGATCTTTGTTACATAGATCAATGAACTGGAGGGTCGTAGTCTATTTTTTTAAATTTTTTAGGCATCTGTTGCCTTATTACCTTTACCTTTGTGGGTGTGATTCTAATAGACTTTTCACTGTTCCGTATGTTTCCGTAAGATCGGTGGCATCTACCCTGCAGTGGGTGCCAGAGACTTTTCGTGGACAGTTCCTGGCTTCGGTCGAGCCTTTAGAGAGCTTTAGATTTGAGGACGAGAACGAGTACAAGTAGGAGCTTTAACTTAAGTTTTTGCGCTTGTTCTAAAAAAAGACACCCTGGAAAGTTTCATCTTACTTTTTTTCACCAAAAACGTTTGCTCGGTTATTTATACTGAAGGAGGTTAAGCCTTCTCCCGATGGCAAAATGATAAAACTTGTTACATTTGATAACTTGTTCCGCCACTACGACATTCTCACTAAAATTCGTAGTAGAATGACGATGGCTATCACGTTTTCCCGCCAAAATGACGCTAGTTCATGCGCGCCCACTACTTAGTATTGGGAAAATCAAGGAAAATCTCGTACTCGTAGTGTTCCTCTTCTCAGTGTAGAAAATGTGTCGGTCGCGTGCGGTGGGACTTTTCGGTGTTGGCCCAAGGCCCAAACCGCGAGAAAAAAAGCTTTTCGCGCGGGTCACTATAAATACTTGACAGAAAAGGGAAGCCGCGCCAGAAAAGTCTCTGGTACCCAAGATATATATCCCCAGGATCTTACGGGAAAATAGGGGACTGAAACAGTGATTTCTAAAGCTCACAAATTAGTCTTCTTTTTTTCAGCCAACTCGTGCTGAAGCCATTCTCCAGAAGTCTGTGAAACAACAGAAACAACTAACCAAGAGTACCGATGTCCTGACCAATGCAGAAAAGTGGGGAATACAAGTCAAACCGGTTGAGCAAGTTTTAAAATGGTTTCAAGGGCAAACGAAACGTCAAGCTACTAGCAGGCAACCGACTGGCCGTGTTTGCAGTCTCAGAGGGGCTTTCCTTAAAGTGGAAGATCATAGTCGGTAAGATATATGGTTTGCAGTCCGCCTAACGGAGTACGTGATTTCCTCATCGACTATAAGAGTGCTCAATAGTTAGCCTAGAGAATACAAGTAGACTGATGGAGCTGGACTAAGTGGTCTTGAACATTTATTGCTGCTCAGAGACTTCTGCGAAACTGTCATCAGGCAACTGCCAAAAATAACGGTTACAATCCAAAAAATAGAGAAAACAGAACAATAAATGGCGCGTCAAAGAGCTTCGAAGGCTTAACATTTCATTATGATTTTTTTAATAACCAAACAGAATCAGAAGACGCGCCACGCACCAAACGCCACGCCCCACGCGCCATTTATTGTTCTCTTTTCTCTATATATTTCATTGTAAATTTGTAATTGTTTTTTTGGGGGGGCAGTTGCCTGATGATTGGTTCGCAAGAAGCATGAAACGCTATGTAGCAATAAGTAGTCAAGACCACTTAGTCCAGCTTCGTCAGTCTACTTGTAGTTTGTGGTATAGATATCAAATATTCCCTTTCTAAGAAAACGAATTTGAACCAATAGTTTCTTTCCAAAACAATGACCCATAGAATCACTCCAAATAAACTGTCAGGTTTAGTGATGTCTGGGCTGATATTTCATAGATAGTCTTAGAAGCTAAAACGCCTCAGTCTATGGACATGGTCTCCCTCGCAGCCGTTCATGGAATGCCACGCAACGTTTTTGTGGGGTAAACGGCTTCAAAGGAGACTACTATATGGACACAGACGACACCAAGGAACGAGTGCTTGCAGGAGACTCTGCGCACATTTTAGCCATGGCTAGGACAAAGGCACATTAGCTTACTAAAAAGCTTATTTAGGATATGCTCACCATACCAGCTGGCTTTTACGCTGGCACGAAAACCATGATACCGGATAGGGCTTCTGTTCTGCACACATAAGAACGGAGAGTGGCTGCGCTGCGCTGATCTCTTAAGTGGAAATTCACATATCAGGTAGGTGTTCATACCATACGGGATAGCCAGTCCACGGTATAGAGTGTACATAGTAAAGCCTGAGTCTATTTGATTAAGAATCACTTCAGTACCTCAAGGCCAATGACGGGCAAAAACTTCGCCGATAAACTGATCGTTTAAAATGTACTAATAATTCTTGTTACTCCGATAGACAATACAGACCCCTGGTTAAGGAACTAAATATGTGGCCTCGACTGAACCTCGATGCTCCGCCCGGCTTTTCACCCTTTGACGAACCGGTGAGCATGCGCACAAGGTCACGAAGTTCATCTAAAAGTCCACAGAGGCGCACCAAGCGTGCAGTTGGTAAGCGCTCTACTGGAAGTGCCGACAAGAAAGGCTACTGTGAGCTGTGTTATGCGCATTATGCGGGGATGGAGGGGCATATTAACAGCAGACAACACACGTTGGTGGCGTCACGAAAAGATACCTACGCTGAACTGGATAGGCTGATATCAAGAGGGAAAACTTTGAAAGAATTTGAGGCTGAAATGAGAAAGAAAACAAGTGCAGAGGCTTCAAATACAACTGGAAAATCAAGGTAATCAAGCAACAAACCAGTCAGTACCAAGCAAACTAACGATAGTATTAAGTAATTAAGTTAGAAGCAAACTTAGCGAAGGCTATCACTACTTTTATATTAGACAGTTCCGTGCTTGTCAGTGACTGATTTAAGATCCGCAAATCCAGAGGGTCAAAGAGCCTAAAAAAGAAAAAAATTTTCCCAGTCCTGAAGGCTTCAGCTTGGCCTCATGTAAAAAAGTTTGGCCCCCGCTCCTGGATTCCCAAGTTTGTTGAATGAGACTAGAGATTATACTGAAAAGGAGAAAATCTTGGCTAGTCCCTAGGCCTAATTATTACGCGCGAGCGATGCGTTTTGAGTCACGTGGTCAAAGCATTGACCGAGAAGGCTAGGGGAGACGCTGTGTGGGGACTAGCCAAGAATAAATCTAAAAGGCATCAAGTGAGAGCGAGGGTGCGTTTTATTTTGGGTCTGGAATGAAAGTATTTTTGAAAATCAATAACCACAGCCTAACTGAGGGTCGAGCGAAAGTACAGAACTGAAAATTCGAAACAGCAAACGGCCCCCTGACTGAAACAATTCTCCACGACATTCTGTTACTGCTGTTTATACAAGCCAACTTTAGCTTCCAGGCCTTAGTTGTTCAAAGATGGATAGCGCTATATACTAGATAAAACTACTATGTAGTGCATATTGCAATTGCTTTCCCTAACACTTTCCGCTAAATAGCGCTCTCTAGTGTTTGAGCAACAAGAGCCAGCTTCTTACTTTTGGCATCTCAAGTGGAAGCAAAAGTTTTAAAACATGTTTTGTTCTTACTTTTTTCGTTACGCCTTTAGGTCAAGAAGTAGATCTCCAGTTATTGTCAAATCAACTCCTCAAAAAAGAAAGATAATATCAGGAACATCCACATCCCCACGAAGACGCAAAACCTTGAAAACCAAGCCGCCAACTCCACCTCCTGGCCAAAGGACCCCAGGCAGACAGTCGCAGACTTCATCGCCCACCCGAACAAGGCCGAACTCTGCTCAAAAGGTTAAAAAGACGGTAACTCCGATCAAAATTGTCCGATTTCAAAATGATCAATATTCCGTCGTGAAATCCAGAGCTAAGAAGAGACGTCGCGACGAAGCTGACGTTGAAGCTAGTCACAACAAATCCAAAAGGAAAAAGACGGATCGATATTCGATCGTCGAGTCCACACCGATGAGAATCCGACTTCGGCGCAGTACGAGAAGCGGTTCGAAAGGGGCAAGCGGGTCTCTGTTTGTTAACCTACCAGTGTTCGTCAAAACCCCGAATGGACGCTCGCCATAGCTTATTAAGAGTCCAGGACTGTAATCAAATGCAGCAATTCAAAGATTACATTTTAATAAAGGAGAAATCTGTTATGGCGAAATACTTGTTAATGTAGATTTAACCATAGTTAGTAGAGGGGGACTAACTATGATTTAACTGGTATACTTTTAAGCAAACCCGAGATTTTAACACAAACAGACTGATTACCAGAGCGAAGGACACCAATTTCAGTGGAGTTAATACCCTTCGCAACGAACTGCAATTTGACCTACGAAATCTGTGAGGACTGTCTGAAAAAGTTTCGAAGTCCGTCACAAAATATTTTTAGTCCTTTTCAATATCAGTAACACAGGCGTGTAATTACTGAAGGCGAACTAGTCACGAGAAAAATGGGAAAATACAACAGAGAAAGAAATGAAACATTTGACATTAGTTTGTTACAAACCTTGCCGTTATGGAGAGGATTTAGAGGTAAACTCAGACATTATTCTTAAAAATAAAGTTTCTTTCAAACCCGATAACATATAGAGCCAGAATGCTCGTAGTAATCCTAAAAGTATTGTTATAAGACTTTTGTGAACTAAATGTTATCTAGTAATAAAACTGTTATAAACTCACACAACAACTCTTTGCGTGTTTATTGAGAACACTGACCCTCTTTTTCTGAAGACAAAATCAAACTAAATGATACAATTAAACTCGAGAACAAATGTAAAATAAAACGGTGAGTTCTTCACTTATTCCATTAGAATAGACATATATCAAACTAAATTTGCGCTACTTCAACACTTCCCACCCAGTATTAGCCTGAATTTCATCCGATTACTTCGAGTCGTTATTACTCTCTCAGTAACGTCGTTGCTGAGAGGAGAAAGCGACTCGAAGCAATCGGATGAATTTCAGGATAACCCGGTATTTTAAAAGATAAAAAAAAACTGACAAGGTACACATAAATTCTAATCATGTTTTTGTTGGTTCTCTGTAAAAAACAACTTTAAATTTAAAGTCAATGATAACTCACTAAGAAAGTCTCATACAACGGTTTTCAGACTTGGCCAGAACCAAAGGCAGTGACCGGGAACTCATAATTCTCCCATGTTTCCTCTATTCTTGAGTAAAGATGGCTAAACAAAGGCTGTCTTCCATGCACCATTAGTTGTCACATAATCACCATTTTTACTGCTATTTCTTGTTGCATTAATTGGTTGGGAAACTCTTTAAGCCTGAACTCTGAATAAGTACCTCAAACACTTCAAGAAGCACATTAATCCAAGTCTCTAATAATGCAGCCATTTTAAGGATCGTCACGCAATACTCCTCTCCGCGTTGCCATGCAACACTCCCTTTCCGTATTTTGGAGAGAAGTGCTGTGTGATGACTCGCATAATGGCTGCATAAGAGACTTTGTTCACCGCGACCCCACCCTCAACTCTGCACAGGCACACCACACAACCCTCTCCACACTGAGTCTATGAACTGTGCATGTTCATTGTACTCAACTCCACTGATCACAAGGCATCATTGAAGCTACAAGCTCTTGCGCTGCATCATTCTCTACACTTTTTGTCCTTCCATTAAAACACAGCTGGCGTGATGCATGGTTAACAGATTTTGAGTCTGATTCACATTCTCCTTGTTTGACTGGAGGTAAGCGACTTTCAAACCCTCTTAACCTTCCATGATCAATGCTTCTCCAAATCAAACTATACCCAAGGAAAGCTGGATCCCTCTTTTGTGTGTCAAGGGGGAAAACCACATTTTTGATCCCTGCTTTTATAATCAGCGGAACGCATTCATTACAAGGTGTTTTGCTCACAAACATAGTACAGGAAACATCACTAATGTTCCGAGTGTTCCTTCCAAGAATTGCGGCCTGTTCAGCATGGATAGAGAATGGGTACTTTTTTGAGGGTAAGGGTCCATCGCAGTGGGAAGCTCTGGGAAAATCTCCATAACCTGCTTTTGGAGGATAACCGTTCCAACATGCTGATACAATCTGGTTTCTTTGCAGTATCACAGCCCCTACTCCCCTTTTGGGATCATTTGAGCATTGTGCCAAAATATTGGCCATTCTTGACATATGTCGAGCCAGTTCCTGCCAGCGTGGGTTAGAACTAAGAGGAAGGATGATATTATGTTCATCGTCAGGCAGAATGTTATGCATCCTTCCACAATTGGTTTCAGTTTTGGTTGAATTTTTGTAATTACACTCATAAAAGGTAACAGATTCAGGAAGGTCTCCAAATGTTACCCTTGAGATCCATTCAAGCATAACCTCAATGGAGTGATCTACTTGTTTCTTGCATTCATTGTACTCAGGCCATTTCAGCTGTTTTGCAAGTCTACTTTTCCACTGTTCACCCCAGTAACGACCCAGCAAAGATAACATAAAAGTAACATGACAATGTTTACTCGCCGAATAGGGCGAATACCTCAATTCACTTTCTGCTAAAACTATTTTCTGTATATTTGGTACATGAATAGACTGACCAATCTCACTCATCCTGTAGAGTTTTTCAACTTTATCAAGATCATCATCATTGGGATATTCTGGCTCAAATGGTAGATAACATACTCTGGAAATCCCTGCTTGGATCATGAGTTTGGTGCAAACAGAGCAAGGTTTACGCGAGGTGTAAATAACGCAATTTGCTGCGCGGTCACTGAAGTCAACTAATACACTAGTCACTCCGTGCACATTGTCACGCGAGCAATCGATCGCCACGATATTCTCTGACGAAATGTCCACCATTACAACGCCAATTTTGTTCACTGTGGGGCTGTCGCAGTTCACTGACTTAGCCTGTTCATTTGTGGGTTTTCTGTTAATAAACCTATCGGCTGATGTTTCACAATGTTTGAGACTTCCCTTCTTTGAATCCGTGACATTGTTGATCGCGTTCGTTGTCCCATTGACCAAGTTATTCAAGACCAAATTTGTCTCGTCACGCACCAAAATATCAAAATTTCGGGAAATTACCTTGTCTGTGGTGATGCAGTTATTCGTCTTCGACCTCTTTTTAAGAGGACCGTCTTCTTCGGGGGCATCAGACCTCGTGCCTTCGTTGTTGATCGAATTAATGTTAAGATCATCGCAGTTACCATTCAGTTCAAGATCAAAACCACACATCACCGTCGTGGCTAGGGGACACTCTTCCATCCACAGTGCCAAGCAAGAATACAGATCCGTTTTGTCTATCGTATTTACAAACTTAGCAAAGTTATACTGCCCTTGGCTCATTTTGAAGCAACGTTTATGGTAATCCGCTATTAGTCAAGTGTTGATTAAAGACAGAATTATTTGCTTGGATCCCACCGGCAAGTTGTTTACATTTTACCTCGTGATTTTCAGTTTGCAAATCCAGGCCGCTTGTAGATGCTTGCTTCACATCATGTTCTGATGTGTACAGACATATCAGCGAAGGCCTCTACGCGTTGCAAGATCTCGTTTTGATGCCCGTAAACACGTGTTACGGTATATTCAAAATCAATCGTTTTCATCTTCTGATGGATAGACACGTCACCTGTCTGTGACGTCACGATTCCATGTCAGCTGTACTTTGACCTGCCCATAAAATTCAAGCGAGCAGCTGGTTTGTTTGTTTGTTTGTCTGCTACTGTTGTTTTGGTTTTTTATGTTTTTGAGAGGGAAAGAGAAAATGTTAGGCTGGCATTGGAATTGAGTCATTTTATTGTGCTTTCTCACAGACTTGGTCGTCACGCAACGCTCCTCCCCAACAAATGCGTGACAGCCTACAAATATCCTGAGTGTCAGGCGTTTCTTGGGGGAAATCTCCTCTCCCCTAGCCCCATAGGAAGGGGCAAAGTTCGTCGTGCATGGATTGTTTACGTCCCCCATTTTCACGCCGTAGTCGTGCAAAAACGGCAAAGAAATGTACAAAAAATTCATGATGTACGTGTAAAGTTGTTGTTTTGCTAATCGAAGTAAACCTGTTGCTTTTTTTGCCGTTCTCGTTGCCGTCTCCGTCGTCGTCGTCGCTGCTGCAACGACATGTTTCGCGCAACACAGAGTTGCAATGTTGCAACTACGTAGCAATGCGAAACAATGTCGCAGCAATGTTGAAAGCCCTGGGGACGAGGTTGAAAAAAAATCATAAAAACAACAATTGTTCCAGTAGCTCGGCAGTAGAATTTCAATTAATTCTTTGAATCATTCTAAATCTTGCATTTACTCTTGCGACATATATAATGGCGTACAAAACGACACTGAGAAACGATCAGTTATTTTTTCCTTATGTTGTTACAGTAGTCATGTTAAAGTGTGGGTGTTCACACCGGTGACAACGATCGACGCATTCACCCCTCGTGTGTCGTCAGCGCGTTGCCAGTGTAACTCGGCAGTTTTCAGATATCGTGTTTCGTCATTCTTTCATGAATCACTTGTCATTTTGGTACTTTGTCAGAGCCTCATTTGAGTTAAGTGTTTGTGTCATGATAAGTTTTTTCTATTTTTTTTCTCCCTTCAGTTGTTATGAAAGGGCGGGTTAATTGGCCACACCAGGAGCCCATCAAATTTGATAGGCTCCTGGCCACACTTCTTTTCGAGTGTTATTCAGCTAACTTGCTCCGAAATGTTTACTAAAGTTACCCACCTCAAAACAAACTTGCCATTTTTCTACCCATTCTAATATAACCAGTCAATGTGGACTATATTTTGGGCTTATACAAATTTCGGACATTCTTCAAGAAAGGATAAATATTTTCTCGGGTCTGTCCTCATAAACGGCCAAAATTTCCCAAATAAAGTATCTGTGGAAAGGGCTATTCTGCGGGTAAACCGTGGAAAAGGAAGCGGGTGACGTGAAATTTTGGTTCGGGAGTTTAGACCTGTAGCTTTTAAAAGAACATAAAGAGAATTATCAGTCCAACCCTCATATCTTAAATGATTTATAGCTCAGTATTTGTTTCCTTACAGGGTATGGTTTCAGAAAAACCAGTATTCATTGTAGGCATCAATGATAAACATTTTCAATTTTATAATGTTGTCATTTCTGTTAAGCGCTCGTTTTTTTTTCGGTTCGTGTGAATGAAACAAAACGATTGCAACCATGTGACTAATTGTCTAGCAACAACACAGTAAATCACGTCCAGTAAATCACGCAAAATCACGATCAGTAAATCACGCCCACCGACAGGCAGACATACAGAGGCTTATTTGTTTGCTAATGATGACCTCATTTTTGTGATGGCCTTGTGGCAGATTATTTGCCAAAAAAACACATGAAAAAGATAATTAAAGGTAAGATACGATGAATCACTACACTCGTAATAACTTGGTCACGGAACGAAAGAGTTGACCTGAACTCTATAACTTATACTTTGATAAGAAAATATTAGTCTAATATATGGTCGTGAACTCTCTACAATGGGTAACGTATTTGATGCAGTGGCCTATTTGCGAGCCAGTATTTTATTACGAAAAATTAAAACCTCGTTGACCTGTTTAGCACTAAAACACGGCTTTCAAATCATCCTCACTGACGTATGTCATCGGCTTAAGTGGAATTGAAGTTTGAACGATGATATTTTTGATGATCTATAAGCTGCAAAATTTGAGAATTAGTTGTCTATCGATGTCTAGTTTATCTAATGCTCGATTTGGCTACAACCCAGCATTTTTTATAGTGAGACGACGATCGATTATTTTGTCACGTTTAATCTGTGGGTAAAATCCTAGGCTGTTACTATTGGAGAGATCCTTCGCAAGTTTTAACTTTTCACGATTGTTCTAATTAGTTTTGGATTTTATAAGAAAATACATTTTTATAAGGGCTTTTCGTTGCCTGCCATGTCGAGTAAAAGATTTAGTAAAATTACAAAAACCTTTTGTTTCTCAATATTTCTATGAACATCATGCCCTGCCTATTGTTCTTAGGCTCCAGCTAAGCTGGAGTAGGTGTTTATGGCTAGTTTTAGTTTTACTGAGGTATTCAGGACATGTTGTGAAGTTTTGTTCCCTTACCCGACTTGTGGTACATTCTTGAAAGACTCTCACGTTACCACAGACTCCTTTTGAAAGTCATAATAGCTTTTAATTCTTTATTATGTGGCTTCTCACTAACAAATTAAGGTTTTTAACGCGAAATCTACTGTTCATTGCGATCGGGGAAAGTTCTCAATTTAATACTCTATCTCGCTCAGTACTTGATTAATTTCAGTCCCAAAGCCACTTTACTATCCAGTATAAATAGTTCATTTGAATCTTAAATTGAACCTTCTGTCAAGCAACTACATATATCAGGCGTAATATGTGTATATTTATGCTTTAATACAAAATCCTCGGATAATCTGTATATACAATTTGTTATTTACAATTCTCATTGAAATCTTTTTTGCATACCCCCCCCTTTTTTTTCAGCAATATTTTTATGTACAGTGCTCAATCCAATTTCTGTCTTAGAGTTATTGACTCACACTGGACTGATTATTCACTTTTTGAGCTAGGATCCCGAATCAGACTGACTTTTCGGCTAAACATATGCTGTTCATTAGCCTTATATGCGAAATAAGCCACTAGAATCTTGTTTACAACATTAAAAGGCAAGGCCCGTTCGCCTTACTAAAATCAAATTCGCAATCAAATAAGGGGTTGGTTCTAGTCTTGCTGGATGGGTGATTATCTGTTCATTAGTTTCAAATTGGTCATATGACTCAAGCAATTTCTTTCGCTCTCTGATGAACCTTTCGAATTTTGACCGTAACTCGGTAGGCAGGATCATTCAGGATCTCGATTTTCTGGAATATTTTGGCCTGTTTCGACTCGGTATCAGTCCTGCCCTCTCTCTTTTAAGATCTTAACTTGAGCTGGGACGATCCATCTTCTGTTTTCTCCATTTAATTCTTCTATTTTGGAACCAGACCTTCACCTGTGTTTCGGTGAGATTGAGTGAGGCAGCTAGATAATGTCTCTCTGCTCCAACCATATACTGTTGTCGGTCAAATTCTTTTTCAAGCCGCTCTAGTTGCTCCGGAGTGAAAATTGTGCGAATTCTCTTCGGTTTTCCTTGCTTAAAGTTCCAAGCCTTGTTTTCTTCGTGGTGAACAACTGAAAGGATTGATTCTCCATCTAGAACAACGAATCAAGCTAAATGTTACTAAAAAACGACACTACTTCCTCAGGGTTCTGGTCCCTGACTTTTCGTTTATTTCTCCGAAGGTGCGCGTTAATTATCACATCTTCAAAACTATATTTTAGTCTTTCAATTTTTTATAATAAAGACTTCAATAAAAGGGTTGTCTTGGTATGAAAAATTGAAAAACTAAATTAGCCGAGCTTTGCCTGATGAGGGCTTTATGTTATTGAATGAGACTCAATTTGTATAAAGCAATTAAGGGCACATTCGCACGGGAAAATGGGCCTTTAAGGAGATTACTCCCGATTTTAACAAAGCATTTTCTTTTCAATTGAGCTTTTCAGTGATTTTCTTAATTCACGATAATAGACACACGGTGCTGTAAATGCCTGATTTTTTTCATCTGCAGGAGAAGTAAATTAATCCCTGAAACTTTCCAAGCAAAGGCTGTCAAAAATACAAGAAAATCCAAAGTCGTTCAGTCTTCAAGTTGTGCGATTTGACATGAGCCTTAGAGACTGGTTGTAATATCACAGAACGATTTGCCAATTATATCTAAAACTCGTAAAAATGTATTTAATGATACTTCATCATAATTTACAGAAGGCAGAAAAATTTAAGTTTGAAAATCAGGACATTTTTGCAAATGCAGTTGATAAAAAAGATGAAGTCATGACATTACGGGAAAATATGGAGAATTAGCCTCCCTGAAGACATAAAATGTCAGTGCAATCTTCGGATAAAACTGCATAGGTGGGAACGAAAAATCTAGATATTTAAAGTGCGATTATTTCTAAATTGTTATACACTGAAAAAGGTGATGCCATTGATTTCTACTGGACATACGTAATTTACTGATTTCTGGAACTGATGTGTGATAACTATCTTATCTCATTATATTACCTTTTTGTACGGATCCACAGCTAGTTCTCCCAAAAGCACTGGCTGCCAGTGGTCGGTGATATGGGTGAAATCTTTCTAATGAAACATGCGAGCTGTAGGGCAAAAACTGCGTAGCTGTACTTAGGCCACTGTCGGGGCAGGATTTCGGTTCGTTCGTGTCTTCAGTTCTCGTTTTACTTGTTTGTGAGTCATCAGAACGGGCCAGAATGGACGAGATTGTGAATGAGGAGACTCCTGGCTGACTTGGGCTTGAAGGTGACCTGTTAACTGATTGCAGACTTGACGCCAATGCCGTGTTTCTTAGGGTTAGACAATATGGCGATGAACAGGTGAAATATGGGCACACATACGGACTAGTAAATGCTTGCATGATTCGACGTGGAAACCGTTCTGAATCTCTTTCGATTCCGCCACGAAATTCTTCAATTTTTTGACATATAAATAACTCAAGGCATCGAGTGATTGTTACTGCACCGTGTGCTGCAGGTGAATGATTTCGAGTGTGCGTTTGCTCATTAAATATCAGCCTTTTATGCCCACAACCAACGAAATTGGCAACTGTTGGTTGCTAATTTTCTAATCGTTGTTGCTAAACGATGGACGGTACTCTAAAGTATGCTGTTTTCTCATTAGTCCATTGGTAATATTGATTAGAGGGAGCCACACAATACATAATCGAAAGGACCGACTTATTAGTATCTTCACAGTAAACAAACAAATTGTTCGCGTATCTCTTTAACTCAAACACGAACCTATAATTTTGCGCGACAAGCGAGTTTGTCTTAATGAGTTAAATTGGCCACATTACACCGAGATTTAAATTGGTCATATAACACAGAGATAGGAAACAAATAAAGCCTGCAAATTTAATATAAGCTTTTCAAGAAGGAAAAATTAACAAAGATATTCATCTCTGGGTAAAAGTCCATCTAAGTAAGACCTGACAATTGTAAGGCATTTTTTTTGTGGTGAATTCATCCTTAATAATGGACGGAAAATGGTCGAAATTCGCACTGTTATCGGTTCAAAAGCCGTCTTTGCCGGCGAAATGTACTGTTGCATTTCACCATGTGGTATCGAAAGAGCAAAATTGGCATTGTTCTCGGGCCTATTGTACCACCAGAGTTAATTAATACTTTTGTAGCGGGCAATAATACATCATATTCGCTTCCTTTACCAATGGACAGAAACACGCCAAGAGATTTTATTTGATATTCATTTCTATTCGAGAGCAACACCTGTTTAGCAAATTTACATTCATTAAGTTGGTCGCATTCGATACAACAAGCAATTTGCTGGCAGGGATGCTTTTTAATTCGTCAATTATCTTATCACGTTTAATGAGTAAAAGATATTTCCGAGTTTATTCCCTTTAAAATTAACTCGACAAGTGAAATTATCGTGGATTGCTGAGGGTTTCAAAGACAATTAATTCTCTGAAAAACAATTAAAAGCGCGGAGGAGATTGAAATTGCGGGGTAGTCCCATCTAATCTCCCATACTTTATCAGTAAGATGTCTGGTTTAGTCCTAAGTGTCTTCGAAGGTTTATCTATAAAGAAATTTTTACAAAGTGAATTCCTCTACCTTACTAGCAATAAACACTTCTCACGAAAAGTAGCTTTTGGAGGTCAGTTTTCGCTGATTCAATTTAATCTCGCCTTTTGTGTGTATTTAGAATCAATTAAGTCAGTTTAATGAGTTTCCTCTTAACTTAATATCAGTAATTTTCCATCCATTTCGTCATTTTAGTGTATCAAACAAGGAATTTTCCTTCAGACAAATAATGAACCATGGTTTATCTCTCAAAATCAATGCGAGGCAATCTCTACCGCGTTGCTAACTCGGTTTTATTAGACTAATAAGTTTATCGGTAATGGATTACCGGAGATTTCCAAGATGTACAAACAAATTTCGGAGCAATAATTTTTCCTCTTATTTTATAGAAGTATACGATATCAAGTCGATTTAGCGCTGAAAACAAGCGATCATTTTAACAAATTTTCTTTGACATCCACACGGAAGGCAACACTAAAAAAACCTTCTACGTATAAGCGCTGGAAAACATCATTTTTGTCTATCCAAAAAGGCATTATTAAATTTTGCTTTCGATAGCAAAAACACATTTCGGATATAGAAACAACTGATCACTGATCATCAGTCTTTTTCAAGGACGTTTTTATTTAAATTTTATTTTCATTTTTATTTTTTTGTCTTATAACTCTGTAGTATCAAAGTCTTAGTTGCGCTGCTATTGTGCACTATAATTTGATTAATGGGGATGAGAACTTGCTTAATACGATCTAAGACCAAACATTTTCCGCGAGGGTGTGTGTTGATAACCGAGAGAAAGGAAAAAGTCTTGGGTTAATTCGGACTGAGACATAAAATCCGCCACTGGAGATAATAAACGCGAAACTTTTTGACATTTAGATCGCCTTATTTAACCAAACAAAGATAAGAATTAAAACGCTGCCAGACAAGATTTGAAGGTATTGGAGGGAAAACTTTGTTCACGACTGTGATAAAAGGCTTATTTACTAGCCGCTAGGACAAAAACTTCTTTCAATTTCGCTTTTTTAGTTTACAGGTAACGATTTCAAACAAACTGACAATTGATCTTCGTTTGACACAGATTTGTGCTATAGCAAAGCATCTGGATATCTTATGTCATAGTACTCATCGTGGCTTTCAGTTTTCATCTAAGATCTTTTAATTCAATTTCGTCAGTTTTCAAGATCAATGGGGTATCATCGCATAAAGATGACAGGCCAATTATTACTTTAATGCTACGAATACTGAAACAATTAAGCGGAGTTTTGAAATCTTGTTTTGAAAGGCTATCTCTGTTTAGTTTAATGGATCTAATTTTCCTTGTTATTGCTTTCTAATTCAATAAGCTGAACATGTCAAAAAGACCTTGTTTAAATTTTAAAGATCTTGGATACATCTGAATTTTTCTTTCACTTTTGGGTCTCGCACCTAAATTGGCGCCCGAAAAGTTACTTTTTCAAAGCCTTGTATTAATTAAGTGCTATCCTTTGAAAAGTTTCTTGTTTGTGATCATTCTTGTTTTCACTGTTGAGCGAAAAATGATTAAGTTATATCCTTGGCGAGGTTCTATTATTTGCTGTTTAAATAGTCTTTTGTGTGACAAATAATATGAAGGGTTAAAGATCTGATTCGAAAATAAAGACCCTGGAGGCAGATGTCCGTTCGAAGAGAATTCAGATTCGTGATGCATATTGAAAAGACCGGAACCTCGAGCAAGACATCCGTCGTTAAATATCCGCAGCATCACAAAAAAAGTCGCTCACAACAAGTTTTTTTTTATTCTGTCCTTTACTGGTTTACAAAGGATTCACGAAGAAAACATCAAACTGAAACAAGAACTGTCTGAGGTTTCATTTTGAATTTGAAAACCCAGCAGGTGTTGCAATCGCGCCCTCCTCTTTTAATGTCGGCTGTTAACCTAATTTAGCCCTAGAATAAGGACAGTTAATTGTGCTAGAATATCATACTTCATAACAAGAAAATTCACTAATGGGGAATGATTTGATTGTGAGGACGGACAATATCAGAGAAACAGCAACCTTTAATTTCATTCTCGCTCCCTGACTATTTTGATTGATCCGTTGCTGCAAGAATTTCGAGATTCGAACGCAAAAATTTGATTTAAAACTAAAACTGTGCTTTCGTCGTTCTCCATCATTTTCTCGCGTCTGATAATTTTCTCCGAGTCGATTTCATCAATCATTGGTACCTGTCAAAACTATAATGGCAAGATGATGTTCTTTACAGCTTTCCTCTTAAGCCTTAAACTAAGACGTAAAAATAGACTCTCTTTTGCTGTATGATAAATTTATTTAGATCGGCTCGTCAACTAGAGAGCAAATGAAGACTTTCCTAAGGAATATTGCAGTAAGTTACACTACTATTAAAAGTTTATCGTTCCATGAGGACGACTGTTTCATTTTTTATAGTCCAATTATTGCGTCAGTGTCTCGTACGAGGCCGAAAATATAACAGATACATTCCTGGCCGCTTTCCTCAACAGATTCCCACTGAATGTGAAAAAAAAAAATATTATTATTATATTAAGAAATAAAACAGAGGAACTCTAGCACAGAGGGCTTCAAGAAAACGGTTTTGTCTTCATTTATAATAAACTTATATTGATTCTAAAAAAAACTAAAATTGTATGATTACTAAGCTTATACCTGGCTTATACTTATTCTCTAAATGTTTTGGCCAATGCAAATGAAAAACAGTTTCCTTGATGAATGATGTCGCTATTACTGAATACGTTTTGCCTTTACTGCATCCTTTTTACGTTTTCTTAGTTATTGCTTTTTATCTGTATCGATTTTTTTTTTCGCTCTAGAACTCAGTAAAATACTCAAATGCAAACCAGAACAACCAGTTCACTAACCGAAATGTCCTGCCAAAACTTTTCAGACTCTCGATCCAGATTGGACTAAATTATTCATGATAACTTTTTTCATTCTTGGGGCACTGTGAATGATGGATACCAACTTTGAAGAAGAAAGCCAGAACGTAATTATCGTTTAGTACATTCATTTCTATCTCTACGCGTTTCTCTCACATTCGGCCGTGTCAAATGTAGTAACTCCAATAGCATGCAACAGAGGTTTCAGCGTCATTTATAAAATTAGGGACCATTCAACTGAACTGGATCAACTCTTTAGGTCAATTAGCATTGACGGCTATAGGTATGACTGAGGCTTTCGTTTAGTTCACCTTTCGTAATGTCTATCGCTGCATCTCAACCCATGATTTACAAAAAGGCCATCTGGAAGCTCTCAGAACAGCTAACAGGAATCAGGGAGGGGGGGATTACAAAGCAATGGACTTCAGCTAGGCCTGAGAGAGCTTCGTACCACGGAGAATGAATAACTATTAGAGGTTTCGAAGAGTTTCCATTGGCAGCATTTTTAGATTAATCAGTTCTGGCCGTGTTCTGAAGGGCTATTAATAGTTGGTGTTGTAGCATCTAAAGAAATTTATCTGTCCAGGAGATAAGATTAATTCATCTTGGTTTTCCGTAGCATAAAAACAAGAGAGCTACTTCAATAAAAGACTGCAAAACAGACGGTTTTTTCTCCAAATCGGTTTTTCACGGCGCCAGGTTTTCGCACGAAGCGTGCGAGCCTAGTTGGAAAATAAAGTCGAGTCATGTAAACAGAAGAAATGGGAGTTACATTGTTCAAACCGGCCTAGAGACAGAAACCTGGACTCGTCTGATTCATCATTATAGCTGAACAACTGCCTTTTTAGAAGCGGCAGTCAGTCACTGGAGAAAAGAATAGCTTACCATCATGACACAAAACGTGTGAAAGAGAGTTGAAACATTGAATACTCATCAGCCCTCAGCATGTACTTTCTGAGGCTTCTCAAACATGCGTGAACCATTCGAATTATATTTGAATTATAACCATTAGTTATCAAACCCCGGAGTACCGAAAGCATGGTGCACCCGCCTTAATTGTGACCCATTGACATAAATACATAACGAAAGATTGTTGTATGTTTGCGTCGTAATGCTGCTATTTTCAAATGCTGTTATTTCTATATAGTCACACTGCTGACATAATGACAAAGAAGACCTTCATATTGATGTATTGACTAGTGTGGATCCGGGTAAACTTAAGGTGATTCCCTGGTTTTGCACTGCGCATCTCTTACTGCGCATAACAAGATGGCCTCCGTAAAAAAGAGCATGTGAAGTAACATTATTAAAATGAAGTTGACCGAAGAGGTACGCTATTGTAATTTTTGCTTGCGGTTGTTTCTTGCCGAGGTGAGACTCAATGTGGTGGGGATGTGCATAACGTAAGCAGTACGCGTGTTGCTGAGTTCGACTTCCTCACGGAGAACCTCGATAGTGGATGTTTAATTTGTGCTTATTCACTCTGATTTTCATTTAAACGTTTTTTGGCAATTTTACTAAATTGTACGGATTGAGCTATCACGTGTCGGAATAGCGCGTGTCCATTTAATTCTACTTTGGAGCGTAAAGTTAAAACAAGGGCATTAAAAGGCATTTTTCTGGTACGTAAGTGGATAAACAATACATTAAAGTCAAATTCTGTGCGATACCACATGCATCATTGAAAAAATCTTTCCTTTTTGTCTAGTTTTGCGCTGCGCGCGGTTTTTGTCAAAGGGTCCAAAATAGCCGTATTTGTCAGCATTGTGACGTCAAAACGAGCACGGTGACCCCACTTTTTATTACCTTTTTATCATCTTCTTGACTTGTTACATCAGTGTACCAAGTTTCATCTGCAATCTATGTTAGGATCTTTTACTGGGGAATCATCTTAAGCAGGTTTTGAACGACGGAAAAACCGCATACCGGTTAGCTCAATTGGATAAGCCCCGGTCTGTCGAGCGGGAGGCCGCTGGTTCAAAGCCCGGAAAGACCAACCACTGATCCCAACACTCAGGAGTCTGAACCTTACGATCTGACAACGGAGACGCCAGCAGAAACGTACTGCAAAACTGACTTTTTCGTGTCCGTTGTAGTAGCCTGCGGAAACAGCCATCTCTCCTCTCGAAACGTCCCTAGTGGTGGGCATAAGGAGCAGGGAGAGATGCCTCTTTTCGAACACTACCGTCAAAATTTCGTAAAGTTCCTTCTAGCTACGCGCGAAATCTTCGACGCCAGAAAATCACTAACCTGCAGTGATCCTGCTTGACTCTTGGGTCTGTTATTAATGAAACAAACAAACAAACAAACAAACAATCAAAAATAATTTAGCTAGTGAATCAAATCATTCTAAGCCATTTTGCTAAGAACATTTATGTGTCGACCGCTGAGGGCGTCTAGTGGTAGCCTCAGCTACAAGTCGCTCCAAAATCTCTAAAAAGTTACTCCAAAATTCTTCAAAATTTCCCCTGAGTGTTCGAAATTTCTAAAAAGTTGCTCTTTAATACAGCCATTTTTGCCTTTTTTTACTAGACAGGTGACGCTGATGAAGTGTAATAATCAGGCATTTTCAAACTACTGGCTTGACCAATATTTGGGTGTAGGTGGGCCGCTTAGGGTTTGAAATCCTGGCAATGTTAAAGAACACCCTCAATTTTAGTACCCTGTTAAGGACAAAGGACAAAATGCACGCTGTCTTGCCATCTATTGGCGATTGAAGTTAACAGCAAAAATCCAGCTTGTAACAGGGCTCTCCTTGTAAGCCCAATAGCCGCGGTTTAACTTTGTTAGTACTTACTATAAGTGTTAATCATATTACCGTAAATTAGTGAAAACATGGGGCAAATAAACATTGATTGATTGAATTGCAATCGAGAAAAATCATGTTATAGTCATTGCTTTTCTTTTCTGAGAGAACTAAAAAAATTTCGCTTGGCAAATCAAATCAATCGCGCAGGCCCACTCTGTTTATAATTCGGATAAACTCGCACGAAATTATATTCCCTGTTTAGGACAGACAGGTCAAAAACCATACCATTCCCGTAAACGCCATACAAGGGAGTACACCCCTGGGCCCAAGGCCCCAAACGTTTCAGAACGAGTGGAACCTGGAAACTTCCTAAATCAAAATGGCGGACAGTAAAGATTCATTACATCTTATTGCATCGTCTAGGAAAATGCCATAATTTAAGGGAGCTGATTTTTTATGTTGCTTAAAATAAGCCGCAATCTGTGCTCGCTATCGTCAAGAATGTCACGGATCTTCGCAATTTCGGACATTCATGTCGACATACCGGAAAACCTTCATTTTGTTGAGAGTTGGTCCGCAAGTGATTACCATCAAGATGTACTTATTGTGGCTGGCGATGTTACCGACAACATGACACTGTTAAAAAGTGTTCTTCAGTCTCTCACAGAGAAGTTCTCCAAGGTGTGCTTCGTACCAGGTACATAGATCAGGACAGAGCTATTTTGAAATATATAGGTTATTTTCAAGAGGAGCTTCCGCTTCCTAGAAAGGCCAAGGGACCGGGATCAGATGCTCGTTTTCTCGCTTTACTGAGTTGTAGCAAATTTATATGTGCTATTCTAGAGATGATTAGAGAAAAATTACTGTCATTAGATTCACAACATCGTTAGAAAGTCTTGAAAGTCTAAGAGGTTCTGCATGATGTATCTAAGTGTCAAGATCTGAGTCTTATGGACTGTGTGATCAAAAGAGATTACCATCAGTAGTGCGAAATCACACATTTGCATAATTTTAGGACTGGAGCATTTGTCCCTTAGATACAGAGATGCTAACCTCTGGAGATATAAAAACTGGAATCTCCATTTTGCACTACCCCGTCCATAATTTTTTCCTTCCTTGTATCGTTGTACTCAGTTATCATAAAACTCCTACTAATGGGCCTTACATCTCAAACTGCATCCCAGCCTCCAAAAAACGTCCCCAAAGTGACCATTGAAATGGAATGATGTACAAACTGATTTACTCACTTTGTTTTGTTACCTTTTTGTTCTAAACATTTTGTTGTGTGTTGGTGTATGATTTTGATTGCATTATATATTAACAGACTATCTAAACCATTTTAAAAATTAAAAAAAAAATAATTGTTCTTACCTTCCCCCCTCCCCATAATGGCCGCTTGTCTACAGTGGCCATTTGTCTCTTTCCCAAAGATGATTGTTGTAGAGAACTTCAGGTGTATAATATATAGATTTAGCCAGAGCTAAAAGTTTGTGCATTTTAAATTTGTTTCAGACAATGGATTTTAAACCATTACAAAGAAATCCACAAATCTATAGTTATCTTTAGGGGAGAACCATATGACTGAACAACATAAACTAGAGCCAGTGATCAGCTAAAAGCTAACAACTGGTCAACTGGTTGAGCCGTCATTTTGAACAATTTTTTTTGGTCAAACCGTCTCTATAAGAGTAAAGAAACTTAGCAATACAAATTTGGTAGGGTTTTGGCATATTAGGGAAAGTTCATTTAATATGACAGGGGGGGGATGAAGATATTGAGGGGGGGCTCCGAAAATTTTTAGACACCCGAAGGGGGGGCTCTGAAAAAATTGTTGCGTTAGGAGGGGGGCTCCGGAAATTTGTATACTTCAAAACCAACACATGACATCATCATACAGATCGGATGGTTTTCAACTCAACAATTTAATAACCTGTGCAACTCAGCTATATCACATGGTTTACAGATATAACAAATGTAGTCTCAGTAATTATTACACTCTTGTTCATCCCAAAAATGCTTTAGAAAATTGTATCACAACTGTATCTCAAGTTTGTCATAGTATAAACCATTGAAGACAATAACGGTAAATATATTTAATACAGTCTAGCGATCTTTTTTCAGGGGAGCAAAGGAATTGAAGGAGGAGGGGAGGTGGGGGGGGGCTCTGAAATTTTTTCGACTACTAAGGAGGGGGATCCTAAAAAATTGAACTGCTAGCGAGGGGGGCTGCTAAAATTTCAAGCTTCGAGTTTCAATATCTTCATCCCCCCCCCCCCTTGTCATATTAAATGAACTTTCCCTTAATAAAATAAAACAAAAGGTTATTTTTTTGTTGACAAGTGAGTGTCCTCATTATTCACTGGCATTGTTTTCAATTTTCATTTGCATGTGCACAACTTTAGCAAAAGACTAATTTGCATTCACGAGGAACCTCAATTACTTTCCGGTAATGTTGAGGGGTCTCCATAACAATGAAAACAAGGTGAATGACAACATCTATTGCAGAAAGGAAACATAAAAGCATATAAACTATTGCATAGTGACTTATTTCTTCATCCCTCATGATGAAGAAGTGAAGTTATAGCCATTGTCTTCACCATTTCTGCTACATCAGCATATTTCGGAGATTTCTTCGGTAAGTAATCGAGGGTCTTTTTAAATGCAAATTAAAGTTAGACTTTCAAAAAAGTCGTTCATCGGATTTAATATGGCGGGGGATGACCTCCCGCGACTTTGTCGCTCCGTCGGCCGCTTGGCGGCCTAAAAAGGCTCGCTCCGCTCGCCAAGAGGTTTACTTGCAGCAAGTCTAATTAAAGTTTGCATCTGCTTATGAAACTTGAAAACAATGCCAGTGAATAATGAGGACACTCACTTGTAAACACAAAATCTGGGGGAAAAATTTGTGGCATTTGAAGCCCCATTTACTGTAAATGCTCAAATTAGCGCCCAGCTTCAAATAAGCGCCCCGCTTCGAATTAGCGCCCCTCCTAAGGCTCAAAATTTGTACTAAGTCCCCCCCTTCAAATAAGCGCCCCCCCTCGCCCCCCCTCCCCGAGAAAAAATGAGTTTCGGTACTTGGTGCGATATACGAGACATATACGGTCTATACGTTTCTTTTAATGAAATGTGACATCGTTAAGTAGTATAAACAGTAATTTCCTTTCAAAGTCGGACTGGTTTGCTTCTCATTTCCTTGATAGAAATATCCATGTGAGCAACTTAGCTGCTTCACTTTATTAAGTTCCTCGTAACACTTTGCTCCCAATCGCTGGCTCCTTGTTACTGCCTTAAAAGTTCCTGGAATTACGAGACCATTTTCAAGTTTCCTGCTTCCAGTGACTTCAACTACCACCTGATTAAGGATCCAAATGCTTAGTAGAGACACGATAATTTAACATTAACAATGTGTTTTTATTGTATGTTTAATTGAAGACAACTGGACATTAACCACAGGCTTTTCTTTTTAGACAGAACATTTCACAATAGCAAACGCATACAGAGCCTGTTCACAGGCTATTGCAGAAATAAAATACACTTTTTGATGAAAAAGTCTTAAGAACGTTTCTAGTTCGCAAATAGTGTCATTTTGAGGCTAAAAATTGATAAACGAAATAAGCGCCCCCTTCAAATAAGCGCCCCCCTCTCGCCTTAGAAAATTAAATAAGCGCCCCAGGCGATAATTCAAGCATTTATGGTAATTGTCTTTCTTGTTTTCAATGTCCTTGATGATTAATCAATTAATTGTGGGGTAAAATAAAACAGTCAAGGGAAAAGGGAGTGGTTTTTCCCTTCCTTTTTTTTTCTCCCTTAAATCCCCCTAACCTCGTTCCCAGGGTAGGAGAGAGAACCTGGGAACGAGATTGAAATTCCCCCTCTTCTTTACCGCCTGCCTTGCAGCTAAGCAGGCCAACACTCAAGATCTAAAATTGAATGAAAGAAGGTACCGCCTTGTAAACGGCTACATCTTTACGCGGTCGGATTCATGACCTCGTGGAACTACAGTTACGCGAGTTTTCAGGGCATTGTAATATTATCATATTTTGTCCACTTGTGTTCATGTAGTACTTAATCCGCCTTTTGTTTTCACTTCTATTTCAGGAAATCACGACCTATGGATTCGAAAAACATCTGATGCCTACGGCCAGGAAAATTCTATTTCCAAATTTCACGCTGTCGTAGCACTTTGTGACGCAATTGGCGTTTACATAAGACCAGTGAAGGTTCAATGCTGCAACAACACGTCCGCCTGGGTTGTGCCAATATATTCCTGGTATGCTCAACCCGAAGATGACCCTAACAACTCTTTATATATTGCTAGAGACACCGAAGATGCGGAGTTTTCCAAAAGAGTTTGGATGGACAATCACATGTGTAAATGGCCTTCGCTTCAGAGAACTGTCTCTCAACACTTCGCGGAACTTAGCGAAAAATTTGTGAATAGGAACTACGATGCACCAGTGATATCTTTCAGCCATTTTCTTCCTCGTTTGGAGTTAATCCCAGCCTCGGATGAGGAAATCAAGCATGTAGAAGAAGAGAGAAAGCGTTTAAACCTTCCTGTATTAGACAACCCCAGAGCTCAGGGAGCGCAGATTCAATTTAATTTTACGCGTTTTGCAGGCTCTAAAAGAATAGAAGAGCAAATTCGAAGGTTAGGATCTAAAGTTCATGTTCATGGTCACCAACACCGTAATAGAGACCGGGTCATAGACGGGGTGCGTTATGTATCCTTTTGCTTGGGCTACCCGCGAGAAAGGTCCATTGGAGTTATATGGGGCCTCTCAGAAGGTAATGGTCCAAAACAAATATGGCCGACAGAGTAGGACCCTGTTAAACCTAACATAACTGACTGGACGGCATGTCCTTGCGCACGGGATATTTTTGTGTTCGTATAATTTCATAATTTCTTTACAGTAATAGATCTTGTTCACGAACCGCCATATTTCCACACGCTTTAGGGCTGATGGGATAAAAGCAATATCACGCGGTATTTCAGGGGGCTAACAAGTGATAAAATTCGCCATCATGAATACGAGTAATCGCGGTCGTGTTTGTTTATTAGGGAGCTTAAGGTGGTTCCTTAGTAAAAGAACCTAACATAGATTGTAGATGAAACTTGGTTCACTAATGTAACGAGTCAAGGAGATGACAAAAAAGTAATAAAAAGTGGGGGTCACCGGGCTCGTTTTGACGTCACAATGCTGACAAATACGGCCATTTAGGACCCTTTGTCTAGTTTCGCGCACAGCCCAAAACTAGACAAAAAGGAGAGATTTTTTTGATGATGCATGCGGTAACGCACAGAATTTGACTTTAATGTATTGTTTATCCACTTACGTACCAGAAAAATGCCTTTTAATGCCCCTGACTTTCTTTTTCATTTCCTGAACTTTGATACAGTCTTTTAAAATCCAACTCCAGAAAAAGTTGCCAACATTTGACGAATTGAACGAGATAGAATAAGCGCGATAAAATTTGAAGCAGCGCGACTTCACTTTTCAAGTGACGTTTTCGTAGCCGTCGAAGTCGTTGTTGCTCAAGCTCTCTATGGGTTTATAATTCTAAAAATTACAGTTTTTCTCAGTTCCTTCCTCCTGTACCCATTTGTAAAGAGAAATGGCAAGGTCTGGTAACACTCCTCTATTTTAACGTGAGATTGTCATCAAGGTCGATCGCCCACCGTCATAGGCCGCCAATTTGCTTTTTCAATGTTGATTGAAGTCTAGAAAAGGTTCAAATTGCCCGTAAGGACATGGTGAGCTCGGAAAATATCGTGGGAGGGTGTCGAGCAGAAGAAATGCCGTCTGGGGTAAAAAGAAAAGAAATGTATAGGTTTCTAAACCGACTGTGTTCTATTTAATCGAAACACAGATTACATCTATACGGTATTTCCTCGAACGAATAAGTGCTGGGGCGCTTTAAAATCTCGGCTTAAAGGATGGGCGTTTATTGGAAGGAGGGCGCTTAATCCAGGGAAGCCTGTGGGTAATCAAGCGCACCTTAGTCCCATTCTACAGGTTACACACAGAGTTATCAATAAAGTGGCAATAGAAACAGATTTTCCGTGTACCCCTACGATATGTATTAAAGATAGTGTTGGGGGAGGGGAGGGGGTGCTTGTTTGATGTTTTGGCTTAGGGGGTGGGCGCTTATTACAGCATGGGCGCTTATTCGGGGAAATACGGTATCTAATTTGCCGTATAAAACGGTGTGCAAATGCATCTTCATCATAATAGCGAACTAACCAATCAGAATGAACATGAGTAGCGCACTAAGCCAACCAAAGCCCGAAGCCGAACATGTTAAAGATATCAACTGTTCGACAACGCTTCCGAGTCAAGTCACGTGTTTCTAAAAACAGGATATCTGCTTGGTGGAGTTTTGAGTTTCCTTTATCATTATGTTATTCAGTATTATTGCGGTTAGGCCTCAAAGACTGAAAATCATTCAAGGAAATAGAATAGTAACTTAATTTTTATTCTACAAGCGCTAAGTTACAAGCCCTGTCTGCAAATGAATAAAAACTGATCTTCTTGTGGTTACATGTATGTACACAACCTACATGTATCTTACAGTAAATCGTATAAAAGAATAACACTCCTTTGTGAGACTGAAGTGAAATTATTGAAATGCTTTTCGCCGACGGAAAAGAAAAAGGCATTGAATGTTAAAGTCCTTCACATAATTCCTGTGCTGTGATGAGGTCAAAATCAATAAATAACTAAAAATACTTTAGACTTTGCTCTATGCAGGTAAAAATAAAATCTGACAGTGTATTTTCAAACTTCTCATTGAATTTCGTTGTTTCTTAAAGAATAACGTTTCATATGTACATTTTCTAACAGTTCTGTTTACGTTTAAGAGTCTATTAAACTAAGTGTCATATCACCAACAGAAAAAAAAGCTTTGACAAATGTGCTTTTGCTTGGCTTTATGGTGTTAGCGGGTCTTTGTTCAGATCGGGTCTGTTTTCCAACGCTTGTCTCTTCCACTTGGTTCGCCTGTTCTGAAACCAGACTTTTACTTGTGTCTCGCTTAGCTTGAGATAGGAGGCTAACTGTTTTCGCTCAGATCCCACAACATAATGATTCTTTTCGAACGAAGTTTCAAGGCAAAGGAGCTGGAACGGAGTAAACGCTGTGCGAACGCGGCGTGATCTTCGAGGGGCTGATTTTTGCCCTGTTTGTTGGGTTGGAGTGCTTTGGCTTTCTGCTGGAAAGTAGTAAAAGAATCGATGTTACATTTTAGAGTTCTTATCTAGACAAAAATGTGTTACTTTGTCCTGTTTTAAATCAATAAATTCTTAACCCTTCACTTCCCTCAAATTTCATTTTTTTTTGCCAAAAACGTTAACACCTCGCGAAATTCACTATACTGTGGTGCGTTCGTTTCAATGATTATTTCTCTGAAAGGATTTACAACTCAGGCAGTTAAAACACCTTCAAATGTCTCCAGCTAGATTTGTCTTGGTGGTCAACCTTCTATAATATATAATCATGATAAGGCTACAGTTCTTGTTATGGCAGATTTCTCAGTGAAGTTCAGTCACTTTTGTTAAGTATAGTTCGACCTTTGCTCAGTTTTCTTTACTCGAGTAAAATTTCGCGTTTTTTCAAGAAGCATTTTGATTTCGTTTTGGCATTTTTGTAATCGTTCATGTTAAAGAACGGAACGACCAAAAGGTTTTTTTTAAATCCACTTTTGTACCGGAATTTTTGAAAAGAAAGTTTCTCTTATTCTGCCAGGTTTTGTTGTTCAAGGTGGGGCTTAGTTTGAGTCTGTTACCATGCATAAATCTGCAGTACTTTTATTGAGAAATGTGGGGTTGTTAATTGTGACCAGAAGAGATGTAAGCTGTTGCCGGGGCACAGAAGGCAAAGGGACAACTGTTTCACCATTTCGTAACGACTTCAAAATTGTTAAGAAAATGTTTCATTGGCAACTTACTTCTTTCAGGGCTCGTTTTGACTGTTACGGGTCTCTCTTGCGATATCCTAGTCTGGGCAGAGTATGGCGTCCAGCGAAAGTTGTCCCGAGTAATTGTCATTGGAGGCGATATGGAGTCGTATTTCCCAGCCGTTCCTTGTAACTCCTTAGGAGTCGTTTGATAAGATAGCAGTTTTCTCTCTGGAGTGAAACGGGCGCAGGACGGAGCAGCATATTGGGTGGGAACCGGCCCGGGCATTATATCTTGGTATCTGCATATTGCACCGTTGCATTCTGTCGAAGGACACGGACATCGATAGTAGAAGAAGTTCGTAGACATATCTTTATCTGGGTATGCTATCGCTGTTTTTCTGGTCGATGCTTGATAACTCTGAGTTAACCCGTTTATAAGTGCATCTTTTATGTAAGTTTGGGTCAATAAACAGCATAAATGAAAACGGATATTACTGTATTAAGTGAGAAATAATCATTTCTATCTCTTTTGTTTGCTTTGGGTTGTGTGTAATAATAACTTAATCATGAGATCGGATGTAACACTACCCAATCTATACCAAGGAAATTTTGTTCTCTAGTTCCTTATTTTGAGGAAATAGGCCATTGTAATCGTACAGTAATCGTACTTAATGCCTCCTGTTCGTCAAAAAGTCATTTTATCGCTTTACATGAGTAGATTATCAAGATCGAGAGTACGTTAAAAAGCATGCAATTAGTATTCCCCTCTCCAAAGGGGACAGCCTGTCCAAGTCTAAAATAATGAATAGTTAACATACAATTTAGTTGGTCATAATTTGAAAAATACACTTCTTGGAAATCAAATCATTTTCTTTCATTAGTTAGTAATATCTAGGTGCGAAAACTTGCCAGCATTTTCATGAGAAATTAATTGTGCCCTCCGCCAACTAAGAGCAGGTGAAGTTGGACGGACTAAGCGGCGTTGTTGTTGTCTTTTTTTTTTATCTTTGGTGACTTTTATTTGTGTTTTGAGTCACCATCTGTGTTAGGTGTATCGATAGTAGAGAATACATGGAATTGCGTCGCTCTCAAAGCAGTACAAAATCACAAAAAAAGACCGTTTTGTTCGTTCTACTGTCGCCTTTGCTAGCTATACATAATTTAATTTGTTCGTTTACAAGCAAGCAATTGCGCGTGCTTATTAAACGTCTTTTTAGTTTTAATCAATTACAGACTGGAGAAGAGCAATATCATCGTTAAAACTGCGTAATTATCGGATTCACTGACAGCAAAGTCTGGGAATTGAGTTTGGACACAAAAAGACTAATAGTCGTCGCCAGTGTGGCGTAAATTGTCTTCATGGCTTTATTCGATTTCTTGATCTAATAAACTTGACTGAATCGGGAACCCTTTTGTGGTAATTAAAACAAGTAGCTTTTGTCAGTATTGTCCAGAGCTAAGGCGAAGGTTTTTTAAATCTAATTAAACTGGCTCGAAGCCTTTTTTGGTAGTTGTTAAAAGTGAAAGAGAATGAAAATATTTTAACAAACTCTTATCTGTAGCCAATGCCTTGCAGTGATCGAGAAATTTCTCACATCATAACGTAACCATGCCCCAATACCGATTTGTCATAATCGTTAGGAGCACGAGAATTTTTAAGTCCCTCCTTTATCGTAACCATTGCTGATCTCAACAAAGAATCTATTAGTTTCGTGTGGTTAGAAACTGTAGAAGTTCCTGTTTCTTACGATTACTTACTGAACGTTTTAAAATCAAGTCCATGTTCAGCAGTTATATAGTGATAACAAAATCTCCCCACACCGTTTCAAGAGTGAAAAGCAAAAATGAGCGTTTGTGCCGTTTTGCCGATGAAAAGAACAATTTCTCATTAAATTTATTTTCAACAAAATAAAATGGCGGTAGAGACTGAAAATTTTAAAGGTAAACACAGAAACTTGAAAGTATCATCTGAAAGATATCTCTGGAAGTTATCGAAGATCACAGTAATCCGAAAAGTTTTTTTTTTTTTCATGGCTCAAAAAAGAACCATGGACAAAACTTAAAAAAGACAAAAGTGAACGAAATTATCATTTAGAAAATGACTTTCATCAGGAAATAGTCTTTTTACGAGCCTCGAATGACTGCCAAACTGTACAAAATACACATTGAGTTACAATTGTTTGGTGAAAAAAAGCGGTCCAATGATGAGACTGAAAACGAACGAAATGAAGCTATCGAAAGTGTCAGCGTAATTGATGGTTTAATTACATCTAGGATCGTATATGAAAACAATACGGTAAACGATTAGAATGAATTTATTGGCAATTGACCACTGTACATTACACTTGGTATACAGAAGCAGCAGGTGATTCTAGAAGGATTTTGGCACGTGCGATCAAGTGTTCCTTATTTCATGAAAACAAATAAGTTATCCCCGAGTTGTTTTAATACTGCCAACGCAGAACGTAAAAATGGAGTATAAAAATATACTCAACATTAAAGAACCTCTTTTTCTTCAATTTAATAAATGTAAGTAGAGTGTTAAATTGAGACTTTTGAAAACCCGTTTATTGGTAGAAACTTTGTCAGGTGAATTTAGAAGTCAATATTTACTTAAGAACAGAGCTGGCGGCTGATTTTTGTTACTTTATTCCGTTGCTGTTGATCCGTATTTTCTAAGCATCACTTTAAAGATAGAACTGATTTTTAAAATACAAGGTAAAAGACCAGTTACGAAGGTTACCAAGTTGCAAACTCACAGATGAAAGTGTTTATTTCTAGTATATGTTCCTAAATTAAGCACATAAATGGCTCAATGCTAAGTTGAGCTTGATTAAACTAGTATTGTTTAAAATTAACTAAAGGCACACGTGCCTTGCATGTTTAAAAACAGAGTTGATTATGTTCTTTGTTGCTTTTGAAATTTCTATCCTTGTCTTTTATTGTATTATTTTTTATTTGAGATATTTTCATTTTGTTTTAAAAAAATGGAAGGCCGGGAAGGCGCCCGTTGTCTGATAGCGCGGGAATGGCGTTTTCATGCATTTCTCGCGAAGTGGCCCACGGATTCAGCAACCGTCTGATATCGACACATTGCGCTCCGCTCACTCATGAAACAAATTTATAGCTCAACGTTCCTGAAAATTTCTCATTTTCGCTGGCCCAGACCTTCTCAGTGTTTTAGTTCAAGTTCTGAAACTGATCTTCTCTGTTCTCTCGATCGACAGTATTGAAAAGTGCATGGCAACAAAGTAGCCGTCATTCAAATAGCTTATACATTCGTGAAACTGAGGTGAATGAATCACTTCATCTTTACAACAATGCTTATTTATTAGCCGTGTTATTTGGCTAGGGCTGCTATTTTGCGTTTGATCAAAAAGACGAAAAGTTAGACTGAGTTTAATAGATATCGATTATACCGTCAAATTTCATGCAAATGAATCATTTTGATGGATCCTTTTCATATTTTTGTAATAATCAATATTTTTATTAATAAGTGAAACATCTAAACTTAGAACCTTATTTCATACTTTGAATCGATTAAATTAGATTAAGAACTTTTGAAATGGCTCTTTTTGATAATTCGAAATACCGTTCAAGCTTCCAAAAAGAATTGGCTCGACGAGACATTTGAATTCATTTTTTGCGTCATTAAAAAAGTTGAAGGCGAGTTCACTAAACAAATTTTTCCGAAAAAAGACACACTAAATTTTACAACTTCAGCGGTAATTATAGATTTCAGCTGAATAACCTTCAAATTAAATTACCGTTTCTTATTCACCTCATCGAAATAACCAAACCGTTTAGCATGTCTTCTTTTATTGACTATTATGGACGGCTTCGGGGATGCCTCTTTCACTAACACCGTTACGTTATCACTTCTGATTAGAAAAGAAAATATCCAGCATTTTTTTTCAGATTCAAAGGGGACTCAGATTGCTAATTGATTCTGATGTTTTTTTGCACAAGTGTCAGCATCAGCTGAGCTCTTAAAACATTCCACCGCTTTTCAATTTCATCCACCTTGAAATTGATAAGCAAATTCATATGTATACCGCACCTAACTAGGATATTATTTACTTAACACAGAAGAGCAGACGGATCCCTTTTGCGGTTATGCATTAATGTTGTTTTACTTTCTCTCTAAACTAATATGACTTTTAAAATTAAAGAACTTACCCTGGCTCCAGGGGTCTGGTCTCGAAATACCTAGGATAAAATAACCGTGTGTACGGTTTGATAAAGCCGCGAACTATCAGGAATTAGGAAAGAAAAATCCCTCTGGCGCCCAAGGTAAAATAACTTCGCAAATTAGTTTTTCTGGCAAGCGGTGCCCAGGCCAGTGGCGCTCTTATGTTGCCTGGCTATATGAGAAATAGGAAAAAATAACTGATTTCCGAGATCTTATTTTAGAGTTCAAAAAATTCGGCAGGTTCCTTGTCTTACTTGCGCTGTGCTAGGCTCAGCGAGCGAACCCAATAGAGGTCAACTAGAAACTAACTCAGCACCGTTTTCTCAAACGTAAGAGATCTAAGTATCTGATAACATAAGAAAAGTGTGGCTTAAAGTCTTTTATCGTTTGAGCAATAAAAAGATTGAGACCATTTTAGCGTAGAAAGTTTGCTATAACCAGTATGTTAATGTATGTCTCTATTGTTTTTTCTCCCCAGCTGGAAATCAATTTTCAGATCCATTTATTTCACGGCTGGCTTTAACACGGTTACTGAAACAATCGCAACTTTTGGTGGTATTTTTTTTTTTAATCGTGTGCTCTTCTTAACGCTCTTTCGCCGTAGTCTGTTTGGGGGAAAAAATAACAAGGAAAGGGAAGGGAAACGGCGGGGGGTGGGGGGGGGGGGGCCTTCACGCTTTTCCCTCTCCCTAGTTCCCCGCTCGACCAAAGACCTGTTCACAGGTTTCACAGGCTACTATTCTTGTCTTACGTTTCCAATATTGCATAGTTCTGTTAAAGCCGGCATCAAGGTATAGTCTGTTCGGATATTTCCCGCCATGGTAAATGGAAGCATCATTTCTGAGGAGCAATTTCTTAGAACTTTCCTATTTTTAGCTTTTTAGCTCTGGGGACGCCCTGTTTCTCACATTCAAACGTTGTTGAAATTCACATTTATTCATCTTTTTTAGTTTAATCGATATTGATTAAGAAGCTGCGGGAGCCGGCCCCTGTCTAGCCCTGTTCGAACGTGATTTTTCAACCTCGTCCCAAACCACACAGGAAAATGGTGTTCTGTGGTACGGAACAAAACCCACTCTCCCTACCCTCGCAACATTTTTTCCACTTTCCTGATCAGATCATGTGATGAGAATTTTCAATCAACCAAGATGGCGCCTTTACCTGGAGAAGAAGGAGCTGCGAAAGAACATGCTGCCGCTGTTACAAGAGACTATATTTCACAGCCAAGAATCAGTGAGTTATTCAAAACTGTCATACGAACTGAATTTTGTTGTTTGATTGCCTATTGTCTCGTTACTTGCTTACAAATTCATCCAGGATTTACGCTCATCTCGACCAACTTCTTGCGCGCCTGCCGGTTTATGTATTGATTTTCTTTTTTTGCGGTTTGTTTTTTCAGCGTATAAAACAGTTTCTGGTGTAAATGGCCCTCTGGTGATTCTAGATGATGTAAAGGTATGATTTTAGTTTGAAAAGAATTTTTCTTGAAGGCTCATAAATTAAACACAATGTATTAAAAAAACATCTGAGCCGAAGCTAACATTAGGTTAATTTTGACAAACCTGCCCGGTCGGATTGGCAGGGTTAGCTGCCGATTTACAAAAATCTTTAGAAAACTAGCGATTTAGCATTAAAGTGATCCAGTTATAAAATTTACAAGATTTCTCTAAGTTCATCACAGTTTATTTCGTTTGAACTTCAGTTGATCATGTGATTACTTGCATAAGCTTTTATATGGTCTTCGTACTCTGTTAAGCTTACATGGCGTAAAAAATGATTGAAACATAGTCATTAAGTGCTTTCACCAATATCTCCAAAGTAGATGTAGTTGTGGCTGAAATCTGCCCTTGTCTGTGTGTATGATAAGGAATATAAAACATGAAAGTTGTTGTTTTGCTTGTTTTAGTTCCCAAAGTTTGCTGAGATTGTGACATTAACATTGCAAGATGGTTCACAGAGAAGTGGACAAGTGTTAGAAGTTAGTGGGACTAAAGCTGTTGTGCAGGTATGGCTCTCAACTCAGGGCCCACTGAGGTGGAGGGGCCAGGGGGGCCAATTTTTGGCAAAATAATAATAAAGAAATAACAATTTCCCGAAGTTCTTCACCAAGGGCCTCTTCACATGAGCCCGGTTGACCAGGCTGGCCCAGCTACCTGGACGAATGTTGCCTTGGGTTGCAGTCTGGTTTCTGAGGGGAGAAAAAGCCAAAGATGCTGCCCAGGGACGAGTTCTGGCGCTAGATTCCAGAAAAATTTCCAACCTGCTTACAGAGATCCCACCCGCTCATATGAACAGATGCAAAGGATTTAGAAGTAAGGCAAGATCTCGGAGATCAAACAGTCCATTCAACCGGGCTCATGTGAAGAGGTCCTAAATACGTTTTTTGATACTAGACTAAGACTCTAGTTTTTCCTCAATAAGGATGTACATAATGATTAACTTATCTGTATCAAGCAGCCATTAATTTCATCTTGCGGGTGTGTGAGTAAAAAGGTTCATGATGACAAGGTAGATATTTTAAAAGAAGGTCAGGTTTAGCACTGTACATTCTTGCTAACAACCTGCACATAGAGGCACTTGAATTTATTGATCTAAACTGATAAACAAAGAATCGGCATGCTGTTATTAGAATGCTGAAAGAGAGGGACAGAAAATTCACACTGTTTCTCAAAAATTGAAAAACACGCTGCATTCAGCTATTCGTTGATAGTATTCAATTCATTTTTTGCTACACAAAATCTGTTGATTATAGCATTCTTATAACAACTATTGTAGATCCATTTGAACAGGCTAAGAAAAGCTTTTGTATCACTCCCCCTCTCGCCTTCCCTACGCACTTGAATACAGTGGTCCCTGCACTTGAAAAACTGCTGTGCAGGCCCTGCCACTCTGTCGTTTGGGCCTGACGCCAGATGTTAACATCAAACTCTAAAGAAGAAAAGAAAGAGCCCCAGCTAGCAAATCAGTCCATTTTGTGTTGTTTATTGTTAGTTTTATCATTAGTATGTGTAAACTATGAAAACCTTACTTGTGAATGAAAATACAGCAGTTTTCTGAGCCAGGTTGTTACTGGCCCTTTTGAGAAACAGAACTCTGAGGTGATGATGTCACAAAATTGAATTTTTGAAATTATTGCTCACATTGTTTTAAGTTGGATATTCAGAAGGGTCTTTTTGCCAAAAACAGAATTTTCTTGCAGATGTATTTTTATTACGATATGACGACCTGCTCTGATGACTCCATATTGTCAAGCCCTTCTTTATTTGACTTGGGTAAAAAATTAATGACTCAAGTCAAGTTTAGAAGAATTTGTATGCAGTCATCAGAGCATAACAGCGCTAATAAAATCAATTACCACCAATAAGCACAGGCATGCTAATTTCTGGCATTTTTTTGTCTTACTGTTTTTTTTGGCGATTTTAACAAATCCCATAAGTTAAAAAATTTGAAAATGATATCACACCTCAGGACTTTACTTCAGTTACAGTTAATACTAGCTTGTCTGATAAAAGTTAATTAACTCTTCTTGTAAAAAGGTTTTCGAAGGAACCTCCGGTATTGATGCCAAACACACTACCTGTGAATTTACTGGTGATATTTTGAGGACTCCTGTGTCATCAGATATGTTGGGTAAGGATCTATAAAGTTTGTGCTTTGCTCTTAATTTGATATCTCCTAGATGCTATTAAATTGCTTGGTGGTTTTTAGTGATGTTTTAACCCTTTAAGTCCCAATGGTGACCAACATCAATTTTTTCTCAACAATATTCATACCTTGTCAAGAGATTAGGTTATGAGAATCTATGAGATGATCACTAAGGAGAAAATGCTTTGATCTGCCATCAAATTCTCTCAACTGATTCTTAAAGGAAATGTATGGAGATCAGTTTGGAGAATTTGTATGTGGATATTGGGGCTTAAAGGGTTAAATGTGGGTAAATGTAGTTTAGGCAAAGTTAACCTTGAACCAGTACTGGTCAGCAGTTTTTCCAGCTATGTCTGAGGGTGGCCCCGATGCCCTTAGCAGGGGGCACTTCGTGACTTGTATACGCAGTTGCTAAGTTGCAGTTCTTCACAAAGTGTTTTTGCTACAGCTTGTTGCTGTCTTAAGTTTAATGCTGTGTTTCTCCCAACCATCCCTCACTGTTTATCTCAGGGCTAGATAAATATTGGTCGGTAAGTATTCCACTGAGTGGTTCAGTGTGACCTTGCCTGGTGGGGGGCAGCTCACAAGGTTGCCATAGATACCTCTTTCCTTGTGCTAAAGAATTGCCCAGCTCCACTACCAACCTTGTAGGCACCAGCGCGCAAGCTTATTTATTGGTGATCTGTTTAAACTTACATTAACATAAGAAATATGAATAATCACTAATTTTAATGTTGCTTTTTAGGTCGGGTGTTCAATGGGTCTGGAAAAGCCATCGATAAGGGCCCTGCAGTTATGGCAGAAGATTTTTTGGACATTCAAGGTAAAATATTACGACAAATGGTTCAGAAGTTTTCCTTTGTTTCTGATTATTCTAATGGCTCTAAGCACAAGGGAAAATTAAAGTGAAGTTACTTTGAAAATTATTTTAAACCAGAGAAAGATTGATGGACAACTTTTAAAATGTTGTATTGTGTGTTGTATTTTGAAGGCAGGTTTGTAATTTTTCATTTCCTTTGTCTCTGGCTCCGTTATGAAAAATGTTAAATCTGAGAATCAGGAAAATAAACATGTTTGGAAAATTTTAAACCAAAGAGGAACTTGAATCACAGCCGGTATCATGGCATGTAATGGATTGTGTGGAATTTGAGTGTGATATTGGGTCTTTTGTTTAGGTCAGCCAATCAATCCATGGTCCAGGATTTATCCAGAGGAAATGATTCAGACTGGCATTTCTGCAATTGACACCATGAACAGGTCAGAGCTATAAATAACAATATTAACAAGCTTCTACTGCAGTTTAGATCGCTTGTTTTGATATAGGAGTTTTTGGCTCTTTTTATCCTTGACAGTTTATACCATATACATGTACCAATGCATCTGTTTTGCAATTCAATACTTTATGGTCTGATAGAAAGAGGTTTTTCAAAGTTTCAATTTACTTGGCAAGAATAAGTACTAATTGAGGGCCCGGCTTCAACGTTCTTTACTGGAGACAGGAAATTATGCCACTTAATTTTACATGGTCCTCCAGCTACATGAAGGCGAAGCCTTTTACAAGGCAAAGGCTGCACATTCTTCCTGAGGTATTTTAAGGCCACAAGTATTGGTCCAGCCTTTGGTATCAATACTGCAACCTTCTGATGATCAATACACCAGTGCTCCATGTCTGGAGTTATGTATCTTTACATTCAGAGAACTGTTCGTAAGCTAAATCTAGTGATTCACTATTTATTCTCGATACATTTTTACCTGTAAAAATTTTTTTGTCATGTTTCTCCTGATCTGGTAAATTAAATGTTTATTGTTATTTTAATTTAATCGTATTAGACAGGAAAAATATTCTACACAAGGAGGTAACATTACAAGTAATATTGTATTTTGTTTTTCTCAGCATTGCCCGTGGCCAGAAGATACCTATTTTCTCAGCAGCTGGTCTTCCTCACAACGATGTAAGCCTAGCATCATAGTTATTTTTGCCATTATATTGCATGCATGCACACTGGAAACATTTTTTTAACTTTGATCCCTTAACAGCTTTAATCAACTGAATGAGTTACATACATACATACATACATACTTTATTGGCTCGTCCCCACGGGGCTTTTCAGAGTCAATTTTACATTACAAAATTATAAACCAAGTACATGACAATAAGAATATAACAATGATAAAAGAAGACAAAGGTCAATAAAATTAATTAAATTAATTAAATAAAGCAGTCATTAAGAAGCTTTTGCCTGAGTGAACACTTGAATTCCGTCACGGATGGGCTAAGTTTGAGTGCAGGCTGCAACTCATTCCAGTGAGAGGTTGCTCTATATTGAAAGGTCCTTTGGCCGCTGGCAGTGCGGAAGAGTGGTATGTTCAAAAGTTGAGAATTTCTCGTGTTCCTTGTCGAGACGGCGGATCTTCCAACGAGCTTTGATGTCAAATACTCCGGAGCACAACTCGTCATGCACTTAAAAACCAGAACAGCAAAACGAAAATAAAGTTGTTGCCTGATTGGTAGCCAGCGCAAGTCTTTTAGCAAAGGAGTTATGTGATCGAATTTTTTAGCGCCGCTCAAAATACGACAAGCGAAATTCTGTACTGCTTGGAGCTTGTCCAGATTAGTTTGAGTAGTATTGCTCCAAACAGAAGAGCAATAGAATAATTTACTAAATACTAAGGCATTTATAATAATAATTAGCGCGTGTTTATTAAAAATATGCTTAACGCGGTTAATTTGGCCCAAACGTGACATGCATGAGGATACAGTAGAAACAATATGCTCATTATATGTTAAGTTAGAGTCCAGTGTGACACCAAGGTCTCTTGCAGCCTTAACGGGCTTGAGTTCCTTCCCCAATAGAAATAGCCTAAAGTCGCTAACCTTAGCAGTCATTTGCCGGCTGCCGAATATCACTAGTTTTGTTTTATCTGGGTTGAGTAAAAGCTGATTATCAAAGCACCAATTCCTAATGCTTAACAAGTCATTGTTCATCCAAAAGAGAGAAACGTACACTAAAAGGTGACGGCTATAAAGAGAAAACTATTTGATCGCAGAAAATATATGCATGAAGAACAAAAAGGGGGAAGAAAGATGTTGAATCACATAATGACCAACTACATCAAATTTGTTTTCTGACTGTTGTGATTTCTTTGTACGTGTATTTCGCATTAGATTGCTGCCCAGATCTGTAGACAAGCTGGTTTGGTGAAGTTTAAGAAGGGAGTCATGGATGACCACAGTGATAACTTTGCTATTGTCTTTGCAGCTATGGGAGTGAGTTCACTAATCATTGCATAGATATTATTCTTATGTAGATTGTGTATGAAATGTCTGGTGTTAAATATGCCAAATTTTGGTGTATTTTTTAACAAATATCTATTTATTAACAATTATTGGACAGAGTTGAGGAAAATATTGTGATTTGTTACTGGCTAGCAGATCAATATATGCCGCAGCTGAAGGCTGAGGAAAATAGTTGATCTGTGAGACACTGACGAATCACAATATTTTGTGAGTTTGTTTTTTAATAATATTATTATTTGCAAAGCGATCTGCCATTTTCACGAAACAGCGACTGCAAGAAGGAGAAAAGCGTGGTTTCATTTACGTATGAGCAGAATGTTATTTGCAGCCAAACACAGTTGGACAACATTAAGCATGAGCAGACCATTATTAAATTGTAGGCAGCTATCTGCAGGTCACATTATGTGCTCTCAGCCAGTGAAAAACGAAGAAAAATTTGCATTGAATGGTCATTACCTTTGACTACAAAAAAACTCCAGCTTAGAGCCCAGAAATCTGGTTGATGGATGTTTTCTTTGTTTTGAATTCATTCATCTTTGTTAAGTAAGTACATTACCTTTGTTCTTTTGATTAGGTAAACATGGAAACTGCTCGATTCTTCAAGCAGGACTTCGAGGAAAATGGTTCTATGGAAAATGTGTGCTTGTTTTTAAATCTTGCCAATGATCCAACGTAAGACATTTTCTTAATTCTTTCAGATTTGACACTTTGAATTTTATGTTTAACCCTTTAAGTCCCAATATCCACATACAAATTCTCCAAACTGATCTCTATATGTTTCTTTAAAGGATGAGTTGAGAGAATTTGATAAAAGATCAAATCATTTTCTCTTAGGTGATCAATTTATTAAATTCTCATAACCTAATCTCTTGACAATCTATGTATATCGCTATGAGAAAATTGATGTTGGTCACTGTTGGGAATTAAAGGGTTAAGAGATGTTGAATCACTCGCATTTTAATCCCATTAGTCAGGGCTTGAAGAAAAAAAAGCAAAAAAAAACTTGAATTCCAGCTTGTCCTTTTTTTAAATAGACAAGCAGCTTTGTAAATGTTGGATGTGATTCAATAGCATCCTTCATGCTATTTTTATTTCCTTTTTTTTTTTGTACAATTGTACCATAAATGAGGATGAACCAAAAGAAAGAAATTTCACTATTCCTGAGTTTATTATTGTTCCTTTCTATTGATTTTTCTCAATAGTATTGAACGTATCATTACTCCACGTCTGGCACTGACCACAGCAGAATTCCTTGCTTATCAGTGTGAAAACCATGTGCTGGTTATTCTTACAGACATGAGCTCTTACGCTGAGGCCTTGCGAGAGGTGAGCTGGTGGAAAGTTTAAAAGAGTGTTGATTAAGCAAAACTTTCTAGTAATTTTTTAGAAACTGATCATTCCGGTCTAGTGATCAGGAGCTGATTTCTTCCTGCATAATCATTAGAATTAAGCATATGTTGTTCCTAGTTTTATTATTTCTTCCTACAAGGGACCTTATTCGTGATATCTGCCATCTTTGCACTAGCCTGCGAGCAAGCTCTCCTATTTGGGCGAGTGAAACGAGTCTCGCGAGAACGGCTGTCACGTCAGGCGGTTGTCACTTTTTTAATCTGCGGCACGTTTACGGTGACAGTTTTCACGCTTTGCCGAGTCCCGGGGTTTCCGGGGTGGAAATGAAAATTTATGAGAGATCGTTGCAAGCTCTCCTTTCTTCGGCCCCTCGCTCGCGCGTTCTCGCGAGGCTCGCTTCGCTTGCCCAAATAGGAGAGCTTGCTCCCAGGCTATTTTTGCACATGTGCAAGGAGCTATGTCATGTCACGCTATTTCATGGATTGAAACTTGAAAAACTGGACCAACTTTTTAAAGTTCTAATTCTATCCTTAAAAAATTCATTTTTAGAGATATCAAAACAACAGTGAATTTACCCGCCGGTTAAAAAAAAAGTTGCCATTGTAGGGAAGTTGCCGTTAGTAGAGGACTTAAGGTTTTCCTTGATCATTTGACCTTTATTTTGATGAGCTAAGGTGCGTTGTTTATGGTAATGTAGGTATCTGCTGCTCGTGAGGAGGTTCCAGGCCGTCGTGGTTTTCCAGGTTACATGTACACTGATTTGGCCACAATTTACGAGGTAAAGTCTATTGTTTAATGTTGTTACTATCCCCCAACATTTTCCAGATCCAAAATTTCAGAAAAATCACGATTTCTTTTGCAAAATTTTCATTGCAAAAGGCAAATAGTACCGTGCAAGAGTGGTATCGAACAAGTTTCACTTAAATCATCGCACCGTAATGATGGGAATCTGAGTGCTTGATTCAGTGTAAGAGTAGAGTGGGACTGGTTAGCAGGGTATCTCCCCACGGAATTTGTTTAGTTGAACTGCATCACGCTTTTCTGTAGTCAGTCCCACGCAACCGTTTTTGTCTCGTCATGAAAGGCTCCTTTTCTGAAGTTGATTCCGAATTAAAAAGGCAACATTCTGCCAAAATTTACAGTATTAAAGTGTAAGGTCCACTGAGTCTTCCTCTTTCCGGAATACTACTGTCAATTTATTCGTCCTTTATTTATTTTTGGCGTGTTTCCAGATGAACTTTTATGCATTGACAGGCTTTTGGTTATTCGATCGGAAGTTTACTCTTGTTCATAGTATCACCGATGACGTTAGCCACAAGTTCCTTTTTACCATCGAACCTTATACCTTGTATATTTGTCAAATGTAGATTTACATCTTTTGTATTAAACGAACGATAATTCTGATCATTTTATAGCGTGCTGGACGCGTGGAGGGAAGAAATGGTTCCATTACTCAAATCCCGATTTTAACTATGCCCAACGATGGTAAGAAATTATTGTTTTACGTTGCATTGCTCAGAATCAAGTTGGCTGACCGCAGTTGCAGTGGCAGTAGTTGTTGATTCCAGAGTGTTCGGTTTTCGTTTCCAGCACTTCGTTGTCTGTGCTTACATATGTTATAACCAACTTCCTTTACCGTATTGTAAACACCTTTGGAACCGTGATTAAGTACCCATAATAGCGAGAGTTTCTCTCAGCCTTTCACCTGATAAAAATTACACATCGGACAAAATTTTTGGGTATTCGTCAAGAAATGAGCGCGTTTCTCGGGGATCGTACACCCGTGTCCTCTCCCTCCCGGGAATCGGATATTCGTCTTTTAAGTTATTTTTTCAACGTGTCGCCTCATGTAAGAGATTCTGGAATCCGGGATATTTTTGCTTGTGGGGTTCGGAATCCGGGGAGATTTGAGTTGGGGAATCAGGAATCCTGCGCTTTGGGATCTGGAATTCAGGTCAAGGATTCCGGAATCCCACTAACGATTGGAACCCAGAATCTAAATTACAGCGACAAAGACTGGAATCCAGTAACTGGAATCCGAAATCCACGGCGTGGAATCCAGAATCCAAGACTGTCTTGGATTCCCTTACATGGGGCGAAACGTGGCCGACACTCCTCCGGTAGAAAGGTCTACTACTACTGGACAAACCGTCATCTTACAATCATGTATCAGTCTATAGTTTGAACTAATCTATAATTTCGTGTTTTTTATTTTTTAGATATCACCCATCCTATCCCAGATTTAACAGGATACATTACAGAAGGACAGATCTACGTCGATCGTCAGCTACACAACAGACAGGTATAATAATTTTGTAACGTTTCGCCCGAAAGTCGATTCGCTCGATGACATACAACACTCTATACAACATGGTGAACCTACTTCTCCGAGATGTTATTTTGGTTAACCTTGGATTCCTTTTTCTCAGGCTTAAACGACCCGTTACCGTAACAGTACCTACGACCGCACCGTTTAGTTTGAATTGATATGGTTGACTAGAAAAGGGCCTGTTTAAAATTGACTTGGAATCTGGCGTGCAATAAGGTTGAAAAAATAATGATGAAAAAAAAGTCGTCAAGTGGTGAATTGGCCACGGTAAAGATTGAGTTTCAGAAGCTGTGGTTTAGAGTGCCGCAACGTCGGAGAAAACCTGTTGAGACAGGTTTCAAAAATACCGATTTTTTCGTGTCATCCTGGCAAAAATGGAAACCGTCACCAAATGAATACCCCGTTTCCCTCCTCCCCTTATCCAACGTTGTTTAAGGTAACACAGGAATTATGCAGGTTGGTTTTTACACCAAAACAACTTTGAATAGGGGGTGGGGAGGAAGCTTACTTTGTCTGTTTAGAGTAGATGGTACTGTACCGCCAAAGTTAGAAAAGAGATGGAACTGTCACAACAGTTTTGTCTGAGGTTGAAGTTCTTCGTAGTCGCAAGCTCGAGGAATCTACTAATTAAAACAATTTTATTTGCGTAAAAATAGACGGTAAAAATAAAGGATTGGTGCGAAAAGGGTGCCAACAGAGAAGAACTGAATCCTCATACGCTGTTGACTCCCTCGAATTGTGGGTTGTGTCGGGTACAGGGTGTATGATAGCAGTCTTGTGGAGCTACGCTATAAGTGGTGCGATGGAAGGGTGAAAAGCGGCGGCAAATGTCTCAAGCGAATTAACTTTGTCGTGTACAAGCTGCAACGATTTTGTAATTCGTTCAATAAACATAGACTGAGTGACTAAGTGAAAATTTCTCCTAGGTGTATCCACCAATCAACGTGCTACCTTCCTTGTCTCGATTGATGAAGTCTGCTATTGGTGAAGGCATGACAAGAAAAGATCACGCTGATGTCTCTAACCAACTGGTATGAATAATGTTTCGACAATAACAGTCTAAACATTGGAATTTTTAAATGAAACTTTTACCAAACTGAATTCAGCATCCATTTACCGTAATTTTGTGTTTTCAGTTTATATCTTGCTCAAAGTTCTTGGCTATTTTTTACTTTTCTCTGTCTGAGATAATGGTGTTTGTGTGAAAAAATGTGAGCAAAAATTCTAGAGGTTTTGTTGTTCCTTATTTCAAGAGTAACCACTCTTCGTATCTTATTGTTAAAGGCAGAATATACAAGCCAGAAATCACTATAGTTTAACTCGCAGACGAAGAATGAATTTTCAGACGTTTAACATATTTTGGCCAGCCTTTATCATGAAGAAACATGACGTAGTCTAGAAATAATATTTGCGTGAAATTTCCCACTTCATGAACAGATAGATACGTGCAGGCTGAACAAAACGGTTCGAAAACTGGAAAGTCGTGAAATTACAAATTTCTTTTCCCAGGCCTGGAAAGTCATGGAATTCTGTTGTCGGCCATGAAAAGTCATGGAAAAGTAAAATTATGCTTGGTAGCTTATAGTCACTGTTCATGTGAAAGCAAGGAAATATAATTAACAAGACAAGGACGAGTAATGGGCCAATTGCACGATTATGACGTCCTTTTACTACCAACACCAGAATTCATTTCGTTTTTCCTTTATATTTAAATTTGGTAGTCCCAGTGAGATTTAAATAACAAAGGTCTTAATTTGCACAAGAAAGCAATACCCTGAAGGATTCTGAAGCCTTCGTTCAAATGGACTATGAAATGGCGCAAACGCCACGCATTTGAACTGAGTTATGCGAATAAAAAAACCCAAAACATAATTTTGAAAATTTACAACTAGACGTAAGGTCATGGAAAGCTTAAGAGGGTATAGAAAAAGGCTTGGAAAAGTCATGGAATTTGAAGAGCTTAAAAGATAAGAGTACGAACCCTGACCAAAACTAACTGTTTTATTGTACTTTCAGTATGCTAACTATGCCATCGGCAAAGATGTACAGGCCATGAAAGCTGTGGTCGGAGAAGAGGCTCTCACCTCTGAAGACTTGTTGTATTTAGAGTTTCTGTCAAAGTTCGAAAAGAATTTTATTTCACAAGGTAATGCAGCAGTCACTCGTACCATCAAACCCATCAATTTCAGCGGCGAGCAAGCTCCAAGTTCGATAGCCTGAGAAAAACGCGGCCGCTATTTCGCGACGCTGCCACTGGTTTCTCTGCGAAATGACGTCTGAGAAAGGAGCGTAGAAATTCCATACTGATGACGCGTCACTTCCCAGATCTGGTTAGTGCTTCTGATTGGTTGAAGCAAACTTTCTGCCAATAAGAAACATTACCCAGATCTGGATAGTGTTGCGTCATCAGTATTGAATTTCTGCGCCCTTTTCTCAGACGTCATTTCGCGGGAAACCAGTGGTGGCGTCGCGAAATAACGGCTGTTTTCTCAGGCTACAAGTTCGGGGGGTAGATGAGGGGAGGGCATAATAACCTCCTGTCCTCTCCCCTCGTTAGAAGTCGAAAATCACAATATGCGTGGCAGACGACCGTAGAGACACGAGCACGGGACCTGTAATGCAGAGAACCCAAAAGAGTATTTGCTCCACCTCCAGTCTTGACTCAGAAATATACAATTTTTATTGGACTTCGTCTTTCTTGTCAGAAATATTTAGTTCTGGTGCTATGGTAAAAGCGAGAACTGATGTACGAAACTACACGAGTTAACGTCGGGAATCTGGATTTTAAGGCTAGCTCTTTCCCCGAGACGAAAACAATACCGGTTAGGGCTTCTGTTCACAGAAAAGAACGGTGATTTCGGCGCGATTTCTGTAACGGCGCGAAGCATACGCTGCGCTCAGGATCGTCATTTTTCGGAAAGGGTTCTGTACCACTCTTTGGTACAGTGTGAACAGGTTTTCGGAGACATTGGTTGTTTACCATTTACAAAAAGTTTTCGGAAAATCCGGTTGTAAAGTAAATGAAACACCACTTTTTAGGTCTTTCCAGCGGAAAGTGTCTGGGAGCAACAAACATCTGAAAAGGTAGTCCTGTTATTCAGGACGGAATATTCCAAACGGAAATTTCGTGTCCCATTTCTTCAAAGCCATCTTTGATACCATTTTCAGGCCTTTGCGGTCGTTTTTCGGAAAATGGAACTTATTGGTACAAATGGTCAATGCGATTCCGGGACAAAAATTATCAGTCCTGAATTTTGCGTACCATTTGCCCACACTGTGAACCGACCGGTTTGTCCACGTAAATGGTAAACAACCATAGCCTAAGTGTCAGGTCCTTGGCCGTCCGGTTTAAAAAATTGAATACACTTCTTAGACTATGTGTTGTTGGTTATAAAAGGCAAGATCCTTAACATATTACATGTTTTTTGTCTCTTTTTTGCAGGCACATACGAAAACCGTTCTGTATTTGACTCACTCGACATCGGCTGGTCCCTGCTACGAATTTTCCCCAAAGAGATGTTGAAGCGTATCCCCCAGTCTATTTTAGCAGAGTACTATCCAAGGGACGCAAGAGGAGGAGCCAGCTAGATCATTTAATATACAATTAATTAATGATTCTTTTTGAAATTTAAAGAGACAAGTTCCAGTGATTTATGTTCAGAATGTTAATCGGCAAGTTGAACCAAGGCGTGCTCACGTCCGTCAAAACCAAACAAAATGAGTTATGTGCAGGCTACACTATGAAGCGTCGGGATTTTGAACCGGTCTCTCGCTTATTGGGCGATAGAAACTGAGAAAACTTCCCTGCCCCATCGCTTTGGTTATCTTCGCCCCTTCTCTGCACACGGATCAGAAAACGTGAAGAATGGCCACATAATTCATCTCGTGAAATGATTAATTTCTTATGTCAAAATGTTTCAATTATAGTATTAAATATGTAATCGAAAGTTCGTAGAACGGCTGATCAGACCTCTGATCAGAGAATATGTTACTTCAATCTGTGAGCTGATTGTAGGCCTCTGGGCTTCTGCAGGAAACAGAGCGACAGTACTTTCCTGCTTTGTGCGTTTAGACAGAAATTTGGCAATGATGTAGTATAATCGCAGCTAAATGACAAAATAAACTTGTAGACTGTCACCCTGAGTATTCGCAACTGTCATCTGTCTTATCACACACTTTTCTCGTCCTCCCTTACCGGCTGTCCCTCGTATGGAGTTTGGCCATCTCCTTAGACGTTCTCGGCCAATGCGTCTCGAAGACGTAGCCGAGGCGAACAGCGGGAAGACAAACTCACAAACTCGTTCAGACCACGTGAACCGAAACGCATAGGCCGCGCGGAATAGAGAGGCCTAGGAACTAGGCAAGTACTGTACGTCTTGGAACAAAAGCGCAGCAGATCTTTGAAGTTTGTCAAATACGATTGAAACATCGTTCAATTAGAAGCCTCGGGGTAGTTCAAGGGGGGAAGGTCGTTGTCTTGCAGAGTACGGCAGAGAAATGTAAAAATATATATTGTAGGCACGTGCAGAAGCGCTTTTCTTCAAATCAATATCAATGCTATTGAGTTTGTACCCTTTCTTCTGCCGTCTCCGTCTTGGTTGCTAACATGCTGCTGTAGACTAAAGCTGCACACTGAGTTCTCTTACGTAAATCTGAACCATTCATGGTACGGGGGACATGTGGTGATGTTATTTAGTTTGACTTTAATCCTGCAGGCAGCATTCTTTGTGAAGCCATAATTATTACAACCAATAGCTTTTGCCTGGCAAATACATAACGAATGATCAAACCTTCGAATATTGACATGACTCACTGGAAACGTATAACAGCAATTGCTTTGATTTTCAATCTATTTTCAATTTCAGCGTGTACTCCCAGAAGAGTACGCCTCTCTCGGAAATGTGCGAATCTAGGAGACTCCTGAAATTCAGGCTATAAATAATTTAATGTGTAAAAAGAGCCGCTATGACTCAAGTAGTGTTTTCTGGTTATTGTGGGATTAGATCCACGAACCATGACTTGTAAAAGGGTAAGGAGTTTTTTTGGTGTACCTGAGAGTATAATTCCGCCTAAAATGTTTTGAATTTGCAGCAATTTCACTGCAGACCCAGAAAAATGACTTCTAATCTGAACTGTTGATTGTCTTCAGTAAATCCGCAAGTTGAAGGTCGGACAAAGTATTTTCATACGGGTCTTCGTTATTGTCCTGTGTATTATCTGTATGGTAGTGTATTTTTAGGGAAGTGAGCTTCAGAGAATTCTCATTATCTTGTACGTGATTTGATTCCTCGCATCTCCCAAAATCACTCGTTTCATCAGTAGAGTGTTCTTCGGGTGATTTTACATCTTCCTCCCGACAGGGTTTCTCTTCTTGTTGTTCTTCTTCATCTTGTGGACTGCCACTGTGAACTTGAACAGGAGTTTGCTCTCCTAAAATATCATCTACCTCATCCGAATCAACATAATCTAACTCAACACAACCGAGTTCTTCCAGTGTATCTATAGGGCTTCCGGTCACATTGACCAATACCCCCTCTTCGACCTCGCCCTGATAGGAACTCAGTTCAAAGCCTGGACTCCCGGGTGCTCCGCCCCAACCGGGTGACGATGGGGAGTCCGGTTCGCTTCGCCTGTTTACATGTTCTACAGTTTCGTGATTTTTGCTGTTGCCATTAGTTCTTCTCTCCTCTTCAGGAATCAAGGCTTGAAGTCTGTCGTAAACTACTTCTTTACTAAGCATATCTGCTTCTGTAGAACCATAGCCTCGATGACCTGATAACGAAAGATTACGAAAAACAGGCTATAGACGCGGGTTATGGAAGACGGTCTAACAAGCTAGCTATACTGGTCATTACGGCTCTCGTTATTGCAAGTGTACAATCAATGTTTAAAAACGTTTTTCACCAGCTCTGGCGAAGACATGTAGTATAGAAAATCTCAAAACTCAGAGCAAAAATTTGAGACAAAAAAAACACGGAAATTTCGTCCGAATCGCTCTAACTGAATAGGGACGAGGTACTGGACCTACCGGCAATTTACAATCCACTCTTGGGGATACGTAACAACTTGTCTGTTCTGACGCAACCTGACACTTCACAACGCTGATGAAGTTCGGGCGATACGGATGATATATTCGGTTTTTTTGTCTCTAATTTTGCTGTGAGTTTTGGAATTTTCTATTCTAGATCAGTATAGTTGTATACTTATTAAAACAGAATGACAGGTTTAATGTATCCTGTAGGGAAGTTACGATTTCCCACTTCTTTGTCCCTTGCTCTTGACATGATATCATTCCACAGTCTCCTCGGACTGGGTCGAGATGGTTGTCAAAGTGCATTGTGGGACTGTTTTGGGGGACGAATTTGCCGCCATGTTGAAAATGCGTCCCAAAAACAGTCCCACAATGCACTTTGACAACTATCTCGACACCGGTCTTCCGCGGAACATCAAAGTGGCGACCCAAACACAGACTTAAATACCGGGGTACTGGAGACGAGCAAGAAGCTCGAGTGAGGAATGATGAAAACGAGGGCAGAAAGCAAACGGGAAGAAATGAGAAGGAAAACTATAAACAAAGGGATCCTGCTTCCCTGAATTGTTATATTATCTAAAATATCCCTTGACAAAATAACCGATCGCGAGCAATTGGGAAGAAGCAGATCACTGCATCTCTTTCATTTCCTACAGAGTTTAAATTTTACTTTACCATCTCTCTTTATATTGGTTAGATTTCCAATTACCTGGTTAAAACAACGTGACATGCATGTTAAGGAAACTGTCGATGGATGCTCACCTTGTAAGGACCACAAGCCTGACACTTCTAATGTCTTGAGTTTCTTTTCAAGTTCTGCAACTCGATGGCCTAGGATTCTAGCAAGAGATACAACATCGATGAAGTCAGTTAGACTCTAATGCAGTAACGGATCTATCTCTAGCATCCCAGAACCTGGCGGCACTCGCGCAAGATCACTCTGAGAAAAAGGGGCCTTGTTATTTCCCTTCCCAAGTTCGTCTGGCATTCGCACCGCGAAAAAAATCGTCTAACTTGTTCATCACTGAAACTTGTTTATCCCAAGCCAGTGAATATTGCTTCTCGCGCACCTTGATTGGCTGGCACGGTTCTGAATATCTGGTGATAATTATTCTAAAACTAGCCTGTTGACTTCTCCTCGGTAGTCCTTTACGAAGAGAAATTTTCAAGTTCATTTCCTGAAGGTATTACAGTAATTTTAAGCTCTACACCTTCACAAACTTACTTGTTAGCACTTCTCAGATGTTGAAGGGCGGTGTCCTTCTCCGATAGAGTTTCTGATAGCGAGTTAGCTAAGAACTGTAAGTCAGCTACAGTGGATGGCTTTGAACTGGAGCCAATATGGGCTAGATGGCCCACAAAATCAGAGATGAGCGAAGGCATGGCTAAAGAAAAAGACACAAACTATTATGATACTTTCATTCGCTGGTCTTGGAAGAGGCAGGCAGACTCTGACCTTGGCTGCCCAAGACTTGCAAGACTTCGCGGACAAGACTTTGCCACTGGTAAGAATTTCTCTTTTAATCGGTGCCATACAAAGAAGTTTTGCGTTTTCTTTCGGGAAACTTATTTTATAAAAGCAATAGAAAACTTTTTTTCCTATGTTTGCATAGCCTGATATAAACACTCGAGGCGTTGGGAGAATTCTCGACAGTTATGCAAACCCTCGACTTTGACTCGGGTTTGCATAATTCTCCCGACCCCTCTCGTGTTTATATCAGGCTATGCAAACACGGAAAACGTTTTCTATTGCTTAAATGTAAAATGACAGTAAATAAAATAACATTCGACCCTAAATGTACAATTCACGCCATCAATGACGTAAGTTACACGTCATTTAAAGGGGCTGTAACACGGATGTTTGACAAGATTCATTATGTTACTGTCGCCAGTTATCGTATTTACTCGAATAAGCGCCGACACCGACTGAGCGCCCGCCGCCCCCAACCCCCGATTAAGCGCCGCTCTCATGTCTTTCCGGTTGTCGCTTCGGCTTCAGCGAGGCCAAGTGCGAAGCTACGAATAAAACAATGAATTTTTTATCCTCACGCTAATAAATCTCATTTTTACAAAGAAAGGTGTTGCAGTTAGCCTCGTTATGAAAGTCAGCGTTTTTGAAACTCGGAAATGGCCCATGAAGTGAGTTATGTATCGTACATTTACCGTGTTTATTGGTGCTGACGGGAGATCCTGGGTACTGTGCTTGAAGAATCTTGTTCTTCCGCTTCTCAAAACTGTTCTGAACAAAACAAAGTCAAAATCTAAATCAGATTTCCATCGACAGGTATTACAACATTCCTAAAAAATCAACGGCATAGAAAGTCCCACATGTATGATTAGGACTGTTTTTGGCAAGTTTCGACAACCTGTGCGGTACTCATCATCGTCATCATAACTCTTATGATGGAGGGCGTTCGTATCGATGCAAAGTCGTTTCCATACAAAACGACAATTTCTATCCCTTCAAGTACCGTTTGCGCGTTAAAAAGAAAACATTTTGGGTGAATATTCCTCGTTCTTTAAGCCAAGTTCGGGAAACCAGTCACACCTCAACTGAATAAACTTGTATCAAAACGATTTGTTATCGAAAAGACCAGTTGGCCTTATGATGACTTACCGCACAGTTGGAAACGTCAGTCACTGTGAACAACGGCACTCGACCAGATGAAAACATTCCACCTACAGCAGAACCTCGATATAACTAACCTCTATATATCGAATCTCTATATAACGAACCTCGGTATAACGAACGTTTTCTTCACCACAGTCATAGTAAAATATATGAAAAAGAACCTCGATATAACGAAACCTCGTTATAGCGAACATATTGATTTGCCAGTCCCTTGGCCCTTCGTTATATCGAGGTTCCACTATACTTATAACTCCTGGGTTCAAACCGTTCACAATAAAAAGATAATTTCCAGTCGAAAAAGCTGGAATAGTAAGCAAAAAGATATACAAATCAGATCTCGTAGTAATATAAAGATATTTCGAAGAACTGTTTTCTATCCTTCTACTTCCCTCACCTTGTATCTAGCTAAAGCTGATACCGCCATACTCTTTTCTTCCTTAAGTTGCTTAATTTGCTCCTTTAAATACCTTGAAAAATAAATCAAGGAAAAATTCAAACGACAGCTTCATTAAAATACTTAAATCACTCATGGATTCGCTTTCTAACATGTAGAATTTTCTCTTCTGATTTGCAACATTGACTTGAAAGAAATATTGAAAACAGGTAAGCAGGGGCGCCCAACGAGAAAATACTTCAAGACCACTTAACCATAGCATTGTTAAACGTATTTTGTATTTAAACGGTAGATATAGGCATATTTTTATCCCCTGAAAATTCTTCATCTGTTCGGATTTCCTAGCTGAAAGTCTAGTGATCAGAAAATTATGGGGATCCAAACTTACCTTTTTGAAAATTTCAGGGGGAAAAAAGGCTCCCGAAAATTCTAGGTGACCTTTTAAGGGTAAAAATCCGTTAAAAATGGGCAATTATACCAATTTTTAGATGTTTGAAAATCCTAGGAGAGGCAGGCAAGCAAGAAATTTTAAAACAAATGTTCCGAAGATTCTAGATCTCAAATCGTCTTCCGAACAGATATTTTCCGAAAATTGACGTTGGGTGCCCCTGAGGTAAGGTTAAACTGCGTAAAGAAAACATGAGAATTAGTGAAAGGGCAACTAACAAACTGAATTTTACACTCTGTAGCTTGCGTGACATACAGGTAAATCAGTAAAAGAAATGTCTAAGAAGTAAGCGATTTGTTTTACGGTGACATTACACCACCAGAACATCTCGCCACCAAGCAACTCGCCACCAAAAAGTCGACTCGCCTTCATTTAACTCGCAATTAACTGCGTTGCCAGCGTAGCTGGCGGGATTAGCGGGCGAATGCTGTAATTTTTTGGGCGGCGGATTCTTTGTAACAATCCACTGGTTTTATGATGGACGGACAAGGTTTATCGCCTGAGATCTTGACTCAGTAATCCTAGGTGAATAGACTGTATCTTGGTGGCGAGTCTACTTCTTGGCGCCACTTTCGTTGATAGGGAAGATGGTTTTAATTAGTGGCGGGGTGACCGGATACCGACGATTTGCAACCCTGGTTTACAGCTAGACAAAACTTAAACGTGTTTCACCGTTTTAAGTTTTTTTTTTCTTATAGAAATTCGGATTTGATGGTACTGTCATACGTGTCATGGATAGTTTTACCACCTCACAGTTCAGTTCAGTTTATTCACACTATAATATAGTATTTACACTGTATATAGTATTTAGTAGGAATAAAATAACAGATAAAGCAAAAAAAGAAAAGAAAGAAATTAATGGCTTTGATAGAAGTGTACGGTGGTCAGAGGAGCTTACCGATGTGTTATGAATAGAAATACTTAAATGGCAAATGTGGACGATTATGTGAAACAGTCATTTATATGTTTAACTTTGAGAGTTACCTGTAAGCAGAATTCGTACATTCTTTTTCGAACTGATAGTAGCCGAGTAACAGTGATGACCACAACTTGCAAAACGTGTTATTTAACTGTCACACAAACCTGTTTTCCATGAGAACTGAGTCTATATCAACTAGTCTCCTATCATCAGCACCAAGGATAAAGTTAAGCTGTGTGTTGAGTCTGTCTGACTTGTCTTTATAATGATCTCTCTACATGGATAAAATAACGGATCATTAAACGTTTCTTGGAAACTGCCCTCCTACCCCTCCCTTAAGCCAACATTTTGCCCTAAGTGAGAAGTAAGTGTTAATGTTGGCTTAGGGGAGGGGTAGGTGGGCAGTTTCCCAGAAACGTATTATGATGGTGGCATCTTTGATAACAATTTGACAATTTACTTTCCAAATATTTGCCAAACAGCATGAAAAGGTTAAGAAGTTCATGAGCCCACAGGTCAGTTTACCCAGTTGCAGCATGAAGTTGTATCCTTCTGGGGAATTGGGGGGGGGGGGTACTCAAAAAATTTTTCTAGGGGGAGGCTCTGCCCTGAGGTCCAATCCCTTAGCACAGAAAAGTAGCCTGTACCGCAGATGAAACTAAACTCTGCGAAACAGTGCTGAAGTCCTTGTTCTGGGCCCCACCTGTGTACCAGGATTTGAGTAGGCACCACGATTGGCCTGTTAAAAATGCCATTGTCGAAATGCCAATCAAGATGAAAGGAAATTCGAAATGCTCTTCCAGTAATTCGTGGTTGAGTCCGTTGGGGGCAATACATCTGCGATGCAGGCTAACAGAAAAGGTGCCCTTTCATTTGTATTGACAAAATCATGGTAACCCTTTCACAAACCTAGTTTAGAACTTTGCATGCCTTTAAGTGCTGTAAATGCACATACATACATACATAACCTTTATTAAAGTGTCTAATCGTTCTAGTGCCTATTGGCACTAATTGGGGACACCTTTAAAACTAAATTACATCATTAATGAAAACTTAAATACTATAAAACATATTAAAAAAGCCGGAAATTAACACTATTCAAGCTAAGTACTCTTTTACACTTTAAAACTAAGTTCTAAATTTACTCTTTAACACTTTGAAAATGAATAAATTACAAACCACAACATTTTCTTGACTTCTTCACAGTTGTAAAATGCATCTGTTACCCTTTTGGGCATTCGTACAGAGTGGAGGTGGGGGGAGGGGGGGGGGAAGGAGTGGATGGGGGTCTTGAGGCATGTTCCGCAGGAAATGTTTTGGATTTTAACTCCCCTAATTCCTCTTTCCAACAGTATATTGGCCCGTTCCATTCTCTTCAGGTGAGACCTTGTAAATCGGCGGATTATGAGGACTATTTATGAAAAAACTGACCAATTTCCAACAAAGTGTGGAAACTGGTGTGGATCCGCAACTGGTACCCCTTTCAAGGGGAGCTGCTCTGTACAGGGTTGCAACCTTGAATTGTGAATATTTCTACTTTCCCTTGAATGGGATGCCAAGTCCATCACAGGGCTACCACAAGCAGTAGATCGCCGGTAACTGGTAATTTATCCACTTTGGTAAAGGGCAAACATTAAGGGTGACAAAGTTTCTTGACTAAGGAAATGAAGGGACAGCAAGCCTCAGACTTGGACCTTCTCCCTCTTACAGAAATATTTAAAGCATAAGGAGCGTAATATTTAAGCATAATGATAAGGAAAGAATGGCTTCTGATTTAAGGAAGAAACAAAAAAATTACTGTATAAAAAGACAATAACACTGTTCCATGCCGATTTAGCATTATTATCATGTACATTGTATTAACCTGTTAAGCCCTATTGTGATCAGCATCAAATTTCTCCTTGTAATATCAATGCTTTGTAAAACAGAGTGGTCATGAGAATTACGGACATGATCACACAAGATAAATTTGCTTGATATTTTATCAACTTCTCCCCACTACTTTCTGTAGGAAATGAATAGGGGCAACAAATGAGAATTCAAGTTTTGATCTTAGGGTTTAAAGGGTCCAATAAAAAAATTGATTCATACCTCCATAGCAATCTCAGCTTTCTCATCACTTATGGCAAGTTTCTCTCTCTCCAACTCCACCAACTGTACAAAACAGAACAATTATAATATATCAGATGGCTCATGCTACATTCTTATACTTTGTTGATGTTCTTTCTTCTTCTTAAATGTTTGATCAAAGTCTAAGTTGCAAAAATTAATATAATTAAATAAAGACGTCAAACAATCAGGTTCTTAACGTAGTTTACATACTCAATAAATTAACAAAAGCAACAGTGACGTTTTGGGAAAGAATGCCCAGAGGAACTTTAGTTCCTTATAATAGACCTGTTTACTGATATGGCGGCCACATTGAATTAATTCGATTTAAGGATTATTAGAGGATGCCCAGGGGTATGAGCACATTTCGTTTGTATTTTCGAGCACTTTTCGGGACATTTTTTCTTAAAGTTTTCTTAGAATAAGATTGTAATGGGCAAAAAGATCCTTGTGCCGTGTTTTGATGTTATAAGGATCGCCTTTTTCTATTTTAGTATCAGAGATATGGACTTTCACTGTATATTTCTCGGGAAAAAGGCGATCATTATTACATCAAAACACGGCCCAAGGATCTTTTTGCCCATTACAATCTTATTCTAAGAAAACTTTAAGAAAAAATGTCCCGAAAAGTGCTCGAAAATACAAACGAAATGTGCTCATGCCCCCTGGGCATCCTATAACACTCCTTAAATCGAATTAATTCAATATGGCTATCATATCGGTAAAAAGGTCTATTTTGCTCAAAACCACTTCTCATGACTGTAGACAACGGCTATTACACCCTGTACATAAAAACCCTTATTATTGGGAGCCCAGTTCTTTTGCTTTTAGAAAAGATGGCTTGAGATCTGAGAAGCAGGTGGCAGTTTCTCTTTGGCATACGGTCGAACCTCCCGTAAGCGATCACCCAAAATGCAAAGACTTAGTGGCCACTTACTGGAGGTGGTCGCTTACAAGAATCGAACCACAGGGGGCCTCTCACATGAAGAGGTCCGGGCACATCTACTTTATGGAAGATAATTTATTGCATGCAATTTTTAAGTTATGCCATGTGTAGTTCCATGTTGTCGCTAAAGTTCTTCATACATTCTAAGTACCATAGTGCACACAGCGTACATAGAGATCAGAGAATGCGTCAAGTGGTCACTTACAGAAGATTAAAAGCAATGGAAAATCATTACACTTTCAGGCCCAAAAATGTGGTCGCAGTCACTTACAGGAGGTTTTCTTTTACTAGAGGCTCCAGCTGTAAGGCTTTGTCTGGGAAAGTTTTGGTGTTTTGGATAGGCGGTCGCTTATGGGAGGTGGTTGCTTACAAGAGGTGGTCGCAAATGGAGGTTCGACTGTATTTGGAAATCTATCACATATGATATTATAGGCTATGTTTTTCAAAATTTTCTTGCGTGACATTGTACCCAGACCCATACAGAGGGTGGAGCCATCTCCAGGTTCACTTGCAGACTCACCCTTTATGTGGGAGTCTGCAAGTGATCCCAGAGAAGGCAATTTTTTAAATCGTGCATGCTATCATAGCCTCAGTTTGTTATGAATGAAATGCAAAAAAAAAAAACAGGGCTTCTACAGCAGGATTAGCTCATGGGTTTGACTCCAGCATCCAGACAAATACTCAGGGTCTTAAAATAACTAGGAAAAAAAAGGAATACCTTTGCCGTGCATGCAAACAGCTAGACAAAAAGGTGGTCCCATCTCCAGCAGGAGACATAACAATAGTGTCCTCAATTAGTACTTTTGTGCCACTCAAATAAAGTGCATTTTTTAAATATAATAAGTTAGCACAAAATTTACTGGGTGTATGCCTCATTTCTATACCTTCTCTTGATTTCTTTCAAGTTGGGAAATGAGATCCTGACGTGGATCCATGCCATTGGTACCAGCTTTGAGTCCACAGTTACAGTTATTTTGTTTAGCTAATGCATCATGCAGTAGCTGTATATCCTCCTGAGCATCACGGTAAAGCTGACGCAGCTCAGCTAGGTCTTTTATCAGGGCCTTGTTTTCCCCACGTGACTCACACAATAACTGTGATAATGTCTACAATGAGAAAATTTTAAACAAAAACATATAATTAAAGGATCAGATTACATTTGGAGCCCTAAAAACGATGGGTGCATTCTTCTGGGACTTCAGTGTACTTTGTGTTGGATAACTGTATTATTATTATTATTACAGTAACTGGTAATCCTCTCGTAATATTGAGATAGCTAGAACACAAACTCATATAAATTCCAGTTTTTTCGAATATCCTGCTCTTAAATCTCGCAACCATGTACTTAATTTCAACAAAATAAAATTTAGAGCAATGTATACCTTCATAATTTTCAATACCACAAGTATGGACTTAGAATGCTAATGGAGTATAAAACGTAAGTCACCTTTTGTTTTCTTTCTCTGACATTCTGCAGCTCTTGTTCCCACACACTCTGACCACAGAATGAGGCACCTCTCTAAAGAGCACAAATTAATACCCGGTCATAACCAGAGAACAATGATAAATTTTCAACCAAACCTTTGCCAAAGGGTGCCATGATAGGATTTCGAGAGAAATGTTTATTACCCGGTAATCTTTGACAAGATAGCCAAATTTAATTTAATTTAACCCATTTTCAATGAAAACATTATACACAACCAAGCAGAGAGCAGCAGGAAAGCACTATTCCGAAACATAAAAAATATACAAGCTAGTCCAAGCAATAATAAAATAACACTTACCATGTATAAAAAGAAGGAAAAAGAAATTGTCAGAAAACAAACCAGATATAAACTGTTATATGTGTTACTGATACTGTTAAGTAACACATATAAACTAACTGTTAATTTAACTGTTAATAATTAGTATAGGTAATAGCATGATTTGTAGTGATATTTGGCATAAATACCACGAGTGATATTTTGAAATTGTTATACGAAATTTCACGACCCGTTAGGCGTGTGAAATTTGCGACAATTTTGAAATATCACGAGTAGTATTTATGCCAAATATCAAGTGCACATCATGCTATTATTTGTTTATACTACTACCCACACATGATTTGTAATTTTCACATGTAGGTATTTCAAATTAAGCTGAAATACCACTGCGCTAAGCCAATCAAATTGCAGAAATTTCTCATGTAGTAGTATAAACAGTTAAATTAACAGTTAGTTTAATTATTACTGGTTATCAATTAATACTGAGAATTCTGAACTACCTTTTTAGTAGGTGTCTGTGCATTATTTTTGTCTGCTTGCTTGTTTTCTTGTTCTCTCTCCTTTCGTTTATAATCTTCAACCTCTTTTAGCTACAAAAGACCAGAGAGAATAAGTGAGTGCGACCTGGACTCTTGACATTTGGTGTCATCTTACTCTACTGGCAAATTACTGGGCTGTCACCAATGGCCCAAGGCCAGGGCCACTTGACATCTGAGCGACAGCCCTGCTGCCCTTGATTCAACAGACTTGTCTCCTGGGTACTGCCCTGCTTAAAAACCAAAATTTTCTAAAATCTGGCAGTTTGATCAGAAAGGACAAATAAAGAGCCTCTAAGTGGATATGCCACCACTGACAAACTGAATATCATAAGTAGTTATTTTATTTTATTGAACTAAGGGCGCTTTCCATTTGTCATAACTGACCGGCCAGACCATTCCCGTCGTGATGAGAATTTCACTGTTAATCAAAACAATCCAGCGAGATCAGTTAAATCCTAAACAGTATGCATGAAGGAGATGGTTTTCAGCAAAAATCCTTTTGAAAAAGCTGATTTCATTTGCTAACTGACTGGTCTGGCAATGGTCCGGCCGGCCAGTTCTGACAAATGGATAGCGCCCTAAGGCTGTTGTACAGGGACATGTTATCATAACACAACTTGCCTTGTTTTTTAACTTGTTATCACACTTACCAGTTGTTTTATCTTTGATTTATAAATGTCTCTTTCCCTTTGGCATAATTCCAAGTCACTTGTTAAAATCTTGAGAGCTTCTCTTTTGCTATTTAGCTTCTTCTTGCAAACGTTATACTACAAATTACAAAAAAATCACACAATCAACAATAAAGTACATGTAAAAGTAGTTTCTTGTTAAGATATCCCCCCCTGAATAAGGAAGCATGCATCAAGAGGCTTAAAATCAATTCTTAATTAATTTAATTTAATCCATTTTACTGCATATAATATAATAAATAATAACGACACAAGTTAGCAGCAGGGAAGGACTAGAAGGGTACCAAAGAACCATACAGCCTAGTCCACCCTTGACTAGGAAACAATTTTTTCCCAGGCCTTAAACAAATTGACCCAATAACTTACAATGACATAAGCTACATGGTCAAGATAATGAACCACAATATAAACAAACTTGATTTGACTATCACGATTCTCTTCTTTTTTTTCCTCCTTTCGGACAAAACATTTTCTATAAAAAGGAACAGTTTTTGGTAGTATATTAACAACTATAATGTGATTTGCTGTGCATGTATAATCCTCACAAGTTGTTCACTTCTGCTCCCAAGGAGAAGGCCCTCTTAGTGGGGTATGTATGTCCCTCGTATGAATTTCAAAAGTGGTCATTTCGCATACCTATGGAAGAGTAGGCCATGTCTCTGTTGGTATTTCACCATTGTATTTGTGATTTTCCCTGTAGCTGTCACAGTTTCAACCCAAATTCATGTATCTGTCACCATTTCATTTGTCTTACAGACTGTATGTCACTGTTTCGAGGTCATGTCACTTGTTGGAATTCAACCTTAACAGGGCCTTGAGCAGGGAGTCACTGTTTTACCAGTAGGGAGCTTAAGCAACGACGACAGCGACTTCAACGAGAACGGCAAAAAAGCAAATGTTTAGATTGGCAAAACAACAGCTCTGCATGTGCATCACGCTTTTTTGTACATTTCTTTGAAGTCACTGCACAACTATGACGTGAAAATACCTAATTTCACATTTTGTGGGGGACGCGAACACAAGACAATGACTTTCTTTTTCTTTTCCCGAACTTTGATACAGTCTTTTAGAATTCACCTCTAGAAAAAATTGCTAACATTTCATGGATTGAACGAGATGGAATAAGCATGATAAAGTTTGAAGTAGCGCGACTTCACTTTTTAAGTGACGCTTTCATAGCCGTCGACGTCATTGTTCCTATAAAGCTCCCTAGTACTATGGGTAACTGTTACTTGGGTATGCTGGGGTGGACATTGAACATGTTTTGGGAATTTTTGAAAAAAACTGCTGCCTAAAAAGTAGAAAGCCATAGCTCAGATTTACTTCACCAACATCTGACAGGGCCTCATTCAAGTTGTGGGTAGAAAGACAAAATTCTCTTAAATTCAGATTTTCTCCTTACCCTGGGAAGGTAAGTAGTGTAAAGATAAGTCTTTTAACCTATCTGATTTGTCCAGGAGAGTTAGGGGCTGTCTACATATTCACTTTTCCCCCGCTTAATGTCAACTGGACAATTAGGGGGGGAGGGCAAGGCAGTGGATGTTCAGTATGGGGCATTTTTGGACAAAAGCAAACTGACCTAAGAGGGGAAAACGTGAATATGTCGACGGCCGCTCAGTAATTATAGATTTGGACATTTTTTAAAACTGAGCATTCACTGATTATTTGTATACAAACAGCTGTTGATACAAACCATCACTTGCATTTGCGATTTGAATAAATTAGTAATGCAACAGGTAAATTGAGAAAAGTAGTAGAACAGCTCGCGATTTACATGAATACTCTGATCGATTCTTTGCCTTCCGCCTACATTCATTTGACGCATATATCTTTATAAAGATAACTTTCATTTCACAAGCAGCCTTGCAACTTTTGCCGAGTAGTTTAACTTTTTGAAGGCAAACCTACAAAATAATTCACGCCCCAAATTACCAAATTGGCCCAAAACCATTTCAACATCACTGAATTATCTCGAGTAACGTTAAGCGAATACTTGTTGATAAGATAAACATTAGCTTTTTTAGCATTATCCCAGGGAAGGTATTCTCATTGTTTTTCGCGACAACTGGAATCAGAATTCTCGCCGTATTTCTTTTAGTTGCAACTTTACAAAAAGCTACGAATTAAAAATGAAATTAAGAAACTGTTCACTGTTGTTTAAGGACAATTGTGCCGAAGGAAAGTGAAATCAAATCAGCTGATTCTTGAGTTAAGAAAAAAACCTTACTTCGTTTACGAGAATGGTCCATTCTCTCTCACTTCTTGCCAAAGTCATTCCATCCAAACCAGCATAAGCTTAGCACAACATTAAAGAATGGAAGTGACATCAAAGATCAGTAAAACTGAAATTGTTCCTGATCATTGTCAACAACTCTCAGCTCCTTCGTGGCAAAATTTGTTTTTTCACAGAGGGAATGAGTTCTAGTACCCAGACCTACTCAAATACTGTCTGCTGGAACGCGAAAAGTGAGGCTTTAAAAAAATGCGCACGATTCAAAGCAAAACATTTGGTATCTTGAAAATAGCTAAGAAGAATAGAAAATCCATGCAGTGTATGTGTAAATGAAAAAAAAAACGATCAAGTTTTAACCTTGTCGGCCTCTGGGCATGATAGCAGTCCCCCCCGACTGTTTCATGCGTTTGGATATTGAAGAGTGGTGCGAAATGACGAGTCGAGGAAATAAAGTACTGTTTTCTTCCTGCTCACTTTTCTTTGGCTGTCCCCTGCACGGACGCATGGAAAAGGCTTTGAATGAGATCGTGAAACTCCACAAATGAAACTCAGCAGGAACAGACAAATCGGCTAGGGGTCGAATATTTTGTCTGATATTTTGGACGCACCTCCAACGGGTCTCGACTGTGAAGGGGTTTTCGGTACGGATGCAGAGGTTCAGCTGAAGGCCATATAAACGTCTGTAAATTTTCGAAACTTGCGCTCTTTCCAGTGGTGTCGACGGATTTTAAAATACCGTGAAAAGTTCTATTGTTTAAACTCATACTTAGCACCGAATCTAGTGGTATAAGACAAATTAAAGAAAACCTATTGAGATGCAGTGATTAATAACTTGTTTCTTTTGTTTTATTTCCCTCAGCCTCCGCGCGAGCCAAGGATGACTGTTAATAATATCAAACAGGCAGAAAACACCACAGATAAATTAGTTTGATGAAAAGCAAAACAACCTGAAACAAGGTTTAACAGGAGTTTCAGAAGTCGGGGTGGAAAGTAGGTCTAAGAAAAAAATTTTAAGACGCATATTAGACTGAGGAAAAAGGAATTTAAAAACGGTCAAAAGAAACTAGATCGATTTGCGAACGTTTGAAATGTTGTTGTTCTAGTGTTTGCCAGTGTGATTGGTTTATGGGCCACTGGTTAGCATCAGTGGATGCCAAGAACAGGTATATATTACGAAAAACAAATAAAACTTCTAAAATCAACGATGAATCCCTACACGTTTATTCCAATTTTTTTGGAAAGTGCATTGGGCAATTTATTATTTATGATTAATCTGACAATTCACGTAGAGCAAGTGAGGTCTAACTAGCTCATTTTGTGCGTGGGTCGAAGTCGATGTCGGCCTTCCACCTGCTTATCTCATTGTCTCCGCATACCTTTTCCGAAAAGCACACTGGGATTTTTATGTTCTTAGAAGTTATTGTGTGTGTATTTTTTGTGGTTTTGTAAAAGCAATTTGTCAATGCTCTATTTTGAGACGACGATCGTAAATTCGCTCTCTCAGCTTCCCGGCGAACCTGGTTGGATCTAAGTTTTATACTTAGATTAATTTTTTTTTGCCTTTGCTACCTGTCATTGTGGGCAAGTATGAAAATGAGTCCTAGACAAACAAAAACAAAAAACTGAACCACAACATGACTTTTATCCCGTTATTGTATGAAACACAGCTGATATAATTTAGCTCGTGTGTTGTCAGTAATAAAAATTTCGCGAGGAAAAAAAACTAACTGGAGTCGATATGGTCAGTTTGCTGATAAAAAAGACGTTTTTAAACAATTTTTTTATCTTCTTAAAAGAACAATTTCATTGATTGACAAAAAATGTTTAGTCAAGGCACAAGGGATGGTCACTTGAATTCTACTTGAATAGACTGCTTTTTTGCTGTTTTTTTCAACAAGGCGATGAAACTGATAAAGAAAAACTTTGTCCTGAATGTCACTTCATTACAAAGGGTACAGCGCAGTACAAATACATATCGGGAGGCTATATCTGCGGTAATATTGGTATATTGGTGAGTTGTATACAATCTATATCTTCTCGGTAAACAATCACGGAAAACATGACATTTTGTGACAAGAAAAGTGTAGGAGATAACCTTATGCAAGCTCAACCAGTGAAATAAGTTTCATTTCGCGTTTTAATTGCGTTGTGGTCTTGGGTATAAAAAAATGGAATCCTTCCTAGACTCGAACGCCTCGGCTGGAAATAGATCTCGTCCAGGAGAAAACGCTGACATTGTTTGTTACAACATGGACAGCAATTATTTTGCAACCGATGGTTTTCTTGGATGGTACATTGCTAACTGCGTATTCAACATCCTGTTAGCTATGGCTGCTACTGTTGAGAATCTGCTTATTCTCATAGCCATCTGGAGGACATCCACGCTTCACACACCTTCTTACGTTTTGTTGTTTTGCCTTGTGTTGTCAGACCTTGGGGTAGGGCTGGTTGCTCAACCTCTCGTCGTTATCTACTCCGTAGCCAAAATACGGGGAATTATCAGCATGGCGTGCGGCTTTGGTGTAGCCGTAGCCCTACTCGGTACTTACTTATGTAGCGTTTCGCTATTTACCATCACGGCGGTGAGTATTGACCGATATCTGGCGTTGTATCTGCACCTGAGGTATAAACAACTTGTCACTAACAAGCGCGTTATGACCCTGCTCGTTTGTACATGGCTAGTCTTGGCTCTTGTTATTGTAACATGGCTATGGTACCCATCCCTTAGCTTTATCGCAGGAGTGGCTCTTGGATTATGCTGTATCACCATCACCACGTTTTGCTTTTGTCGTGTTTATGTCGTTTTGCGTCATCACCATCTTCAAATCCGATCACAACAACCCAACTCTTTAAAAGAGGTGACGAATGACGAACCGCTTACCTCGAAAAAGTACAGACAATCAGTGATGGGTATGTTCATGGTTTACATTCTCTTGCTGCTTTGCTACATTCCATATCTTTGCATCTCCAGTGTAATCTTGGTTCAAGGAATAACTACTACAAACAGACTTATTTTTGAACTGTTAAGAACCATACTTTATGCCAATTCCGCCTTGAATCCATTTATATATTGTTGGCGTCTCCGAGATATCAGGGCAGCGCTTATCCAACACTTGCCTTGCGTTTAATCTCCTCAGTTGGTGAATATATCTGTTGTGGTTAAATTTTATCCTTGGTTTAAATTTTATTTTCTTTTGTTTTTGGGTATGGTAATGTATGTTAATGAGTTTGAAACAAAAGAAAATAAAATTTAAACCAAGGATAAAATTGAGCCACAGCATATCTATCGGTATAATGGTACGACACCAAGAGCCATTTTAGTCGAAGTTAGAAGTGCATTTCATTATTCTTGTAAAATGTTCGTGTTGCGAACACAAACATTTTAAAGGAACATTCTAAAGGAAGCGAATCACGCAAGGTCGCAACCGCAACTAACATGATTTAGCTAGCGTTGCTGAAGTGAATGCATGGAAAACAAAAAACTTTTGAAAGTTAAAATAAGAAAAGAAAGCTATCTATTGTATGAAATGTTTGAAAGATCGAGCAAAAATTTAATAGAAAACTGCAAAAAGGAAGAAAGGTGATTGCTCTAACATTAAAGCAACGTTATAACTTGTAGTTCCTTTTTTTGTAATTAGTGTGAGATAAACAACTGACTAAGACAAATACCGCTTCAAACGGCTTAGTGGACAAGTTCATCTGAATTTTGAAAAAATTTAGTTTGCGAGCGTACAAACGTATTTTATGCAGTTTTTTTAAAAGCAAAAGAGTTGTTGTCCTTTAAATTGAAAAAAAATGTTCAGATTTTTATAATAGAATAAAATCGCAGGTTTTAAGTACGAAGAGAAAAAAAGTATAGTCGTGAATCCTGCGGTAGGTATTGTAAGTTTTGTCGGAGATAGTTTACAGACTATTCTCCAGGAAAATAGGAAAAAAATTTCGTCTGGTGATGATAACTAAAGTGATTAAGTCCGCTAATAACGTTTGTAAATCTTAAATTTAATTTACCTTATTTGATCAAAGGTGTATTTGCACTTCCACCTGTCGAACTATTTGTCCTGGGCGTCGTGTACGTGCCCATTTATCAATTGGCACCTGTTATCTTCATTATTATACATTGTATTCATTATACGTCTTCTCATTGGCTTATAACCTACAGTTAATTTTGGAAATCAGCTCAACCTACAGATTAGGCCCCAGTTGTTCAAAAGCTGGATAACACAATCCGCTGGATAAATGTCTATCCACTGAAAAGTGCAATTTGTTTCCCTAATAGTTATCTGCTGGCTAGTGATTTATCTGGTGGGTAGCGCTATCCAACGTTTGAAAAACTCGGGCTAGTTGGTTATCTGTTAGCATACAACTGACTAAGTTGCGCGTGCACATGCATGATTTCCAACTGCAGCGTAAAGCGTGTTCCGTGCGAAGCTCTGTTACAGATGAGTACAGACACGAAGAGTTGCTTGATTTTTGCAAGAAAAAGTTCTCCCGCAGGAAGCGGCCATTAAAAAATGAATTGATATGTGAAAAAGCCTGTTGCTTAGGCTTAGCATGGGAGTTACTTTCTCCTGTGTATAGAAATAGCTAAAAACCTTTAATTATTTCAATAGGGTAACTCGTTCAGTTTTTGTACAAGATAAAAACTGCTATCCATCTCAGCCATCATGACGTAGCCTGCGAAAACATCCGTTTCTCCTCGCTCTTCGTCGCTGTGGACGTTTCGCGTTTCCTCCGCGCGAAACGTCCACAGCGACGAAGAGCGAGGAGAAACGGATGTTTTCGCAGGCTAATCTCAAGGCTTGGGTCAACTCATAATTTGCATAATTTGGCGAAATGGCATTTGAAACGGATTCTTTTGATCAGTCGTCATGAAACTTGGCAAACAATTATAGCTCGGTGGCCTTAACAATATGTGACATATTTATTGTTGAAATATTAGTCACGTGACCTGCAAATGATCGTTAACGGTCAAAGTGCTCAAATTAAAACGGGAAAAGGAAATGAAAGAGCCGCAAATATTCTTAGGCACCAGTGTTAATCGCATGGCCTAACTATTTATATGAAATAGCCCTGCATGTATGCCTAAGTGAAGCAAGGATTACGAAATAAAGAAAAACAATCCACGTGACTTGTAAAAGACTTTAATATCTCTTAATAAAAATGCTTTAATCCCCCTTGCAAGGCTAATTGACAAACCAGACAGTTTGGGTGACAATATGATGACAAGTATATTTAGGCTGAAGTTTAACAATCTTACCCCGTTTGAGAAAACAGGTTTTGTGACGCCATGGTCTAAGGAATGCCACGTGATGCTTGGGATTAATTTTCCAAAACTATTTTAGTGAGATATATGTTATCAAATCTTTGTGAAACCCTTTATGTGGATCCTTCTGCGTCATTAAAAAAAATCTTTGCCTTCTCTGTGAGGGGTCTTTTAGGCCTTTCAACCTATGCCTTAACTTGCCTGAGATAGAGAACCTATATAATAAACTAAATGGAATAGAAATAATAGTCATCGTCAAGTACAAGGAAAAATAGCTATAAATGTTATATAAAAGTCTTAACAATTAAAAATTACAAGAAGAATCATAAAAAACCAAAAATCCAAATCTGATTAATAATTACGCACACAACCACGATAAAAAAAGGCTAATTTTTGTACATTCTAACTTTATACACGGGAGTCTAAGTTTACCTCTGTTCCTTGTTCTTCTGGGCAATACATCCTTGTTATAAATAAAACTGTGGACAACGGGTTGCTTAAGCATTTCTTAACTAGATTGTGTACATGGCTCTTGCGTCTTTTCTCCAGAGTTACGTAACCCAAGAAATGTAGCGCTTTTTCGCTGCCCCAGACTCATAACGATACGTGCTGCGCGCCTCTGCAACTTCTCCAATTTATCAGCGTTAACACTCCCGTAGCAGCTCCACACAGTATCGCAGTAATCAAGATAAGGAAGAAAAAAAGACGTATAAACGGGACTTGCCGTGTACGTGCTTATGTTGACTGTGAGGAACCCTGATTTGAACACTAGGACAACAAGTACTATAAGATATGCCGACTACGCCATAGGGCGATAAACCTGATAGTAGCCTTATCTAGCCAATAAGGGCAGTGTTAGTGATGGGTAAGAAATAAATCGAGAGGTAGGTGTGGAAGTGACGGTTTCGGTGATTTAACCGAGATCACGTGACCAACCATCAGGGCGCATTGACCTGGCCTGCAGCAAGCCATGCTGGTGACACCATGGGGAATATGCCATACCCGTATTCCCACAAAGCCCCGCAATGCTTCCTTGCATATCTTCTAGGTACTAGTGCGACTCTTTGCCAAGTCTGAGGTATTAGGATGTATTTGTCAGGTAGAAATTAAGCAGAATCAGTCTTACGCGGAAAATATCACCACACATTGTGTTGTGAAACAAATTAAAAAAGTGTTTTGACTCCTCAGAAGAACAGAAAAATTGGCAAAATATGCTTTATATCGTAAAGGTGCCATGTGGATGAACGGTTGGCAAATCTGAAGAAAAAGCCCTTCTAAGTATAAGTATGTGTGATCAAATGGTGACGAGTGAAATTAGGGAATAATTTCACGCGCGTTTTGTCCAAATCCAAGTAATTTCCCGGGCCTTCAGGAGTGGGAAATTATTAGGATTTGGACAAAACGCAAGTGAAATTATTCCCTAATTTCACGAGTATACCATTTGATTACCTATTGATATCATGGGCGACGAATTACGTTAGCAATCTTGGATTTTTGACATGTTTATCCTGGATCGTATCGATCGAGAACTCCACTCTCTCAAATGTTTAGACCTTAAATTTGGCTTATAAAGTTCAGAATTTTTCCGACTTTTTCGGCAAAATACCTGTTAGAATCCTTCTTGATGTTTTCTTGTGTGTTCAGGTTTTCTAAGGCGTCTTTTTGTGCCCTGACATCTTCATTCCCGGCATTTTAAAACTTCGTCGCCATCTTGATACTGAGACGTACGGAAGGGTTGCCATGGCAATTTTGTAATTTCACATTTGAAATTACAAATTAACGCTGAAATTTCGCGCCAAAATTAAGGAGTAATTCTTCACCTATGATATTATTGTAAAAACCTCTATAAAAAGGGACGCCGTAATCTAGCTCTCAAATAACACACCCCAATATCCATTTAGCTCGATCCCTGTTGCTTTGTTTCAGAAATCTCTTTCGTTCGTTGCTCCTTTGATTTATTATAGGGAATAATCCTTTTGTAATCGCGCTATGCGTGCACTTTCCATTCTATATTAATGTATGCTTAAAATGTCATCTGGAATTCCGAGTGCTTAATTGGTAGCTTAGTAAATCTGACGCATGCTCAACACTTCAAAGCAGAACGCTTCTCATATAATGGAAAAGAAGATTCTGCCCGGCTAACAGGGAACAGTTTTGAGGACGTTTACCGAGGAGTTTAGTGTCGGCAACGGTATTTTTATTTACAAAATATTCTTTCATCAAGCTTAAATGGAAGGTAAACACCCTTTATTTCTTTTAATTCTCGCATAAAAAAAATTTGTTAGTACATACACATTCCTTTGAAAAGACAAGTCTTTCTGCGGCAACCCGAGGGCTGTTGTGGACATGTCGTGAAGGGCCAATGTAAATTCTTAAAACCTATTCAAAAATTTCAGCCTTGACGATTGAAACAAAGATAATCTAAAACAAGATGGATATGAAAAATTACAGAAATATAAAAAAGGCAGTTTATTTTGATTTAATTAAAAACAGGCCTTTTATGAATAATTATTGTATTTAGTTCAATATTGTTATTCTTCCGCCTTATTTCTTTAAAAAACTTTTCGGAGTAGGTAATGTCTTTGAGGATTGAATTCCATACGATAGGTCCCCTATACCCTACACTGCTTCCTCAAGAAGTCTTTGAGCCACAAATTATAGTTATTCTCATTAATTGTTACAAATTCAGAGTAAAGGCCTTAAGCTGCTTAGATAAGCCGCTATCATACTCCTGAGACAATATAGACAGGAATATTAAATAATAAATTTACCACGGGTTTGGCGAATATTCAAATTAGGTGGCTAAACGGGTCCCTTGGAGTGTCGATATCTAAGGAAATTTGAATCTGGCAAATAATGACTTAATCATGACTAAGAAATCTTCAAATTTCACTTTAAAAATTGTTTATAACTGCATCACGTGACCAGCCACGCCCTATTTTATCGAGAAATCTTTTGGGTCGAAATGCCCACCATGTAGAAAGAAAACCGTTTTGCTTTTGTAGGTCCAAACAGTGGCTACTGATAGTCTTTTTGTAAAAACGATTGGAATGAGACAAAGTCATTTAACGTCTTTTTCCTAACGCAAATTTTAGTTAGAGCAGAACTGGCACTAATCAATGAACACTAATAATGCACCTACAAATTTTAAAGATTCCAACTATTCCAAGCTGATTTCGTAAACACTTCGTAGGGTCAAAGTTTTAATGTCACAGAGAAACTGGAGCTACACGTTTAGCAAGTGGTGGGCATCGTTGGTTGCAATTTTCGAACAGAACAGGGCTGATCGATCACGTGACCCGGTAATTTGCATTTCTTTTTTCAAGTTTTTTTAAGGTTAGTTTACCTTACCATCTATCATTCCTGGAGATTTTAACAATGGGCTTTGGAAAATTTGCATAAAATCACAAATAACTGAGAACCGGGCCTTAATCTACTTGAGAATGCAGTGGGCATTACTTCAACAGAGGCGGTATAACGTTGGCAGACCTTCCATTGTTAAAATGAATTCAAATTTCCCTAATTTCTACTTCCCCTACTTCCCTAAGTCACAATGTCGTGTAAATTGTTGAATCCACTAGGCTATGGATACTAAATAGTGCAGTAAGACTGAGCAGCTTTTTTGTGTTAATGGACGAACTTGGCTTGTGGATACATGTTTCTCCTTGTCTTCATTTTCTGAATCTTCTCAGTTTTGTTAAGTTACTTTTAGGCTGGACAAACCTGTATTTAACTGTCAACCTAGCCTGGACTAAGCAGTCAATTAACCATTTCCCAATGATGCATGTTTAACTCAGTGTATTCTACTTGCTCAAGACCGCCGCTGACTTTGTTCTTTTGGCCATAATCTACTTTAAAGGATCAATGAAACATCTCCTCCAGGTCGATGAACCCCTTATTTGACCTCGTTCGTTTCTTCACAACTTATTTATTAATGACAAATAAACTATATGGCGAAGTTATGGTGTTGTTTTTGGCAAAGGCATTAAAGGGCCAGGAGAAGGCCAAGCTTGGATGATCTAGTATTTAGTCAAATTGCACCTGGTTTTGCAGACAATGAATTATTGTTTTATAAGGTAATTACCTCTTAATTTTCCAAGATACCAAAAACTAAATAAAAGTGTACTGTTGACTAATCATAATCTGTCCAACAGGATGATTATGGCTCAGTGGATCACGGAACTAATCCTCATCTGTTTTTTAACACCTCTGTTTGCAACGACGGCCAACCAAGCTTTAGATCGGTTAAAACTCCGCAAGCTAAAAGGTGAGATAGAAAACCTCAGGGGCAACGCTAACAAGATAATCAACTACTTAACAGAAGGACCAGGAAAACATCAAGTTTACGACAGATTGGCAACATTTGTGGACACATTTGGCAGCCGTATTGCAGGTTCTGCCAATCTTGAACATGCAATAGATTACATGCTGGAAGAATTACAGCAAGATCAACTGGATAATGTGCATGGCGAGGAAGTGACTGTGCCACATTGGGTCCGAGGTAAAGAATCAGCGCGTATGATATTGCCAAGGAATTATCCCATAGCATTGCTTGGCTTAGGTAGTAGTGTTGGTACAACTCCAGATGGCATTACCGCTGAAGTGCTGGTTGTCCAATCATTTGATGAGCTTCGGGAAAGAGCTGCCGAGGTATGTTTCTTTTCTTGATTCATGTATAGATTCATGTACCATGGTAGCAAAGTTTCTGGATCACAACAATCTTTCTTGACAGAGACGGCTATTTGCATCGTCGAACGATGGAAGAAAAGCATGGGCTACCGTTTTGTTCCTGAGTGCAATCATGGACAGGAACAAAGTCGTACGTGTCAATTTTTTCGTTTTTTTTTTCTGCCATATTTGCAGGACCACGGTTCGTTGAGCTCCAGAACTTTTGCTACCATGGTAACGTAACGTAACTTCTCCTCCCTATTACTGACACACATTGATATTGTCTTAGTAGTATGGGAGCAATGGAACTCCATTAATGCGACCACTTCTCTTCAACTGCCGCCTCCCGGCGTGAGCGGTCACAGTCACCCAAAACACCAACATTTCCCCATCCAACATCCCAAGCCTTATTGTTCAAACCTCTCAGCGAGCGCCAGACCCGTTTTAATTTTCCATTGTTTTTAAGAGGGAATCCATCAGGAAACTGAGAAATTTCAATTTTCAGTGGACAAAAATCTTGTACCAAATGATTAAAACAATATCGCATTGTCTTTTACATTTTTCAAGGGGTACAGATATAATTAGTCATCAAAGACTATTTGTCACAGGAACCCCATAAATAAATGTCAAATTTCACAAGGATTGTAAAACCACAAGAAGATTCTGAAAATATCATGTGTAAGGTGTCATTTTGTGAAATTTGACATTTATTTTCTCGGGCTTTCATGAGAAATTTCCTTTGGTGTTATTGCAGATAACTAATTACATCTATATAGCCCTTGAAAAATGTAAAAAAAAAATGCGATATTGTTTAAATTA